GGCTCCCATGCATAACAACCATATTGAATACCTTCAGGACCTGACTGAATGGCATCGTGTTCTATGATGTTATTTGCATGGTCATCTGAGCGGCATGTGGGCTTCACTGCTGTACAGGCGCCCTTGGCCGAAGATTCGGCACCGGCGGCAGCTTTGGCCGAAAAATCGGCACTGGCAAGTGCAATTGGTTCTAAAGGAATGTCAATATCCTCAATAGGATTATGGTCTTTTCTTATTTTACTAATGTTGACCTTCACGATTCTGGTTCCTAAGTCAATTCCAACCATGCTGCCATCTACGGAAACCAACTTTCCTTTTATCCATTTTCCTCCATGTGAACCGTCTGATTTGATTTTTGATTTGTCTTCGGTCCAATAGTAAACTTTATCACCAGGAAAGAATGGTCCATCACTAAGTTGAAGTTTACTTGCAATGTCTCTTCGAAGGTCATCAGACTGTTTTGCCTCTAGAAACTTTCGCATCGCCAGTGACCTTAGTGCTTCAATTTGTCTCTCAGGAGCAGGGGCCTCAGTCGTGAGCTGTGCTGGATTCATGGGCTCAATCGCCGTAAGATCGGCAGGTCTTCTTCCAAATGCTAATTCAATAGGAGTGACACCACCAAGTGTTACCATGGTGTTCCTTGAAATGCAGGCTTGTCTCAACAACTGTTTGTAGGTTATGTTGGCAAGCAATGGATCGTCTTTCAAGGAAATTAGCATTAATGAGACCTGTTTCTTAAACATGCGAATGGCTGCTTCAGCTCGATTTGGCCATGGTGTTCCTGGTCCTAGAGAGATTGGCCGGATGCTGTGCCGGTTGTAGTAACTCTCCATTTCAGTGCCCATGAAAGCTTGATCGGCAACGATGTATTTTGGATTCAGCTGATAAGTTTCAAAGTACTCTTGAAGATGAGATATCGTCACCGTGTCTGACCTGTTCTGAACTACAAAGGCAGTAGTCAAAGAAGTTGCACCATCATACATAAGTAAGAATTGAAGTTTTGACTGAGGATTGATAGGAACTTCTCCATGATCAATGAAAGTAAGTTCACCAAAGACTTCACTTCGGATTCCTGAAACCTTAGCTCTCGATGGTGCAATCCTGGCAGTGGAACATGTGTCACATGATTTGGTAATCTGATCAAACTTGTCATAAATTTCTTTCGGCAACTTCAGAGCTGATGTTCTTCTTTTGAATTGTTCAGTGGTCATATGATAATGCTTCAAAGGCAACTTGAGAAGTTCAGTAGGTGATTGAAGCTTATCATGAATTCTCTGAAGTGCTAGTGACAAAGTTCCCTTAGGTGACGGTTCCTTTTTCTCTTCAAGTTTGACTTCAACCTTTGGTTCCGGTTTGACTTCAGGTTCTTCTTCAATCTGAGGTTCCCGACGTCTTGGGATACCGTCCTTTGAACTGGAACTTGGCCCAGAGGCCACCATTGGCTCTTCATCAGGATCAAAAGGTTGAGCTGGTACTTCTAACTTGCTATCAGGCTGAATTACCTTCTTGACAACTTTCTTAGAGTCAGGCTTGGCCGGTTTCGGCACCTCTGCTGGCTTAGGCTCTAATCCTTTGAATCTCTTGCAACCTTCCTTGTTTGTGTGTGGTCGATGTTTACCATTGCATGCTGGGCATGTGATGTCTTCGGACTGAAAGCTGTACATCGGTTTCCAACTGGAAGTAGCAAGAGCCATAATGTCAAGAACTGGATGGTTGGATGTACTGACCGCCAATGCGGTGCGTTGCATTCCAAACAGTGGACAAGTCATGAACTCACCTACAGGAGTGTGCTCAATGTTCATGCGAAGATTCCTCATTTGTTCAACAGAAAAGAGGATAGGAACCTTAGCTTTGTCCAGGATGTCAACGCATGTTGTGATCCAACCAGTCTGTGCACGATCATTGCGGAAATGAATCACTAATCTTTCCTTGACAGTAGATTGTTCTCCATTTGCAAATGAAAACTTATTTGAACACGGTTGCTTGGAAAACCAAATGTGATCACGCTTAGGATGTTGTTGGCAAGCCTGTACAAGGCGATCAATGGCAAAGCGGGATCCCATGGCTTGAGTGGAACCTGAGTCAAGGATGACATAAGTCGGATGAGAACCTAAATCTACATACTCACAAAGCAATGCTTGTTGGGCACCATGATCATAATTGAGAAATACACACTCTTCCGTAGAGACGGAATTGAGCGGGCTTGTGCGCGGGTGAAACGAATGCAGATCACCGATTTCGGTAGAAACACTCTTCTCAACTTGGCGGATGCTCTTAAATAGGGACCTGTTCAAATCAGAAAAGCACTGGTACATCACAGACACGAACAGAAGCACGAATGTGAGGGCCTCTACAAGTTCGTGTCCGAACAATCGGAACAAGCGGATGCCTGAAAAACAGTACCGGTTGATCTTGTCGGTCTGTCCGTCCTCAGAAATGACGTCTGAATGCTTGTCCTTGGACTCGGTCAGTTCCTCAGTGGAAGCAAAGTATGACCAATTGTACCAATCACCTTGGGAGTAATCTCCATCGTATCCATAGTAGGATTCATAACCTGACCAGTCATCTGTCCAGTAGGTGTCATAGTCATAGCTCCAGCTTTCTTCGGCATGGGCTGTTTCTTGTTTTTCAGGGGCTTGTGATGCACTAGATGTTGCAGCCTGTGCTACATTAGCTTGTGGAGGTTGTGACAAAAATGGATTGTTTCCTCCTTTGTTCTTCGCATCACCTTTTCCTTTTCCTTTCCATGAAGGCATTCCTTTGAAAGAATCCTTTCCTTTCATCATTCCTTTCTTGCCCTTTTTACCTTTTCCTTTGCCCTTGCCTTTTCCCCAGAAAGCTGTGTCTTGCTGGTCATCTTCCCATGCTGCAAAACCTTTGCCTTTTGACCTCGAGCGGAAGCCGGGTCTTGATTTCTTTCCTCCTTTCTTGCCATAACCTTTTGGTCTACCTTTCTTGAAGGACCTGCCGTAGATACGGCGCTTAGAGTATGAACCCTTGGCGCTGAGAACCCAGAACTCGTTCTCCGTGTACAGACCTGTGAAACCTTCTTCACCCGTCTCTTCATCGAAGACCCAAAATCCGTACTCACCTTCTTCGGTCTCGCCCTCGTCGATGACGTAGAAGTTGGACCGCTTGCGGTGCGTGATGTTTGGGTCGGCAACACCTGTGCGAGAAACGGCAAAAAGTTCTAAGAACAGCTGTTTCACTTGGAGATAGGTATATTGAGGCATTGCGATCTGACGGATGTTCATGGACGAGACAAAACGCTCTCGTTGTTGCTCGTTGAGGTCTGCTTGAACTAGAAAAATCAGTGACATCAAATTGTCTGACAATGGAAACTGCTGTGCGTGTCTGGTCCTTCTATTGGTTATGGTCTGTTCTCTCAGTTCTTGTTGATAAGCTAGCTTATCTTCATCTGTTACTATCTGGTTATAGTGCAGTCTTTGCTCATCTGTGAGTGCTGCCGTAAATGCCGGAGTGCCTGCTTCGGGAAGATCGGATATGTCTAGCAGATCGGACCAAGAAGCCAACAAACGCTTCTGCGCGATCTCAAATCGCCCTATCCAGTGCACGAATTCACTCTGGCCTCGGTATGTGCGAAACATCTGGAGGAATCGCCAAAGGAACACATGATTTACTCCCTTCACGAAGTATGGTCTCAATGTGTCCTTGAAATGGGCGAGGCCACGATCCGGATCTCGGAGTAAGGCATTATCGAGCATCGACTTATAAAAAGAAGCGGAACCAATGAGGGCATTCTTTAATGATGGTCCGTGCTTATCTGCATCCAATGTTGTGATCCCTAACCAGTCATCAATTAAGTCTTCATATTCAAACCAGCTTGATTGGCCATCAAATTGGGGTGGATCCTTCGGCGTCATTTTGATGCCCATCCGGTTTTCGGAATGACTGGTGGCGGCATATGCTTCCGGCTCTTCATAAGAAACAATTTGGAGTTGTTCTTCATCTGAATCCATGTTGTGGATTAAGACCATGGCAGCTACTCTAACTTGACCTACAGGTTGCCCCCGCAAGTCCGATATACAGAATGTATGCAGAGAACGGCAGTTCGGCACACGGATCTAGACTTGGCGAAGGCACAGGCTCCGCTACCACTTTGAGGTAGCTATCCCCTTTTAGGGAGCCCTGGATACTAATGTACAACACCTGTGGCAGCGAAGCGACTACACTCCTTTTTACTATGCTGCGGTTTGCTGCTAGTCTTGAGCCATGCGGAGTGCGCATGAAAGATATGAATTAAGAGTACATGTCAACATGCATGACAGCATTGTGTAGACACGTAAAACAAAATAAATCACAGGGGGAGGGGGGGAGGGGGGGGGGTCGTAAAAATCCGCGCCAAGAGGAAAAACTAAGAACACAACAACAACAGTAACAGGAACATCCACAAAACACGCCGGCAAGCCGGCGGATTACATTACATTACATTGCATTACATTACATTACATACATACAGAGTACGGTAAATAAATACCTTACATGTGGTATACATACATATATTTATGAATATGTACATGCATATCTATATACATACGCGTTAAACACATGTCAGAAAAGACACCAGGAATTTTGATGAGAAGTGCTTCTAACTCCACCTGAGTCGATAGTGATTTCTTGAAGAAAAAACAACTTGTGGGTTCGGTGCTTGAGTTTCAGTGCTTAGATTGTTGTGATTTTGAGTCGCATTCATATTTGATGCTGTGCAGGGCGATTGGGGCAGTGGTGGCAGTGAGTGGGGCAAAGGCTGGCAGGAGCTTCGATGCACTTGAGATGTCGAAGACTTGATCAAATGAGCTATGATGCCAAGTCCAGAATTTTGATTCTACGAAGAAGGTGCAGGCATCAATGTGTATGCAGCTATGCATATGACATACCTTGTAGGAAATATGAGAAATGCATCATGGCGATATCACCATCATGAATTGGGACAGAGTGAAGCAGTTTTCGCCCCAAAACCAGTGATGCCTTGACCTGCCATGACCTCCCATGACCTGCAGGACTGGTCCCCAAGCCGTAACCGGGACCGGGACCACCGCAACGACCGGGATGACCAGGACGACCGGGACGATCGGCGCCGGCCCCGCGACAGCCGTCCGGAGCCCGAAGGGCCCCCAGCACAGCGGCGGCGGACCTCCAGCGCGGAGCGGGCACCAGAGCCGAGCTCGAAGGAAGAGTGGCTGCTCGGAGCCGAGTTAGTCTGGGAGGTCTAAGCGTGTAACCGCATCTTCTTGTTCTTGTGTGGTTTTGGCGTATATGTACATATCGTAGAGATATAAGTACACACACACACATATATATATATGTATGTAACCACGCAGTAGAATCATCATCCACAGATGAACGTGTTTGTTGGTCGTGCAGGTTCGCCACGAATTGGGACCTCAGCAAGGATGAAACCATGGCTCAGATATTTTCGATATGGTGGGAATCCCCATTGCAGAGGGTTTGTCTGGGAGTTGATTGGGCTAATGGAGCATGGTTTTAGTTTTAAAATGGTAGCGGCCTCTGATTGAAGGATCCACCAAAATGGTTTCATTTTTTTTCCCCATCCGCCGAGCCATACAATCCCAGTTATAGCCTTTGCACCCTTCCAAGTCCGTGAAACCTGCATCACATTCTTCTTGGGGGCTTGATTGGGTCACCCCAACAATGTGTTCGCCCAGCCAGTGGATCCTATCTAAAGGTGCGTCCAAAATTAGCAGGGTGCCTCAAAATCCAGTGGTTTCGAACTCATTTTCCTTGTTGAAACTACCGCACATTGGGGGCTCCAACACGTTTCTTGTTGATTTTAGATGATAAATTTCATTATATGCACACACATAATTATATATATATACATAAATGAATTTCTATGAGTTACATCGATCAATTCCAGCCCATCTATTCTACATCCTCTCTATCCCCAAGCTGTGGATTCCGAGGATTCGGGCGCAGGACCGTCTCTTTGGTCATCTGAAGCCGTTGCCCAACAACTGGATTCGGATCACGTCCAAGAGCAGCGGCCGCTTGCAGAAGCGCGGAGCATGCGGTGGTTGGGGGGGCGGACAGAAAGGGGACTTATATTTGGATGGATGTCTCTGGGTGAATATACAATAATATATAGAATGGGGATCGTGTATACACACACATACATACATACATATATATATATATATATGTATGTATGCATATAGAAATGTATGTAGCCATATGCAGATTACAGCCTTCAAAGTGTGACAATCTACGTGATAAAAAGATATGTAGCTACAGTCGCTTGAAGTACAGGTTTCATTGTGAAAACAGAACGGAGCAGCGACCAGGAAAAAAACACCCTGGAGGTGGAAAAAAAAAACCTGGCCGATGCCCAAAACCAGAGCCACTCATGGACCCAGGCCCCGCTGCACAAACCCCAGAGGCCAAGAGAAGAAAAATTAAGAGGCATGCAGGCCAAATGCCCGACACAGCTTGGCCGAGTCAGGGCCAACCAAAGATGTTTTTTTCATGCAGATTATATATATAATATATATATATACATGTGCGTGTAGATGTATGATGATTCCGTGGAACCAACGTGTTTTTTTTGCCAATGGTGACGTGGGATTGGACCACAAGGGTATTACCTCACAAGTGGGGGCCCCAACCTCCGTCAATTCCTGGATGGTGTTCTAACCTCCGCTGCTGCTGAGGGAACATCTACTTCTACAACACCAAGACTGGCGAGTCCACCTTCGAAGAGCCCAGTGGCTCCTAGAAGTCCTTCAGCGACTCGTGCCGCCAAAAGCTGCTGTCCACAGCCTGCCACGGGGCAGTGGTTGAAGGGACATGGGCTGTGAAATCAAACATCGCCTTCTGACTGGTAACCGCTAACCTTGGCAAAAACTGATGTCATGGTGAATGCTAGTCTTGAATCACGTAAATCACCATTCATGGACCGCAGCCTTGTTCACTGGATCCAATCATGTTGGATCATGAATTCCAGACCTAATCTCCAGGCATCCCAGACCTTGCAACGTCGCAGGACGCCAGCAGCCAAGACATCAGCGGGACGCAACTCAGGTGCCGATACCGAGCCTGCCATTACCAGATACTATGATTATGGGAGGCTTCTACGCCATAGTGGGGTCAACCTCAATATGGGTTATATATGGTTATATGATGTTGTATGGTTTTCATAGGAGGTACTAATAATTGCCAAACAATAAGCATGTCCAAAACCAACCAAATCTGAGTATAAAGGTTTTAAGCGGTAGACATGGGCCAAAGAAAACGTGAGGATTTATCCAGCAATGTGACACCAGTGGGTTTTTTCCGCCATCAGTTGGGGATGGACATCTAGCCTCCGGTAATCAAATGTGGCAATAGAAAATCCACCATTTATGGATAATTTTCTGATTAAACCTCCATTTGCAGGGGATTTCCCATTCCCGCGTTTGATTTCCGGAGGGTAACTGATGCTACTTGTATTGCCCATGCAAATTGGTACGCAGGGGACAGCTTTTCACCTGTCCTGTGATTATTGTGCCATAAATTGTGCACAAAACAAATCAGCATGGCAAAGAAAATGGTTCCTTCCCAGACGTTTCCTTCTGGAAAAACAACGGTATTGGCTACTTCTGGAGGGTACATCCACATTTTTTTGGGGGGCATATCAGTCAATATCAGTGATATTCATCCGAAGTTGTTGCTTTTGTGTGGCAATTTCCTGGGTATCCATGACATCTTCGGAGATCTCCTGAATTTCTAATTTGTTTTCCCAACAAATTGTTATAACTCTTGGTGGGTTTTGACAGTTGCAGTGAAGGATCATCAAAGTTGGCAAGTTGTTCAGAACCACATCGACATATCATATCAGGCCCCATTTCATTTCCTGGGCTCATCCAGTTAAGCCCACAAATTCTACCCGGAACCTGGAAAAAAAGGATCCCGAAGATGACGTTCTGTGTTGAATTTAGAGGGTGTGTACTGGGGGTTACCCTTTGGTAGTCAAACATCCCGCCGGGTTGGAAATGGGCCGAGTAAAAACAGCATTTTCATGTGACTGGCAAGAAGTCAATCATGCGTTTCGCAGTGTTTTTTCATGTTTTTATGTTGTCCATGAAGGTCAATTCTATTGTGATTATGAATTGTCATTGGGATATACTGTATATAGTTGACATGTCGGAGTGCGAAAAAGGTTCCTTTTGGGAAGTCAGCGTGCCCAAAACCTCAGCGGCAGCCATTTTTTCCGGTGATTTCTACATCTTCGCTAAGTACGCACCTGTTTTCTCCAACAGGGCTTTTCCAACTACATTTGCCTCCCATCGCCACTGCCATGTGCGAACGTACGTCCAAATGAGGTCAACATCTTCAACGTAGCATGACGTATGTGCGCACGTGCAAGTGAACGTGCCGTGGCGTAACATCATGGGAGTGCGCAAGTACGTGAACGTTATTACCCCCCCCCACCCCACCCCACCCCAAGGAACATATATAAAAATGCCTAAAACGCTCGGACGGTTTTCAACCCGTAGGCTCAAACATGGCAATGGAAAATCAACCATTTATAGATGATTTTCCCATTCCAGTGCTCGTTTCCAGGGGATTTCCCATTGCCAATGACAAGTTCTTGTTGGCTGTAGCTGTATTTGGTAAGTCCGAAGCCAGGTTGGTGTTTGGTCACGTTGCCCATTTATTTCCATGATTTTGTGTGGGAATGGTTGGACATGTTCAATGAAGCACACCAATCCAAATCGCTCATTTTTTGTAGATTAAACCATACATCTTGGAGGCTTGACAATATTTGACTCTTACCCTATTTCCGTTAATGTGGTAAAGAAACCCTGAAATCATCCATAGCAACCCTCCAATTTTGAAAGAAATGGGTTGTGCAGAACAAGATTGTAGATTGTTTTTCTAAATGGAGCTTCATTATGGGCTTTACATGCTTACTTGTTGGATTATTATCCTCACATTTTGCTTGCTTACCCCCGATAGAACCTCATGAAATCTACATTAATGTGGTAAGCCCGATAGTAAGCCCAATAGTCATGTTTTATCACATTGTATAACTTACTATTATACTATTGATCCCTATGGTATCCAACGGGATTAACTAATCCCCAGTCGGTTCATGTCTTGAAACCGCAGGTCGGAGCTGGTGAGCAGCGAGGTCTTTGCACAACTTCGTAGGGGCGCCTGGATCTATCGGTCTTTGGTGAAAGACAAGTTTTTGTTCGTTGATACTCCGTTCATTTTTGTGAAGTCAGCTCATGTTGTTTAATCCCACATGAAGAAGTAAGTGTTTACCCCTGCTCAGTTTGGTTTGTTGCCGATCCTGACCAACAGATGCCAGGGATAGACGGTTTTTTCTCGGCTGGTGCAAACATAGATGAGTGAAGAGTATTGAAAAAATCACAAACCTCGAGACATGGCTTGGGAAGGAGCCGTTCGTCTGGCCTTGCCTAACAGGTACAGATGCTCGATTGCTTTTGGCGACTCGACGCCAGTGCCAGACCCAATTGCTGAGCTTGAGAACCACTGAGTTTTGATGGCACTTGATTGCATTCTCAGATGATACAGCCAATTGATACAGATGGTTCCAAGATGATAGAACCATCAATTTGATTGTATCTCAGTGGATCAGATGGTACAATTGATATATGATCCACGGGCTCCCGCCTCACCCCTGGCTCGAGGTCGGAAGGTCTGTCAGAGTCACAACTTCAGACAGAGGTCCACGGCCCCATCCACGGTGGAAGGATTGGATCATGTGCATGTGATGGTGAACCGATAGTTGGTGACAGTTGGTGAAATGGTAGTACTATGTAGTACTTGTAAGTATCTATTCTTATAAGTTCCTGTCTAGTATTATTTCCTCCTATCCATTCTAATGTGTTCCTATTTGTTCCCTTTGTTTCTACCTATTCTTATCTATTCTTATTTGTTTTTCTTATTCTGATTTATTCTTTCCTGTTCCCACATATTCTTATATTCTGATTTGCGTTAGGAGAAAAGAAGAGAAGAGGTAGGGAGGTAGAGATAGATAGATGGATGGATGGATGGATGGATGGATGGATAGATTCGGATAGATATAAGTAACCCGAGGAAAACACAGAGTCCGAAAAAGGCCCAATGATGGTCTTAGACAAGGATATTTCTTAAGAGCTGGCAACTTTTGGACCATGTCCAGTTTCGGGCTTGCTGCAACACGTCCTTTTTTTTTCTCCATTTTTTTGGGGATGGGCTCAGCAAAATCTTTTCCCGTTTTGGAACTATGGAATCCACTTCATGAGGATGGACTGTCCGTGAACTCTAAAATCACGTGCCAGACCTACAAAAAAGGGGACGCGAATCTGGCTAGTACGATGATGGACCAATTCCCATCCTTCGCAGAAACTTGTGAACCTTGCCATACGTTTCCCGCATTCCATCTGGGATTTCTGGGGGTTCCATCTTCAATTTTAGGGGATAAGGCCGTCCACAGCATTTCAACCCATATCTCCAAGCAGGTGCCACCAGCCAGGTCAGAGAGTTCTTGAAGCGCTCGTGGTTCAGCATTACCATGGAAGGGTGCGACAAATCAGTGGGGAGATCATCATGGGGGAATCGCCAGCCATGCTGAGATATGCTCAGTATGGATATACCGTCCTTCTTTCGTTAGTTTGTTCGCTTCCATTCTTGATGGCTTTGATTATAAATGCCAACCAGTTGCCAAGTGAAATGCCAACCAGTTGCCAAGTGGAACTGTTCATCTAACAGCCGGGGGGCTCGAAACATTCATTGGTAGTTGGGGAAGCTCTGCGAGCGTCTGTCAACGGGCTGGTCAAGTTTTGGAGGAATTTGCTAAATCTTCAGGCGTTGTACTGCTTGGTTCCTGGAGCATGCAGGGTTAGCATGGATTAGCTATGTATCTCTGGCAATTCAACATGGCGGGAAGAATTCATCGACAACATTAGACAATCCAGTCCAAGATTTGCTCTCCAAAGGGTATTTGGGAGAGGGGATGCACTTCTTCTTAGGTCCTTTGCCAGTGACCCGACTGCCCCGTCCGTTCGGGCTCAAGGGCCAATGGCACTGCTGTAGCTCGCCGGGGATGGGCCGCCACTGCAGCGGTTTCATCATTTTTTAGGGCCATCAAATCACTATGATTGAGGATCATTTATCCTGTGACTCTCTTTGAAAAGATGGTTTATTGGTTTTAGCTTGAAATGATTTTTTGTTCTTGTTTGATACCCATTTAAACTGAGCATTCTTGGTGGTAACAAAGCTCGGCAGTGTTTTCATATTCAATCAGTCATGTTTTTTGGTACCCAATGCCTTCGGGCACTTTGCTAGTTTGCAGCCCATGATAGGTTGCTTTATCGGCGCCATTTTGCAAGGGCCCTGAAACAGCAATATTCCCCGGAATTCGCTCAGGGTAACATGTCAGCAGTAACCCCCACAATTTGGATGACAGTCAAAACCAATTTCCTGAACAAAATCTTCTCTAAACTCAAGTATATGAGTTTGTCCACACTTGAATTTTAATAGGACCAACAATGATCAACCATCTTATTGCGGGGTTCTCATCATCTTCCAGACAAATCATCCATATCCATCAGCCCACTGAAACAAGCCTTCAGCTGTTCGAAAATCGCCAAGCGGGTGCCTTGACGTTGCCATGGTGCAGAAGCGATCTTCTGCAAGTGCGCAAAGTGAGGATTTCATCATATTCTCAATTGCAAGATGGTTAATAGCAAACATGATACCAGGTGATACGGTGATAGCACCGCAAAGATTTCGGATGCATTGCTGCCCATACGGTGAAGTCATGCTATACTCTACTGGCAAGTGGGGTTCCCTGCATTTGGGTTGTCGAACCAGGGCCTAGAGAGATCATGGTTGCCGAACACAGGTACCAATGACCCAAAGCCCAAGAAAGCGAAGAATGGCACTGGTGCCTGGACTCAGGGGGGTGTATTTTAAAGCTTGTTACATACTTTATCATATTTTGATGGAGGCATATATCCTCGAAAGAGATTTGAAACTGTTTGATGCATGTTCTTTTGTTCTTCTTTCTTTTTGTGTGGGTGGTAGGTTTGAGATTAACGGTGACTTTGTGACTGACCGAGGGTCGCCTTCTGTCCAAACAACTTTTCTGGGTAGCCATTTAAGTGCCAAGTAGATAGGAAATACAAGCAAGAAGCATAGGGTGTACCACTCAAAAACCGGATTGTTTCAGGGGCAAAAAGTGAAGGTCGCCAATTCGTGAAGCCATTTGCAAGTCTTAGCGTAACATTATGTAACATCTTCACCTGTCGTTAGAACTGCCGTTTGAAGTCTTGTGCTGCAATAAACCTAAAAGTCGTACACCATTTCCCAAGTTTGCGTAATTAGTTTGACCAGGAGCTCATCATAGGCTGTATGCCCCTTGGGCATTGTTGGTTGACGCAGCCGCGGTTTCACAGCCATCCTCCATGGACAGAGGGGCATTGGCTTCTTGCGCTCGGGTGCCGCGTGCGCATGGCGGAGCCAGCTGAGTCGGCTGAGCCCTCCACGAGGCAAAAGATCCTGGGAGTGAACATTTAGTGCAGTTTCGTGGACCGGCAGGTGTTGCAGGGTACTGATGTGACTGATATGACCGGTGCATTGTTGATGAATTTGGAGGATTTGACGCATAAAAGGGAGGCTGGCATGCATCCAAATTGGAAGGTGAACTATTCAACCTGGGTTCCTGGGTTCTTGCCCGGACGATTTTTCTCTATCTTAAGTTTGTATGCTAACATGCAGCCTCACGGAATGCCCAAGAGTGGAGATTCGCCAACAAAAGGTAGAATACAGACATGTGAAAATTACAAAGGGAAATTTAGCGAGTGTTTCTGAAGCAAGAGAGAGAGAGAGAGAGAGAACGAGAACGAGAGAACGGACAAGTGTTTCGCAAGATCCGACCCCAGAATACCCGCATTTTGTGCCATTCATCCTGCTCGATCAACCTAGGATTGTTCGCCAGTTTCGGGACATCAGAAACAGTGCTTCTCATTTGCGCCCTGACGATGTGGATGTGCAACAGGCACTGCGGGAAGAAGCAGGAGAGATGCGGGCCGATGCTTCCTTCATTTTGCAGTGCGGGAAGGAGATCCAAACACTGCTGAGTACCACATCTGCAGGATATTCGGAACTCTCGGAAGTGCCTTGGAGACAAGACCCGAGTTGTGTCCGAATTTTTGAGGGGCCATGGTGGGGGGTGCTTTTACAGTAGATTTTGATGGGTTTTGTATGGCTTGATCAAGGCTTGATCTATGGTTTTCTGATGTTTTAGGAACTGATGTGTCATTTTGATGGGGTCCAAATTGGACACGCCGGACTGAATTAACTATTATTATTTTATTATTATTATTCAAATTTAAATGCTGCTACAATTTTAAACAATTTGCTACCTGTTCATGTCGCATCTTTTCGCAATGGAAAGACGCGGAATACAAGTGCCGGCCCCTTCCTCCTAATTCTTGCTGATGCCCATAGTCGAGTGTTCCAGAGGACTTGTTTGTGCATGTTGCCAAGTGCGCTCTGGCCTTTTTTTGTTAACAGTTTCCAACAATTGCGTTGGAAGTTTTTGTTTGAGCACAGGCGCTGCACCACGGCAATTTATAGCTATAGAGTAAACTGCCACATTTGTTCGCATTCGGATGGCAACTGTTTTGCCTAAGACTGCCCAACCATTCCACAGGCGAGACTGAGCATGAAGCACGAACTAGCTAGGCTGCAGGGCATGTACATCTTGAGTAAAGTGCAACTCCGGACTGTTGTGGGCATCCATGTGTTTGAAAGAATTGTGAGGCGAGTAGGTTCAATCAACTCTAAAAATTAGTCTTATTAATAACTTATTAATAACTTAATTTAGTCTAAAAATTAGTTTTGTTATAGCTGTTTCTTCATGTGATGTCACCTGTGTCCAGGAACCGGACCTGTCGCGTGGCAACGTCTTTGATATCTTTGAGGCCGTTCGCCGTTGTGCCAATGACATGGCAAGTCTAACAGCGGAATCAGACCAGAACTGGCACTGGGGACCAGCTTCCGATCAAATCGTTCGCGCCATGCGAAGAGTTGAGGATTTGTTGAGAGAAATCTTGGGAGAGGATGAGGTGCCGGAAAGCTCTTTGCCAACAACCCAGCCTAGTCGCGGCCCTCATGTGCAAAGTGTCACAGATGAGACAGGGACACGAGGGCACCCAGAGGTTTCAGACCTTCCGGAGACGATTGTGGCAGGGAACCTGACGGCTGAATTGCAGAGACTGGGACAACAACTGCTTGAGCAGCAGCACAAACACGGAAACAGACTTAACCATGAGGTTGCCGCAACACTGCATGAACTCGGGCAAGTGGGTCGAGATGCTGGTGATCTTCCAGAAGCAAAGCAGCATTTGGAGGAGTCTTTGCGAATGAAGCGCTCCTTGCACGGTGATCGGGATCACCCGGACATTGCCGCAACGCTGCATGAGCTTGGGATAGTGAGTCTAGTTGCTGGAGATCTTCCAGAAGCAAAGCAGCATTTGGAGGAGTCTTTGCGAATGAACCGCTCCCTGCACGGTGATCGGGATCACCCTGATATTGCCGCAACACTGCATGAGCTTGGCACAGTGAGTGAAGCTGCTGGAGATCTTCTAGAAGCAAAGCAGCATGTGGAGGAGTCTTTGCGAATGAAGCGCTCCTTGCACGGTGATCGGGATCACCCTGGCATTGCCGCAACGCTGCATGCGCTTGGGATAGTGAGTCTAGCTGCTAGAGATCTTCCAGAAGCAAAGCAGCACTTGGAGGAGTCTTTGCGAATGACGCGCTCTCTGCACGGTGATCGGGATCACCCTGACATTGCCGCAGCGCTGCATGCGCTGGGCGGCGTGGCTGGAGATCTTCCAGAAGCAAAGCAGTATCTGGAGGAGTCTTTGCGAATGAACCGCTCCCTGCACGGTGATCGGGATCACCCTGGCATTGCCGCAACACTACATAACCTTGGCACAGTGAGTGAAGCTGCTGGAGATCTTCCAGAAGCAAAGCAGCATTTGGAGGAGTCTTTGCGAATGAACCGCTCCCTGCACGGTAATCGTGATCACCCTGACATTGCCGCAACGCTGCATGAGCTTGGCACAGTGAGTGAAGCTGCTGGAGATCTTCCAGAAGCAAAGCAGCATTTGGAGGAGTCTTTGCGAATGAAGCGCTCCTTGCACGCTGATCGGGATCACCCTGGCATTGCCGCAACGCTGCATGAGCTTGGGAGCATGAGTCTAGCTGCTGGAGATCTTCCAGAAGCAAAGCAGCATTTGGAGGAGTCTTTGCGAATGAAGCGCTCCCTGCACGGTGATCGAGATCACCCTGACATTGCCGCAACACTGAATGCGCTTGGCACAGTCAGTGAAGCTGCTGGAGATCTTCCAGAAGCAAAGCAGCATTTGGAGGAGTCTTTGCGAATGAAGCGCTCCCTGCACGGTGATCGAGATCACCCTGACATTGCCGCAACACTGAATGCGCTTGGCACAGTCAGTGAAGCTGCTGGAGACCTTCCAGAAGCAAAGCAGCATTTGGAGGAGTCTTTGCGAATGAAGCGCTCCCTGCACGGTGATCGAGATCACCCGGACATTGCCGCAACACTGCATGCGCTTGGGAGAGTGAGTCTAGCTGCTGGAGATCTTCCAGAAGCAAAGCAGTATCTGGAGGAGTCTTTTCGAATGAACCGCTCCCTGCACGGTGATCGGGATCACCCTGATATTGCCGCAACACTGCATGAGCTTGGCACAGTGAGTGAAGCTGCTGGAGATCTTCCAGAAGCAAAGCAGCATTTGGAGGAGTCTTTGCGAATGAAGTGCTCCTTGCACGGTGATCGGGATCACCCTGACATTGCTGCAACGCTGCATGAGCTTGGGATAGTGAGTCTAGCTGCTGGAGATCTTCCAGAAGCAAAGCAGCATTTGGAGGAGTCTTTGCGAATGGAGCGCTCCTTGCAGGGTGATCGTCACCATGGCATTGCCGCAACGCTGCATACGCTGGGCTGCGTGGGTCGGGCCGCTGGAGATTTTCCAGGTCCAGAAGAAAAGCAGCACTTGGAGGAGTCTTTGCGAATGACGCGCTCTCTGCACGGTGATCGGGATCACCCTGACATTGCCGCAACACTGCATGCGCTTGGGAGAGTGAGTCTAGCTGCTGGAGATCTTCCAGAAGCAAAGCAGTATCTGGAGGAGTCTTTGCGAATGAACCGCTCCCTGCACGGTGATCGGGATCACCCTGACATTGCCGCAACACTGAATGCGCTTGGCACAGTGAGTGAAGCTGCTGGAGATCTTCTAGAAGCAAAGCAGCATTTGGAGGAGTCTTTGCGAATGAAGCGCTCCTTGCACGCTGATCGGGATCACCCTGGCATTGCCGCAACGCTGCATGAGCTTGGGAGAGTGAGTCTAGCTGCTGGAGATCTTCCAGAAGCAAAGCAGCATTTGGAGGAGTCTTTGCGAATTAACCGCTCCCTGCACGGTGATCGGGATCACCCTGACATTGCCGCAACGCTGCATGAGCTTGGCACAGTGAGTGAAGCTGCTGGAGATCTTCCAGAAGCAAAGCAGCATTTGGAGGAGTCTTTGCGAATGAAGCGCTCCATGCAGATCGGGATCACCCTGGCATTGCCGCAACGCTGTATGAGCTTGGGAGAGTGAGTCTAGCTGCTGGAGATCTTCCAGAAGCAAAGCAGCATTTGGAGGAGTCTTTGCGAATTAACCGCTCCCTGCACGGTGATCGGGATCACCCTGACATTGCCGCAACGCTGCATGAGCTTGGCACAGTGAGTGAAGCTGCTGGAGATCTTCCAGAAGCAAAGCAGCATTTGGAGGAGTCTTTGCGAATGAAGCGCTCCATGCAGATCGGGATCACCCTGGCATTGCCGCAACGCTGTATGAGCTTGGGAGAGTGAGTCTAGCTGCTGGAGATCTTCCAGAAGCAAAGCAGCATTTGGAGGAGTCTTTGCGAATTAACCGCTCCCTGCACGGTGATCGGGATCACCCTGGCATTGCCGCAACGCTGCATGAGCTTGGGAGAATGAGTCTAGCTGCTGGAGATCTTCCGGAGCTGTCCTCCTGCTTGGATCAAGATGATCCTGGCCAGACGCAATAACTTTTGTGAATTGACAGTTTTTGTTTGAACAATCACAGGCGAAATTTGGAATAATTACCTAGTTCAGAATGTTAATTTTCTGATTGGTTTACCTCTGGCCATCTTGCTATTTGAGCTGGGCTTGGCCACAATTGTGGAGCCCTTGGGTTCCATACGTCTAGCATATGCAGTAGCAATGCAATATTCCCTTCATATTTTGCTCCTTGGTAACCCAGGCAGCCACAGCAGAAGCAACAAAAGGCATTGGTCAACCGAGAGGGAAAACTTGTTAACCAGGTTGGTGAATGGGTGAGGAGACATCAAGTCACAGACCGGGGACAGTTTTCACGGCGGTCCTCAGGATTTTTTCAGGGCAAAAGATAAGACTGGACCAATCCAGGAAAATCCTTCTTATCTTTCTTTCATGAGCTTTGGTGTCCATATTGGGCAGCGCTCGACGTGAAACAATCCGGGAAAATCGGTGCAAAAGCTTCAGAGTGTAGCCCTTTGTGTCGCACAGACCATATCTCAGTTTAGCAGGAGCTAGCAAAATTTTACATAAGGACCTGTGAAGATTCTCAGGGATGTCTTGGAGAAAGCCATGTCCTTATGTTTGGTTCTCGAGACCGGCGTCATTATCAGCAAATATTAGCAAATCTTTTTACATGTAGCAAAGTGGTTCCTTAATATCATTTCAAATCTTTGTTGGTCGTTCTTTGGTTGCTTAGGGATGCAGATTTATCACGTTTAGCCAATACTGCCTCCGAGATTGCAGCACATTCTCCCCAGTGCCCACCAAGCATGGCTTCTACCCAGGTTCGAGCTGGTACCTGCATTCTCAGGATGTCTAGCAAGAATCAAGTGCCATAGGCCATAGATTCTCTTTTCCCTTGTTTTCCGTGCCCTCCGGTAAAGTTCTTATATGCCGTGGTTTCTTCGATGTCTAGCATCTCCCTACCTCAAAACACATTTTTCAACCCCGTCGTCATTATATATTACTATATATTACTTCTTTTTCACAATAACTCGTTTTCTGCTTGACAGTTTAAAGTAACTTGTTCTTTTCACGCCTAAGTGGCATGACCAACTGCAAAGATGGACTTCCCAAAACTAGGGAACTGGAAGATGATGTTCCTCATTTACATTTTTTTGGTTGCAGTTGTGTTTTTCTACTTATTGGAAGGGCCTTGGCACATCTGTGGAGGGGACTTCAGGTGTGGCTGTGGAGGAACTACTGCTGGCGGAGCTGCTTGATCAGCCAGCCCGCAAAGGCTGGGAATGGAGGAAGTACCTTTGGATGTTTTAGATACACCTTCGGTGACCTTCAGGTCATTTTCTCCTTCAAAAACGTTGCGGCGTTTCCTTGTCCCCTTGAATTTCTTGATATTCTCTCGAGGATGTTCCCTAGACATTCTGGCGCGGGGGAGTTCCCCAAGATTTGCGGCTTTTCTTCCCCTCTGTGGAATATCTATCGATCTGAAATCCGTTGCTTCCTGAGTTAAAAGAGATATTTTGAAAAATGACATCTTTGGATGGTAAATCAGGGTAAATTATGGTAAATCCACACGAGTTTCCACCAGGAAACCTCCATCAACTTTCCGACCCCATGAAATTTCCCGGCGAAATCATCCATAAATCCACTGCCAGGCAGTGCCAAGGCTTCCTCCAAGCGACCAGGGCGACCTGCAGGCGGCATGATTTTTTTAGGTCTATATAAGGGCTATGTGAGGGGATATAGATCCGAAAATCCAAAATATGGCTTGATATGGTACAGTACCTCCATTGTAGGTACCTGAAATGGCCATGGAAAAATCCATGAAGTTTGAAAACTGAATGATCTTGCCACAGCACACGCGTCAACATGAAAAGGTATTGCAAACCACCGAGATCAACACATCACAGGACAAAATGGGAAAGGTGAAGATTTCGCCACAACAAATAAGATTGAACATGATTATGGAATACCTCATAAAATCCAATACATCCAACATATATCCGGTTCATATCATTTTGCGTATATATATATATATGTAGATACTCACTGCAACGTCACTGGGATGATGGTTAATAGGGGGAATGATCCAAAATGGCATTATTTCAAGTCGAGGAAATAGAAGAATTGTATTACATACATCTGAATATACACAGATACTAAAAATATACGTCCAATAACTCCCATAAATCAACAAACATCATAGAATTCTCCAGTATATCAATCTCTCTATTATCAACCCCCCAAAAATCCATCCATTCCATAATAGTCCATATAATCCATAATAATCCATATAGTCCATCTATGGACAACAGGGTAATCCATCCATAAAAGTTCATAATACGTGGGTATGATCATATCCACCCTATGAACATCAATAAATAAATAAATAGATAAATAAATAAATACCCCCCCCCCACACACACATATATATATATATATGTATAAAATCCATCCATCCATCCATTCTATAGATCCATATATTGTTCCTCTGTCATCCCCACGTTGCAGGTGCTCCGCCCAAGCGCCTGTTGCCCGAGGAGGCGCTGGCCGCGGGCGGCGGCGGACGGCTGCGGACCGCACCGGCGGCGCGGCTCTCGGAGGCGCCGTGGCCGGGGCTAGGGTTCAGGGGATTTGACCTAGAAAATCCTAGGAAAAATGGTGATTTTATGACAATGGCTATGGAAAAACCTAGGAAAAATGGTGATTTTATGACAATGGCGATGGAAAAACCTAGGAAAAATGGTGATTTTATGACAATGGCGATGGAAAAACCTAGGAAAAATGGTGATTTTATGAACATGGCTATGGAAGATACCATGAAAATATACCATGAACATGATATACCATGTTTTTAAGAGGCAAGTCCAGCTAGCAATTGTTTGGCAAGTCCATTGCTCTGTTGAATTATCAAGAAGGGTAGTATATAGGTATAGCTGAAGTGGGTCAAACCTGCAAGCTAGTTGGTGGGTGGATTTGAAACCGTAGTTACAGAAATTATATCCCAACATATGGGGGTTGACAAACAGAATTATACCTTTTTGTAAGTTGAACTTAACCCAAAAGTAAGGGGATGTCTGGGAAAACTTGGTGAATCGTGAGTCAATATAGGCGAATAGGCATTCAATTCCCAACAAAAAAAACTGCTGGTATGAACCACCTCCAAAATTTAAAAACTGCTGGCTAAAAAAATGCTTTCCATAAGCCATCATAAGCCGTGAAACGTAAAAACTGTCCAGATTTCGCTAGCTAACGGCAATGGAAGTTTTACAGGACTCCTCAGCCAACAACGATGAGGATTTAGCCAGTGACCCCATAGGGTTCAGCCACTAGAACTAGAGATTTTGCCGAGAAACATGGATTGAGAAAAAGGGGGGCCCTGACGATAGCCAGATAGCCACACGATTAGCAATCGCTCACCAAAACATCCTAGTGATGGTTGGGGTTATGCCATGGCAGCGACCAGCTACAAGAGTGTGTTTTATTACTATTATTGTTATCATGTTGTTATTATTTCTCATTATTTTGTTTTTTTCCCTCACTTGAGGGTTCAAATGTTTTTTTTTTTTGTAGCATTGATGTGGATATCAGTCGGGGGCACTTCAAACATCAAAAAAGGAATCTATAGTATAGATTTCACCGACCAACGAATCAAGAAGCAGCAGCAGAAGAGGGACTCCTGAGGACTTTACCCACCAACATGAGAAGGTGGCGATCTAAACATGAGAACGGCACTGAGTCAATACAGAAGGTCAGTCGCAATGGTGCCTCGTGAGCGCAAAAGCCAGCAACCAACCCCGGGACCGAACACTCAAAATGACTCAAGATCTGAAAGTAATGATGTAATGTGAGTTGACTACATCCATAAAATCGGCCATCAAAAACCTTGGCTTTTGTTCCTCGCATTCTTTCACTTTCCGGGCATTTTTTTTTCTTCTTTTGGAATTCCCCATCCAACAAGTTTTTTCCTGAGATTTCCTGAGGATTTTTCCATGTTCATCCCATTTTGTTTCACATTTTCCCATCCAACTTGACCTTGCGACCTTGCCCCTGGACGCCCAACCGGGCCCTCCAGGTGGTAGTGGGCTTCGACAGCAGCGAGGAGCCCACTCCCATCCGGCTGGTGCCGAAAGGGAAGATGCTGGCAGAGGGCGAAGTCTACGAGACCCAAAGCGAAGAGATCCGCTGCTGGGGACGCGTTGAGACTGAGATCCTGAGGTGGTTCTAGAGGGGATTGGCAGTTTTTAAAACCAACCAGAACCCATTGCCCCCAGAAATGCATGCGTGACCAGCAAAAGAGTACAGAGGATGTCCCAGGTGACCAAGAGCAGTGTCAGATGCAGGGTGATTTGGTGAAGCAAAAGTGGTTTGGGATTTTAACCAAACCAAAATTGGCGGGTGATTGAGCTCCTGAGCGATTGTAATTGGGGCACCCTCACCTGCGTGCCACTTGGACAATTTCAAACGAATCCAGGGATGAACCTGAGTACAGAAGTCTTAGCCCGGTTCCCGAAAACGGGGCTTACTGTATCCCCAGCAGTATCATCCATAAATGGAGGTCAATCCAGAAGCGATCTTGGGCTCATGCCCCCCAGATGCCCCCAGGAAAGGAGTATCCGCAGTCGCCCATTGCCAAAGTCTGTCGCGCCAAGTACAACTGGGTGGCTCAAACCGATGGTGGCCGCTTCACTCGTGCCTGGGCGATGCACCCAGGGCCCCTGGACAATATTGACCCATACTTGTACCGATCCATAATTTGGATGGAAATCCACTCCCAAATCCCCAAGTTGGGTTGATTAAATCCACATTTTTACAGCTTGTATCATATCCTCATTCATCTACTGGTCACGGTGCAGCTATCCCCATTTTACACGTATCCCAATCCTTGCTATGGTTGCTAAAACCACAACAATTCCATGTGAGATGGGGTGACGTGTCCTACCGGAGATATTTGCATATTTTATCCATGTCTACCGCCATTGGTATGTTTATATATATATAGATATAGATATATGCATCTGAACGGATATTGCACATGTTTGTCCCCCATGTTTGATTTTTCATTGGGATCTGCGGTGTTCATGGTGTTCTCCGCCCAGGAGATCCCAGCAAGATGCTTCCCATCCTCCAAGTGGCTGGAGGGGGAGGGAAGTGGACCTGCGACGTTTGTGGCAAGACCCTTGGGCTGGAAGGGTCCCGAAACGTCCCGTTTCGGAGGCTTTGTGATGGATCAATGGTTGGTACCAAAACTCGGTGTTTTGCATCATAAACCATCCATTTTGGGGGTGCACCCATTTACGGAAACCCCCACGTAATACTAAAAGATGACTCAAGAAAATGCGATCCCATCAAAATGGGCTGTTTTAAGATGAGACTGCATCAGCTAGCTAGACCTAGGTTTCACCCTCAACATTGTGATACTCGCCACAAGTAGTGTCGTAGTGTCAAAAAACCCAGTTCCCAGGTTCTGCAATTTGATCTATATTTGGTTGAACACATCCTGGGGTCGGGTGCCGCATTTTGGACAGGGTTTATGTTAGTGTAGACTGTTTCGAAGACATTGGCTGGCAATTTGTTCCGTTCATGTTCATGCAATTCGCAGCAGTGACTTGTGAGCCCCGGCGAGGGAAATTGACGACCATGGAAAAGTCATTCGTTTCCATTTCGTTTCCATTGGTCAATCCCTTTTCTTGAAACCATCCCATGTCATGTGCTTGTTAGGAGGTGATCCCTCCAAATGACCGAGGGGATGAATTTCAAGCAGTTGGATCATGCATCCCCCCAGTGTCATGGTGATGTTTAACCTGGGCGTAATTATTCTCCAAGGAACTGCTCAGAGCAGCTCTTCATTTTCCGGGCCTTTCTTCGAAAGGAGCATTTGCAGAGTCTGGAGGGCAGGTGCCACACTTGCAAAACATGTGAGAAGCATTTGCTGGATTGCTGGGGATTGATCATGGTGACCTGTCACATAGTAAGAATCCAAGTGCATGAGCCCGTATATCTCTTCAACTCGCAAGGCAGCAAATATGGCTGGCGGAGTGACTTTCATTCAGATGACAGGAGCCAGAAAATTCAAGTTGACGAGACTATTTTCAATGCGCGTAATGTGGGACCCGCAGAACAAACCCCAATGATCAACCATTGGGGTGTATTTGGGAGCTGTTCCAAATCATCCCAGGGGTACACACAATAAACATCAATAAACCGCATCCCCAATTAGGCCACCTGCAAGCCCTTGGCCGATCAACGTGCCAGGTGTTTGGATCCCTTTGTGGCCTACATCAGCTTCAAGTGCGGTCGTGGCTTGCTTGGGCAGCGCCTCGGCATCGAGTCCAGTTTTTCCCCGGGAAAAAACCACAGGTGGAGATGGCATCCAGATGGATTTTCCCTGTGTTCGATTGGGTCTCCCTGATGAAATTGTCCTGCCTTTCCTGCCTCCAGGCTCAGTGAATACATGCGCTTCAGGGAGGAGGTTTTCAGCCCCTCGGCTTGGGTGCATGGGAGGGTTTTGGAGCACAAAAACCACCAGATTTTAGCCACCAAATCTAAGTTCTTTGAGCCAAATAGCGTTTTTACACGGAAAATTGGGATGTTTCCATGAAACATTGGGGTTGGACATGGTTGAACCAACCAACATGGCTACACTGTGATATATTTTGAATATATTCGAGCATGGTTTGAGCATGGACCTGAGGCCTCACCACCAAGCACAGCGACCTCGACGAGGCGCGGCAGCAGCTGGAGGATGCCTTGAAACACTACAACCGCGAGGCGTGGAGTCACCGGTGCCAAATCACCGGGTTTCCAAAGCCAGGGGGTACCCAATGGATGGTTTACAATGGAAAATCCTATTAAAAATGGATGATCCACATGAACTGCTGGATTGGGTCTTAGATTTGGATCCCGATTGGGGTGTTCCCAGTTCGTGAGACGTGCTGAGTAGTGGAGTAGTGTGCGGGTGGAAACATTTCGTCGCTCCGGCTCCATGCGTGGGAAGGGCTGAACCTCCAGCGCCCAGGACCAGCAGTTCTTGGTGGACGAGTTGGAACGGCTCGCAGGTGTCGGGCCTGGTGGAGCGCCCAAGACGGTGGAGATGGCGCCGTGACTGAAGATGGCGATGGGATGCGATGGGGTGGGGTTGCTTAAGGTCAGGGTGGGGATGAGCTTCAGATGAAATACGGGGGATGCCATCCGTCATGGGGAAAAATTGGAAAGGTTTAGTTTATTTGTTTATCTACCAACTTTTTCCAGTTGTATTTGGGGTGTTGGGAGCAATCCTGTGGGTACTCTGGTGAAGATTAGGGTAGTTGGTACTGGACCAATACCATGACCATAGAACTGGGTACTGTTTCTGATAAGGGGTTCGCACCGAAAAAGTGATAAACATAATTATCAACTGATGGGGCTAATCTATTTTTTGAAACAGGGCTTCCGTATTGCAGCTGCGATACATGGGGATATCACCCTTTGCTATTAGGCCAGTGGAGGAAATTGCAATTGATGTACCATTTAATTCTTGGGGTACCTCAAGTTTGACTCATGCCGTGGGGATTGCAACACGTAAATATCATTAACACTAGCGGGATAGGCTTGGGGCATAACCCCATGGACCACAGAAACAGCCACAAGTGGACATCCACTTGGCCACGGCAGAGGATTCAGTGGAACGGCTGGTGCCGGGAGCTCACCCTGCAGTGCTCCTTCGAACACCGGAGGCTGGCGCTGGTCGATCTATTTTGGAGCCGGGAAACCAATTGCTTTTTGAGGCAGAAATTGGATGATTGTGACATCCACATGTTCTATTGGTGATTTTCGCAGGATTGGGGGTCCAAAAAAAAGAGAGAGAGAGAGATATATATATACACATATACTGGATGGCTTAATGATACGAAAAAAGGTTTGTCTCAAATTGGGGGATGCCCCAAAGCGGCAGTTGAATAGGCAGAATGATGGACCGTCAGTTTTTGGGTCGCCACATTTTGGGTCTCAAGTATTGGTTTGTTGGTGATGTTACTATTCTTGTTGATTATGATCCAACTGTGGGTTGGTTGAAACATGTTGAAACTTTCATTCAGGTACCCAGTGTTGCAGGTCAAGCAGCTATTAATGTATCCCATGACAGTATCTATTCATTACTTGTGATCCCCTTCTTGTTGATTATATCCCCATTGATCCATATCAAGCCATATCAATCCATTCCCCTGGCATTACTTTGATCATCTCATTCGGGGGATGGGTTGATCATCTCATTGTATCCCATTAGATCCCAATTATTCTGATAATTTTCCATGATCATCCCTGTTTAAACTGTACAAAAACATCATATGAAACTACCATTAAGCCTCCATTTTTAGCATTAGGCCATGGCCAAAAAACAACCCATCGTGTGTACAGGACGTCTTCAGGGCTATGGCACGCACCCTGGCGCCACGCCTCCTGCTCGCATGGGTTGTGGCTACCTGTTAGGTTGGCTGCGGCAAGTGGGGTATAGCTTCTTTCAATGCAATATGTAAATCAATATATGTGTATATATATATATATGTATAAGTATATTATACATATACGGACACACGCATATTGTACACATCCAAGTTCGTTACGAACCATGTACTGAGTCATTGACTTCAATTACCCTTCAAAACGTAAAAAGAAAGCCTCCAAAATGGGATGGAAGACGATGCACCGGTTTGATGGCTTTCAAGGGCAAATTGGATGATATATGATGATATGCCACGTGGCCGCTTGAGAAGGCTATGCTTGGGTGATCATCACATTTAGATACATTTAGTAAATACTTGGCAACCATGATTGGTTTCACACTGCTGCATGGCTCCCTGATTGGTTTTGCACTGGGCATGCGCGGTCCAGAGGCGTTGGCGCTCGTCTTCTTGCGGCTGCCACCATCAGCCAGCTGCAAGAGGAGGGCTCGGAAGTGACTGGCTACCTGCATAGCGCCTTAGCTGCGAGACATTTGGTTGTGAGGGGCTGGGGTATGATGCTATCCCACTGAAAAGCATGCAGCCATTCTTGGTATGGGACCATTGAAATGATGACATGGTTGATTGCCAACAACCATGGAGAGAAAAACTGATGCATGCAACAAATACAAGTAAAACGATTCATGGAACTTCCACTTTGTTCGAGGGGCTTCTTCGAATTGCAGCACCCCCCCGAGCCGGGCGTGAGTTTTTCCATGTAACTGCTGCGTGCCCTCATTTCAGCATTTGGCATTTTGCTGATGTTCACAAGCAAGTTGCAGAGGCTTGCTGCGGTTCAACAGGGGGGTCTAATAATAGATCCTCTAGGATCAAGCAGGCGAGCCATCGAAACCAAGAGTTTCTCAGAGGTCGAAATATTGCTCAGATAGCTGACTGGAAGAGTCTTCAGTCATGGCTGCCTAAACATGTCAAGACGTTGTACAGAGGTCGTTTGAATGCCAAACTCATGCTGTACCTGCGATTATGGCAGATCCGTTTCCAACATCAACATAAGGCAGCATAAGTATGTACAGAAGGTGGGTCAACTCTTCAAAACGAAGAATGGAGGCTGAAGACAAAGAACCGAAGAAAACGGTCAGCTTTGAAAGCCAAAGTTGATGCACGGCATTTTTTTCAGATGTTGACCAGTGCGTGCTGATATCAAAAATTCATCTCATATTCACTGTAAATTACAATGTGTTATGTTCGTTCCTGATTTAAACCCTAAAAGCACAATGATTAAAAACCCACGCCTGCCTCAAGGCGTTGTTCCCTTGTTATTGGTTGTTCATTATTTTCCATATGAACATGGCACTTTTTGGGTAGTTTCAGACACACCCAAATGTCCGAAATCTCAAGTGATGTATATATATATATACCCCCCAAAATTATCGACCATAGAATCAGCATCATGTTTTCGACTGTGGCACATATGTTTTTTTGATTCAAAATTCGCTTCAGCGGAGGTGTCAAGAGCAGCTTAGACGCCGGGGGCCCCTTGCCTCAGGCCCCGGTGGGAGTGGAGACCTACTCGCTATGGGAAACACAACGCTTGTATCCACACAATCTTGCTCAAATTGGCGGTAAAGTCGATTGTAAACCAGAATGTGCAAATAGATGGATGATGGAATGAACAAATATGTATAGATAGCTAGCATTATGTAGATACTTAGACAGATAGACACATTGAAACCCATAGAAAGATAGACACATAGAAATCGACTCTCTAGATGGCTCAGATAGCTCTCCATGATCAGATCTGTCCTGATTTTTTAACGCCAACAAAACCATTGCCGCGCCGCCAGGCGCCGCTGCGCTGGCCCCTGGCGCAGGTGGAGGGCACCATCCAAGCGGCGCTGCGGGCCATGAACGGCCAAGGCACGCCAGCTGGCGGAGGATGTTTGGGGACCATTTTTTTTTTGGGGAAAAACTGGTGCCCAAGTGAGTTGAGAAGTTTTTTTTTTCTCCTCCGCCGGATTTCAAGCATTTTTTTAACATTAACAAATGTTGGGTTTGGCTGCATCTTTGCTGATCATTTTCACAATTTGATGATGGGTGATCAACCGAAACTTGAGGTTTTCTTACCAAGGGACATAAGGTTTTGAGCATCAAACATGGAGAATGAAGCTGGCAAAATGGAATGTTAAACTGCACTGTGATATCTGAGCAGCATCCCCCAAGCCTACCGAATTCCTACTGTAGTAGTTGGTTGAGGGTAGCGGATTGTATACCAAGCCCCATGAGGCCATTCAGCATCATCCACATGACACATCATCCTGTAAAGCCCTGAAATTACCATGGCTTACACAACAGGCGAGCGACCCCAGCTGCGAGTAGAGCTTGCATGCTCGTGGGATGCCAAGATGAAGGCGGGATGCAACCGATGGGGACCCCTAAAAATTGCTGCACATCTCATAAGTTTAGCGCCAAACTTTGCTTGTTTGTTAGATGTTGATTTTCCAACAGTTTGTTCTTTTTTTACTCCACCACCTTGCCACCTGGCGGCGAGCGAAATGGTGGGGTGATGCTCATTCTATCCCAGACCATGGTGCTGGTGTACTTGCCTGCATTTGACAATGCAGCATACCGACGTAGGCTCAAGTGCCACAAGTACAGTTGTCGCATTTGCTCATCATAAATACGAATCGCCTTCCAAAACGATTCTAACAGGAAAGCAGGGAGAAATCAGACAAAATGACGAACTCACTTGGTTGTTGCAAGGGTTTCAAACCCCCAAATCACCTGGACTTTGTGCGTTGGGTAATGAGTCCTTTGGATATTTCCCCTCAGATAGCCTGGTAAAACACCCTGAACTCAGCTCCTCCCAAGCTCCGGGGTCGTTGTCACCCGGCCGCGGTGAGGCCTTTGGGCCGAAGAAGGCGGACCTGACGCTGCGGCTGGGCTACCTGCAAGCCAGGCATCGGGCCGTTAAAGCCAGGGCAGCCACTGCAGGTTTTTTTTCACTGCAGGGTTTTTTCCTAAACCCCAAAATGTCATTTCCGGCAAGATCATTTTGCAAACCCACTTCTGTTTGGTTCCATGTCGTGTCTCGATACATTTGATGGAGTATCCCGCAACATGTTGCATTGCTCACTCCCATATAGCTTGTGCTTGGTGGTTTCGTTTTTTCACGCTGTCTCCTATGGAAATGGGATGATGATCCCAATTGATTGGCATTGTTTGGGACGTATAGATCAACGCCACCACCTTTTTTTTCTCGCTGAAATCACGTTCATTTTTGCTCCAAATGGCATCTTTCTTTTGCTTGCCCGCATTTGTGCTTGGACAACGGTCGAATCAGTTACATAAAAACATCCCTGTAGATAGATAAATGGAAAGACAGACAGACAGATAGATTCAAAATGATGAATATATAGATAGGTAGATGGATAGGAAAAAGATTTCGTTAAGCCCCTATCCGCCGATCACCAGGCAGGCCTTACACGCCTTTGTCCCCGGCGCGCGGCTTCAGCGCGAGGACGCGGCGCAGCTGCAGCAGCGTCTAGATGCGGTGAGCGGCGAGTTGCATCTTGGGCCAAGGGTCGTGGAAGAGATCGGTTGATTGATGGGTTCATGGGAAATTTATGGGACATTTATTGGAAAAAGTGTGGGAAAAGTAAGTACCTTTGCGGAGAAAGGTGAGTCAATCGCATAACCATCAAAAATGCTTAAGTAGCTATATATTTAATGGTTCGCCCTCTCTAAAGAATATATAACATGTGTTTATACAGTTACAAAAACACACTGGTTGGCTGCTTTTCCAGCACTTGGACTCTTGTGCGACGTGAGAGAGAGAGAGAGAGAATTAATGGAAATACATGCGCATACCTACAGGTAGACATTCTTATATACATATACACATATACAGTATATTTCTATCTATCTATCTATCTATCTATCTATATATATATTGGGTGGGTCTCAAAATGGGGATGAACCACCAAGATAATATGGCCATCGTAGTGGGGAACATGATGATGACTCGTGGTTTTCCAGGGCCCTCACCACACTTGCAGACGAAGTCCAGGGTTCTCCCGAATAGTGCCTCCCCTGCATGAAGAATTAAACATAGGAATTAAACCAAATGGGAATACGCCTGCTGACCATCAAAGGGTAAAACCATGTAAAACCAATGCGATGACAGTTGAACAGTCCCCACGACACCTTGGTGAAATGTGAAATGATTGTCGTTGCCTAGAGGTCGGGGTACTCTGTATGTCAGGGATCAATGACCCGGTGGATGATCTAAATCCCAAGGAATCAATCATTTGTTCCAGGTTCTAGGTGAAACCTTTAATCTCAAGTCAGGCTACTGGGTAGCTCGTGATTTCCACACCAAGAACTGAATAGTTTCAACCCCGCGTAGATTTGGTGTGTTGTGTTTGTCGCATTGTTCTCAGTTGAGAGGAGTTGAGTGTGATTGAGGCAGCCGGTGGCAGCTGGTGGACTAGTGCCTCGGTCATGTTTTCTTTAGTGCAGAGGGCATGCTGGATCATCTTAAGAGGTGTGAAATAGGTGAGTTTCCTCGCAGTTCTGATTTTTTGGTTCGAATATGAGATTCATGGAGAGCACCAATTTTCGTAGGTAACATCGCTGGGTTCTGGCCCCAGAAGTGAGTTGTTCAACCCTGTTTATCGGAGGTGAAATAAATTCTTCATGGATGCTCAGGATTCAAAGCAGTTTCTGACTGTTTCCCTGCATCAAACCATCTTCAGTGACCAACACCGAGTCTCATTGGTATATAACTCATATAAGCTTGATATCAACTCATTAAACATATTAAAATAACAGAACTGAGCATCGGCGATTGGCCTCCACCACACTTTTTTGAGGCATCGTCGTTGCCGGGAATGAACTTGCGACCGGCACCTCGATTGATGGGAGCCTTGGCTGCCAGTGTCCCGGAGAACATCGGTAGGAAAATGTATAGAAAACCAACCTGAGATAGCTAGTGATACTATTTTCATGGTGATTGCTGTTTGAGAATCGTAATCTGAAATGTGTAATTAGTGTATGCTTATGATTAGATCAACCAGATATGAAGCTTCCTCAGCCGAGACTTCAAGAGCGGAATCCAACGGATGAGGTCGTGCCGAAAGCTTGGGCTATGGGTGGCATTCGTCTGACTGGGCCCAGAGGCTGAAGGACTGGGGTCAGTGGGTAAGCAAGTGGGGTTATCCCAATACATAAGTAAACTCCAATAATGTGGGCATATCCAATTTCATAAACTTCACAATTATCCATAATTGGTGTTTTTTTAAAATTAATCAACTTCCTCTGCAGCCAATCGCTGGGCTTCTCCCCATGTCGGACGTGACCTCGCCACGTTTCGAGCGCCGGCTATGGCTGGGCCTGGGCGCCGCGGCTGCGACCGGGGCGCTGGCCTGGTGGGCCTGGAGTGTTCGGCGTACGAAGCGGGTGAAGGTGGCCGCGCTCTACGTGTATCCCATCAAGTCCTGCCGGGGCCACAGCATGGGGAAGGCCACGGTCACCAAGTGGGGCCTGGAAGATGACAGGACGATGGGATGGGTGGCACTGGCAGAATGGGTGGTTTGAATTGGGCTTCCAGCTGGGGCTTGGCGCTATAGGTCGCCTATCTCACAATTTTCATGCAATCTTTGAGGGCTGTAGTTTGACCCGTGTGTCTGGGTTGATTCACTATACTACCCAGAAGGATACGATGAGTTAACATCATTTTGGCGGCTTCAAAGCTTGTTCGTGATATCACGTTGTGCCGCCCCATTTTTGCAGGTTGGCCGACTGCTTTTTATTGGCTAGCCAGCTTTCGGGCGGCAGGATCTACATGGTCGTGGACGAGAAGAATGAAATGGTCACCCAACGACAACATCCTCGGATGGCGTTGATCCATCCGGCTTCTTGGCCTTCTAGCACCTGAAAATGCTTGGAGGTTTGTTTTTTTTCTCCATTTTTCGGGGGTGGGTGGGTTGTCTAAGCTTTGCTGCCACCTTGATTACCCCAACAAACTTTGTGCCCGCAGCCTTCATTTCTCCATGCACAGATCTGTCGCCTCGCCCTAGGACTTGCCGACCAAGAACGGCATCACCCTGCGGGTGGCCGATGGCAGCCTTGCAGCGCTGCACGTGTTTCTGGATATGAAGTCGGCGCCAAAGAACGTCAAGGTGCGGATGAACTTGTCATTAAGTGGTTAGGCAGAGATCTTTTCCGGGCGTGCCGCCATTTCTTGGGGATTATGGTGGGTTTCTTGATGTGCCGACAGAATGTTTGAGCAAATTATAGCGACCTCACCACGAGGTCACTGCAAACGATCATTAGCAGGGTGGCTAGTCAGCCAAAAAGGCTTATTCCACTTCGAGATAATTGTTACCCAATTTCCCCAATCCATCTCAATCCCACATACCATCCATGTCCATCCAATAATATCATCCCATTTCCATCTGCTGATCTCCGAGGTCTGGGATGATTGGGTGCAGGCCGTAGATCAAGGGAATGCAGCGGCTGAGTGGTTGAGCACCGTGCTGCAGGTGCCCAAGCTTCGTTTGGTGCCTTGGATCGCATAGCCTTTGTTAAGTCCTGTCTCCATTGGCATCCCCAAGGTTATAGGTCTGGCATCTCAATTCACAACTCCTGATTTTTGTTGGTGACATTAATTTACACATCTCGATTTTTGATGGATATCCCTACTGTGGGCGTGTCTAAAAATGGTGTCGTTCCCCCATGTCTAGCCATCTTCATAGGGGAAATCACGATCAAACTCAAACCGTGATCAACCCATGGATTTTGGCACATTGTTCACATATTTCCGTAAGATTTTCCATCAATATTTTCCAACTTGGATAACTTGGGACATGGCCGACATGGCCATTTTTTTTCAGGTGCGCATCTCTGCTACCGCGCAGCGCGCCACGGACCCCAGCTACGGCCTGGGGGAGACGGCCTTCTCCGACGGCTTCCCGGTGCTGGTGAGCTCCACTGCCTCGGTGGCCTTGGTGGCGCGGAAGGTGCCTCTCGAGCTCCGCCATGGGATGGGGGAACCAATGGGGAACAAGTGGAGATGGTGGTAAAATCATAGGAAAACCATGGGAAAACCCATAGGAAATGGATGTTTACCCTCTGGTAAACTAACATAACTGTGGAAAATCACCATTCTTCATGGGTAAATCCACTATAAATGGCCATTTTCAATAGCTATGTTAAATTACCAGAGGGTAATAGTGGTCAATATAGTGGTCAATAATGATGATAAATTTCTATAAATGGTGATGAATGGGGATTAATGGAGATTTACCCTCGTAAACTAAGATAGCGAACTGGAAAATCACTATTTTCATAGGTAAAGCAACTATAACTGGGTCATTTTCCACAGCTATGTTAAGTTACCAGAGGTAATGGAGATAATAGTTGAGATAATCCATGATACTGGGGGAAATTGGGGGTAGAAATGGGTAGAATGAATTATACAGGTTTAATCCTAACATCCCACGATATAATATGGAGGTTTGCTAAGTTATGGGGGTACCCACCAGGTCTCATCCATAGATTGGATTTTCCATGACAAAGCATCCAGCTATTGGGGTTAACGCCATTTTGTGAAGCCCCAATATAGGGATTCAAACCTCTCAATTTGGCATAGGGATATGGCACTATGACTATAATTGATGATAGTTATGAATGGTGAGATAACAACTGTAGGAGGGGACCCATGGTATCACTAGGGTTCTCGGCAGTTACAACTGTACTTACATTTCAGCAATTTACTTACACATGGAAGTTGAATGGGGATTTTCCATTGCCACGTTTGACTGCCAGAGGGTGACAATTATAGTTGGTGGGATTTATACGCCAACTTTATGTTTTTTGATCCAAGAATGATAGGAAGAGTTTGTCTATCCCTAAGAGAGGTTATAACTCCAGTTGTGAATGGATTAAAGCCTACTTATAGCCAGGAATATATATATATATATACATGTCTTGGCGGTCAGTTATCCGAATATAATAACAAGTATAGGAACTAGAATATGGGAATATTTTATGATATTTTATCGGGGATATAATGGACATACTTTAGTGAAATTCAATTAGAAGAGCAGTGGTAAATATTGAGCCTTTTCTGCATCTTCTTTGGGGCGTACTACAAATTCTGGAACAGTATGATGATATGGGATGTGGAATCAACTCAATGGAACATGGTGCAACAGCCACAATTTTCATTGCCACAGATATGGAAAACCCATGGGGTTGCCAAGAAACATGATCTACACCTGGTAGGTTTGGCCAACCATGTCAATGTTAATTTGCCTGAGGATAGACTCCCATACATCCCCCCAAATGCCAGGCCCTGAATTTTGGGGCCCAGCCCCAAATTGAGAGAAATCCATATGATCATATGCATCATGGTCAGAACATGGGATTTATTTTTCTATATTTATTTTTCCATAGAGATTGGATGATCATCCCACCATTATAATTATCCACCATTAATGGGGGGTTAATGTGCCCATCATTTGGGCTATGTCATTCATGATGGTGGGATTACCATAGCCCAAACCATCAATCCCATGGAAAAACGACCTGAGGTGCTGAGAGCCGGTGGCCCGCAGATCGGCATTGATCGCTTCAGACCCAACATCCATGTGGACGGCTGCAAGGCTTTCGAGGAGGATGAAATGAAGGCGCTGGTGCTCAGCAGCTCCGATGCTCAGATCGTGATGGTCATGGCCGTTGGTTGTTGATTGTCATGGCCATTGGTTTGTAGAAATAGATTTCATTCTATAGATCCTATACTTATTTAGAATTCCATGGGCGTTGGGCATTCCTGCGCCATTCAAAATAAGTTGGACAAGGGGTATTTCTTCATTCCGTTCGGGTTGGGTTGCTGGTTTTCAGGCTGGTTGTCATCCCCATGTACGAACCAGGAAGCCCCTGGTAGGTCCATTCTTATGTCCATGATTATCGCAGTTTTGTGCGGGGTTCTCATCCAATAGCCCCCGTTATACTCTCCAATCATTGTATTTGGGTTGTCCTTGTGCTTTGCTCATTTCAAGTCCTCATCACATATATCGGGTTCTCCGTCCGTGAGATCCGCATTCTTGCCGGCTAAAACACACTTGAACATACTCTTCAATTCAGATTTTTGTGGTTCGAAGGGCTCCGTTGGGTTCAATCCTGCACTTTTTCTTGCTTTCATCATCTTTAAATAATCAGATTTCATCCCACTTTCTGGGCTGGCGAAAATCCAAACTGTTTCTCGGTTACACTAAATCTTGGCTGAATCCAGCTTTTTCCCGAATTTGGATGGTTGAACTTCCAAGGACAGCTCCCTGCGCCTGCCATTGGTGAAGCCTTGCAGCCGCTGTACCATCCCGGGAATCGACCCCTCCACCGGCACGCGCACGAAGCAGACGGGCGGCGCGCTGACGGAGATGCTGCGTCGCCACCGGGCTGCCGGGGGACTGAAGGAGCAGGCCAGGCTGCACAAGGAGCGGGAGCCGGGGGGAGTGGATGGGTTTTGTGCAGGGGATGAGCAAATCAGATGGATGGATTGGTATCTCAATTGTTGTGGATAGATTTTTTCGTCCCAACAGTTGGAGATTTTCATCGTTTGAGATTTATATCGCCAAAAGCCAGCAAAAGATTAGGTTTTCATCCACCATAACAATGATCAAAGGGGATTAAACCTTGAGGTTTCATAAGAAAATGACACCCGCCAAAAGAAGGAGGAGATACAATGTCTTGACTGACACGTGTGGGGATTTTAACGGATAAACATGCAGTGAAAATATGAATAGAGTTTTCACATGTTCTTAGCTTTCAACGGATTTTTCTCCAGAACATCCATGTAGCTTGGTAGGCATATAACACAGCACAATTTCCCTCAATTTTTTGAATTTGGACCCCCCATGTTGAAAAATCAGGTGCCTCCACAATGTGAGGACTTCTTCAGTCAGGCCAAGCGACAGGAGGACGTGTATTTCGGACAGAACGCCCTCTGTGAATTTCAAGGCACGGATCGTTTCGAGATCACCGTGGGCGACATGGCTCTGGTGGAGTGGTGAGCTGCAGCAAAAAAAACCGGTGGAGCTGGCAGGGTGTTGGATGATTTTTGATCCCTAGGGATGGCCAGAGTTTTAACCATCCCTTTCACGGGGAGATTCTGGGATTCACTGCCAACCCGAAGCATCACTTAGCCAATGGTATCCAGTCAGATGGTCACCCCACTGCCCTCCAAAGGATAGATCCGATTTTGAGAGACAAACTGTGGGGGTGCTCCCAGACTTGGTTTCAGGGAACGACAGGTCTCAATTGAACTCATCTGGACACCTGTCGCCCCTGATTCCCCGCCTTGCAGGACTTGCTGGGCGTCCAGCTGGACTTTCGCCAGCGGCCCTTGCGTGGCTTGGCGTGGGAAGCTTGGCGGTGGGTGGTTTACAACATGTATATGTTGCGTGTATGTATTTCACATAATAATGATTATAATAATCATAACAATCATAATTTATTATTATTATTACATATATATATGTATTACAGTAAAACCTAGTAGGCAGTTAGAGGCACATAGATATGTAGATGGTTGTTAGGTATGGTCATTGTTTGCCGACGATATATTCCAATAACCGCCGCCCCAAAAAGGGGTTTGCATGTCCAGTCGACTCGGGGGTTTTCTAACAGCCGATGAGCCGATGAAGGATGGGTTTGACTGGAACTACAGTAATGTCAAGTTGCTGCCTGAAACAGCCACAGTATAGAAGCAGTTATACCACATTATATCCTGAATCTATCCGAATCTTTCTTGAAGCTCATTTGTTGCTAGTGACAATCCCTAGTTCTGCCAGGTAAAGCCGATTTTTTGCTTGTTTGAATCACCAAATCCCAGTAAAACTTCAAATTTTGCCAGTGCTAAACCCAACAATTTGCTGATTCAACCGCCGGCGGATCCACCGATCCACCTTCTCGCCAGGTTTGGCCACCGGCTGCTCGGGAGCGGAGGCGCCCCATTTCGCACTGCAGCAACTGGTTGGCCACGAAGGCCTGGGACAGGGCGAAGCAGTTCGCAATTGATAATGGGTTAATAGTGGTTAATAGTGGATAATGGTGGATAATGGTGGATAATAGTGGTTAATAATGGTTAATGAGATATATACTGGTTGGTGGTTTGGAACATGGCTTTCATTTTCCATAATATATGGGATAATCCTTCCCATTGACTATATAATATTTTTCAAGATGGTTAAAACCACCAACCAGTTGTGATTATTGTGGTTACTCACAATTGTCGTCAACATGATCTTGAAGATATTCGTAATATGAATTCAGAATTGGACGTACAGCTTGCGTTCGTAGGGTTTCTTAGTTGCCTACGTTGACCCTGTTAGCTCAAGGTGTTGTATAGGGGCTAGGGCCAACAGGGCTCTCCGGGGGTTGCCATGCGAGTGGGAATAGGTGTGTTAATCACCTATGGGATCGCGACAACAAACTCCTTGGACCTGTGGTGGTCTCAGACGGCCGACAACCTGGAGCCAAAGGAAAAGGTCACCCAGACCACTGATGGTTGGTGGCCGTCATGGGAATGGCTTGAAAATGAAAAGGGTGAAGGGAGTCCAAAAAAGGGCAAAATCCCAGAAACCCGCCAAGAAAGTTCCAAGTCTTGGGGCTGGTTTCAAAGCGCCACCTTCCTCGAGATGGTGTGGGGGCTTGGTTGGTTCTACAAGATTGGGATCAAGGTCTTCCTTAGGTTGGCGGACAGTAGTCTGACCTACTGTGGGACCCTATGTGCCTCGCTCGGATTCGCTGCACGCTGGATGTACTGGCTCGCTGTGGCTGTAGTGGGTGTGTTCCTACTGCAGCTGGGAGTGTGGACTGTAACTTGGGTTCTGTTTCCAGTCCTCCGGCACTTCCTCGCTTTGTGGCGTTACCTTCGTGGTCAAGGCACTTGGCACGATGTGGTCAGCCTCCATGGGGTCGGATCCTTTCGGCCAGAGTGGGTGGGTCCGAATGTGGGTACACCTTGGACGGCGCAGTACGTGCAACAACAGGTGAGGGCGAGGAGTGAAAACCGAGAGCCCTTGGACCTCCTCGTGTCAGACGGGGCCGCAGTGGCGAGGCTTCGCCACGGAGCCCTCAGAGGACGCACCAATCGACACGGATACTTGGCAGTTTGCACGGAAGTGCACTCGAGCTCGCATCGCTACTGGCGCAATCAGCTGGAGGTGGCCAGTTGCAGGGTCCACTTGTGCTCTGCGTCTCCTTGCACTGCTCCGGAAGTTGCAGACGTGCATGCCCCACTGAGCGCAGTAGTAGCTAGGACCGTTGAAGTTGACCTTCGTGAAGCAGCAGGTAAAGGACCCATGGCGCGTTGCTGGACGGTGACCACGTTTTGGAGTTGCATTACTTGCAGACTCCTTAGTTGGGCGTGCTGCTTTGGGTGCAGGGTCTGTCGCAGAAGGGGATCGGTGGGTTGCCGGAGGCGAGCTTCTCGCCCAGGCGGCCCAGGACCCCAAGCCCAACGACACTTGCACGTCGACTCAGAGACTGAATCTGAAGGAGGAGAAGATGATTACCCTTGCCAGGCTGATCAGATAGCCCTTGCGGCTGTGGATAATCAAGCTCAGAGCGAGCCCCTCTGCCTCGGTCCTTGCAAGGACGCGGCTAGGAAAACTCCCATCAAACTCCTACAACCCGACGAGGCTGTCAGTTGTAGAGATGAGTTGAAGGAAGATGAAGAAGGGTATCACTTCTATGCATGTGACAGACATCGCGACAAGTATGTCGTGTCAAGAGCCCTGAGAGGGTGTGCCGTCGAAGGTTGCAACTCGGCGGCGCGGGTTATGCACCGAAATGTCAAGTTATGCAAACTCCATGCCGCAAAGGAAGAAAAGCGTCCGCCACACGTGCCAAGAGCCACTTTGAATACTGGAAAGGAGAGCTTGGAAAGTGAGGAGCCGCCGCCGAACAAATCGACCCAGGAGTCAACCGTGGCGGCCGCTGAGCCAGTCAAGGATGGCAAAGCGAGCCAGGTCCTCGCTGACTACGTCAGAAGCCGAAGCCAAGGGGGGAGTGACTCAGAAGCGAGAGCTGCCTGCGCTTGGGCACTGCTATCAGACCAGACAGCTAACGTCCTGAAGACCACAGCTCAGCAATATCTCACACGTCTGCCAGCCACGTTTCCGGCGACTAGTCGAAAGGCGCTCGAAGATCTGGCAAGACCGGCACTTGTGGATCCTGTTCTTCAACTTGAAGTTGATTTCCAAGGAGACGCTGGCAGGCACCTTCCGAGTCTCTCAGCCCGGAACGTCGTCAGAGAGGAGGAGTCTGAGGGCAGGCCTGAGGCGCGTTTCGCGCCCGGGCCAGCCCCGGGAGGACCTCCTGCTACGCCCAGCTGGGACCATACCCATGGGACCTCGGGAGCAGCCGCTTTCTTTCGGCCGAGAAAGCCGGTGAGCGGAGCCGCACAGGGGGCTTTAGCGACACTCGCCGCGGCACCACCGACGTTCGATGGAGCGTCCTCCCTGGCCATTTCAGCTCGACCTTGGAGGGCCGGTGCTTTTACGGACCCAGAACCCAGACCGGTCGATGATGCGACCAAAGCTTTGCAGACCATCGCCAAGGCAGTGTTGAGCAAAGATGAGGCCGCGGGTCAGGAAAGGGGAAAGGTCAGCAGCATCGGAAAGACAGAAGAACGCCTAGTCTTCCTTGCTCGAGGCTGTGACGCCTTGACTGTGCCGGTGTGCGCGTCCACTGTCGGCAAAGAACTTTTCCACGCCCTCAAAACTGCAGGTTCACAAGGCCGCCCTCAGATGCGGGCACTGCAGTTCCCAGTCAACGTCAACAATCGAATTGCCTTTGGGATCGCATCTATGAACATAGGTGGGAAGGAGGTCAAGTCCTTACCGGAATTTAGTCTCTCAGCCGCGGATTTCCCATTGACGACAGAGGCAGACTTCGACACCTTTGCTCCGCCGACGGATTTCAAGCTTGAGAAAAGACCCAGGGGACCGATTACCCTCACTGCCTGGTTCAGATGCGCCTTGAGAATGGCCTGGGCCCTTTCGTGCGCGTATGGGACTGAACACTACCCGCAATGGGAAGCAGCTGCAACCAAGCTCCTTCGTTTGGGAGAAGAAGTTGGATATGCCTGGCCTCTTCAATGGATCGCCAATGTCTGGGAAGAACTTTGGAGCCGATACGTGGAAGAGTTGAAACAGCTTGATCGAGACCTCCGGCGACAAATGGGGGAAGAAGCACCTTCGTTCGAAAGGATCAGGTTCTTCGCTACGGCTCCCGATGTGGAAGGCAACCCGTGGCTAAGACTGCCCCAGACGTTCGACCTGGACTCAGACAGTGAATTTTTCCACACTGACATCTTGCCCCGGCACAACCGTATGCTCTCAAGGACTTGCTGGCAGCAAGCCCTAAAAGCCTCCAGCCTCGGCCTGACACCAGCAGAAGGGGGTCGAGCAGGCGGAGAACCAGATCCCAGGGCGGGTAAGCCGGCAAAGGGAGAGACAACCGCGCTCCTCGGTCCACCGCTGACCACCAAAGAGGCCTCTCGGTCACTTGACCATCGTCCCAAATGTAGGGAAACAGGAAAGTATTACTGTTGGGATTTCATCAGTCACAGAGGTTGCAAGCAGGGCAACGGGTGCCCGCACCAACATCCCAAAGCTGGCAAAATTCCCAAATGGGACACTTTCGACTGGTCCATTCAGATGCAGCTGCTTCGCCGCGGCGGGCTCCGAAGCAACAAAAAGCTAAGCCCACTGGAGGTTGAGGCAGCCATTGTGGAGCTCCGCAACAGTGTCACTGCCAAGTCGGCCGAGGGGAAGGCACAAGCCAAGCCATCTCCAGCTGGAAAGGACAAAGACAGGAAAGGAGCGAAGCCTACCAACACTGCGCCTGCCGCGAAAGTAGGCCAGGCACCACCGCAGCCACCTGAGGAGCTCCTTCAATTCGCCCCGACCGACGCGGAAGCGGAACTCGCTGCGTGGACCAAGGGGGCCGATCACACCTGGTACCAGGATCGGTCGCCTCCGGCAATTGCCGAAATTGGGCCAGACATCCGCGAAGCAACCATGGCCAAACCTGAGGCGCGTCATCGCGCCCAGGTTATGGCCCAAGTCGAAAATGTCGGGATTCCAGCCTTCCCGCAGCTCCTTGGAACGTACGTCAGGGGCTGCCTCCTGCGTGAAAAAGAGCAGAATCCTACTTGTGACCTGACGGCCAGTCATGTCACTGCTGCCCTTGAAGCGGCTAGGGACCAGGGGGGTCCTGAACTTGCTGCTCAAGCCGCAGACGCCCTGAGCACCTACGGGGATTACGGCAAGGTCGGCAGCACCGCACCAGCGACCCTCAGCCCTGTCAGTTGGGACGGATTGATCGGGTATGGAACGCTTGAGTGGCAGTATGGCACCTGGCAGACCATTGATTTCGGAGACGAGCTGTCGCTGCCCGCAGACTTCGTTCCGCAGCTTGCCGGCGCTGAGCCAAACGCCTCCGACGCTCCGGAACCCAAGCAGTGCCTTCTCCTTCACAGCTGCGCTGGAGTGCTCCTCGCAGAAACGGGCATAGTGCCCGAGCCAGAGGCTGTCGAGACGTTGGCAACGTCGGTGCGACAACGACTACACGGACAGGCACACGAAGCCCAAGCTGCATTGGGGCCCACGCCCGACGAACTGTCACGCGCAGAAGCTGATCTTCGCATTTATGCACATGACCTGCTGCATTGGGGGCACGACAAGGACTATCGGTGCCTCGCGGCGTTCCCAGACCCGATCTTTGCACCTTATGCCCTTGCTATTGTCCGAGTTGACCACCGTGGCAGCACTGCCCTCGAGGTCCTGGTTGGCGCCAACCACGATTCCAGCCCGGAATCCACCGTCTGGCTCCTTGTTTCGCAGGGCCATATGCGCCTGCTCCATCCGCCGCGCCCTTTTGTCTGGCCTGCGACAGCACGTCAAATCCAGGCGGTCGGCTGGGAGCCCCACTTGGAAGCAGCTGGCTGCCCCGAGGCTTGGTATCGAGCCCGGGACGTCCTTCGCTGTCACATTTGTCAGCCCAAATATCCGCCGGAACGTCGCTCGGGGTGGGGCATCAGTGTGTTTGGGCTCAGTCCGTTGGCACCCCCAGACAGCTTCGCGCCCAAGATCGGGCAGACGCTAGACCCTCCATCGGCTTGTGCCCAACTGGCAATTACCCCACCCGCGGACGGACCTTGGCTCTTGTGCATCGGGCCCGACGTTGCCGCGCTTGCTGCACGCCTCGCTCTCACTGGTCTTCAGACCATTTCAGTCAGTGACCACGCCTTCGACCAGCTCTTAAATTCCTTGTCGGTTCTTGAGCACCTGGTTGCCCTCCCGGGATGTGTTGGCCTTTGGCTCGATCTTGGCGTCGGGAGCGCCAGCTGGCGCGCTGCTTTGCTCCGCTCGGTGCCCCAATCTGTCCTGGCTGCTCTGCTGATCACTGCTCCGCTGGGGCTTGCTGTTCGCGAACTTGCCCCGCACGTCTCCCCGGTGCGGGTGCCGCCTGCTTGGCTGCCGCAACGCGGCCCTCTGTGGCTTTACTCTCAGCACCCAGTGGTCCTGGCTTGCGCACCAGACCTCCCAGGGGACTTGCCCTCGTTCGTGGCTGCCCTCTTTCGCCCTGAGGCGCGCTTCGCGCCCGGGGTCGGGGGGGGGGCCGGAGTTCGCTTCCGCGAACAACAACAACAAAGTCGGAGATTCTGCGGCCGAGGCCTGTAGACAATACTTCGATTTCGTGAGTTCGACTCCCTACTCCCGTGGGGCCCTGGGCCACGCCGCTACCTTGGGCAGTGCCCTGCTCGAAGCTACCAATGGTTGGAAAGCGGCCACGCAGATTTTGCGTAAGGAAGGCCAGCAGAAGAGAGGGGACCACTTCGCTGGCCTCCATGAAGCTTACCTGGAACCCCTGGTCCACCCTTCACTGCTCGAGGAGGCCCGACGCACTGCTAAGCATGGCGTTGAGGTCAGAGCTCATATGCAGGAAGGAGAGCGAGTTCGGGCAAACCCCCATCCCAGCCTGAAAGGTCATCTGGACGAGGCTGCAGAGCAAATTTGGCATGATGCTCAGAAAGGAAGGGTCCTCATCGTCGTGGACCAGGGGCAAGATGGCCTCAGAGGTGTAGTCTCCGCGCCCTTGGCAAGAGTCCCAAAGTACAACCCAGACAGAACTGTGAGCAGCAAGGGAAGAGTGATTTGGGACGCCACGGCCGTGAACAAAGTTTGCACCAAGGAGGACCACCCCCCAGCTCTTCAGCCTCGCCATTCTGAATTGGCCAGGTTGCTCCTTTGGTGGGCCTCCCGATACCCCGCTCTCCCCATTTTGCTTTCCAAGAAGGACGTCGCTGAAGCGTTCAAATGGATACCTGTGTCTGACGACGATGTCAGGCTGTTTGCCGCTGACCTCGGAGGAAAGGATTTTGGACATCCAGGGAGCACTATAGTGCTGGTGTACAACGTCCTCACCTTTGGATGGAGAGGAGCGCCGGGCCAGTTTATGCTTTTTGCCTGGACAATCAAGTCTGCCTTCCACAGCCTGAAGCCCAACGACCCAGAGTGGAATGACGCCACGCCCTTCAGAAGCCTGGTACTTATGGATGACACCATCATCTGCGAACCAGACATAGGGCTTCGCCCGCACTACGCGGTGACGGCTGTCGAAGAGCTCACACGGCGAGTGTTGGGCCCGGAGGCAATCAATCCCGCCAAGGATGCAGAAGAAGGAGGGCTGACAAGTTCCAAGCTCATCTGGGGCCTGCTCTATGATACTGAACAAGGCACGCGCACTCTCCCTCCAGTGAAATTAGAAAAGGCGAGCCACCTGCTGCGCCTGGCGGAGTTCGACCCGGGGAACACCAAGGTCCCATTGCGCTTGCTTCAGGAACTCAGAGGAAACCAGCAATTTTGGATAGCGGCCATGCCGGCCTTGGCACCTCTTCTTTCTGCTACCAATGCATTACTGGGTCCTGCAGACAGCGATGGGTACGCACGTCCCAAGGGCTCTCCCGCAGCCCAGGCTCGTGCCTGGCAAAGGTTTTGGGAAGCCGTGGAGGTTCAGAGGCTGCTTGTCGAAATGAAAAGCGAATGGACCACTGTGTTCACGCACCCGCTGGTGGAAGCTTTGTCCCTTCAGGAAGTCCTGGCCCTCCCGGGCCAGGCCAAGCAAGTAATCTGGGCATCTGGAGACGCCACCTTGGAAACCATCGGAGCCGTGGATTGGACCAACAGGGCCGCCTTCTCACTCAAAATTGCGGAATTGGAGGGCCCCTTGAGGACCTTCGTTGAGACTTCGAAGGACGAAGACCCACAGGAAGCCGAGGGAGAGGGCAGTCCCGAAGAAGAGATTCTGATCGTGGCCGTGACTGAACTCCTTGCTCTCGTCGCTCTGGCCTCCTCTCAGCGTGAAAAGTGGAGGGGGAAAGTGGTGATTTATGCAGGAGACAATCAGGTCGTCAGGAGCTGGGTGCAGAAAAGGACGGCCCCCAGGGCCATCGCCGCCTATTTGCTCCAACTTCTGTCCGTTTTGGAAAGTGTTTATGGTTTCCGAGTCTACACGGCGTACATCCGCACTTACCACAACCGCACTGCTGATGATCTCACCCGCCTGGACCCCCACTTGGTCTTCCAAAGGGAAGGCCTGCAGGAACTTGAAGATGTGTCCGCTTACTTTCGGGTTTTGCTGGATCGGGGGTGGCACAGAAGGGCCCTGATTTGGTCTACCGAAGAGACACACCAGCAGTTGGCCTTGCAGCTGTCTCGGCTCAGGCAATCGGCGCTCGAACGGGTGCCCGCGGGGCTCGCCATGGCGCTGTTGGACAAGGTCTGTTTGGAGTGGGACTGCGACTATGGGGCCTACAGCGCGGCCGTGCTGTCCCTCGGAGCGGTCGTCTACGCCAGCCACTCTGGTCGAGGGCACTGGCGCACCCCGGTCGATGAATGGGATGGCCAGCCGGTTGACCTCCTGTTCGGACGCGTTGGCCCGAGAACCACTAGCGCGCAAGAGCTGGCCCGAGGCGCGTCTCGCGCCCGGGCCAAGGAGGTTTGGGCCGACACGCCGACTGAAAAAGAAGCAAAGGAATGTGTCCAGGGGTTGGAAGCTCTGGGGTATCAGACTCTCGTCAAATGTGTGGCAGGCAGAACGCTGGAGGACCAGATTTGGTGGAGGCGGTGGGTTGTTTGCGGGAAAAAGGGAGGGGCTGCGCGTGAGCCGCCCTGCCTTTCCGCGGATGAAGAACCCCAGACCCCAGCCAAAGCTTACTATGACCTGACTTGGCTGCAGCCTGACAAGCAGATCCCGACCGACGCCTGGGTGTCGTGTGAAGTCAACCTTGACAGTGGCATGCCACATCTGGGGGCAACCTCGCCCCGACCTGCCGGCCATTTCAAGCTAAATGGCAAAAGGGCACTCCTGTGGGAGCCGCACCGCCCGTTGCCTTCCCTGCACCAACATTCATGCGCGGAAGGGAGACCAGACGCCCTGTTTCTCCTCGGCACAAGCACAAAAGGGCCAAGTCCCAGGCGCCTGATGCCTGTGGAGGTGCAACGCCTGTGGGGTGTGAAGTCAGAAAGGTCAACCCTGTCCGACCAGGACGAAGCCGCCAAGCACGCGCTGCTCGAACCACCCACGGGGCTGGCTAAGTTAGCTGGGCTTTGGGCGGGGGGTGGAGCGGCGTGCTTCGCGCCCGCCACCCCCGGCGATCCCAGCGCCACAGACAAGGTTGGAGTCTGTACCCTCCCGTGGGAGGACGAAGCTGAACGAGCCATGCTTGGATGGGTTGAACAGCGCCAGCGTGAGAGGGTCGTCGGCGGCAAAGGGTCGGGCAAAAGGTCCAGGTCGCACAGGGGGCCTGAAGGGCCCGCTCCGGCAAGATCCGACCAGGGCAAAGGGTACAAAGGCAAGTCGGGGAAGCAAGCCGACTGGCAGTGGAACCGCGACCTGTCTGGTGCGGTCAGCCGGGTGCTAAGGCACGAAGGCGGCACGGAAGCCAACCCTATGACCGAAGAAGGTTGGATGCGGCTCAACGTGCTCATGGGACACCCCCAGATCGCCCGCTTGGGCGCTCGAGAGAAAGACCTGAGGGACCTGGTCCAACGGGACAACAAGCAGCGGTACACTCTTGCGCACCATGACAACGAGGCTTGGGTGGCTGCGTGGAGCGGCCATAGCATTCCCTTCGTGGTCGGCCCAGCTTGGCTGCTACCCGAGGATGCTGTCCCACGCCTCTTGGTGCATGGATCATATGCACGACACCAGACCAGCATCAGCCAGAAGGGTATTAAGAGGCACCGGAGAGACGTGCATCTCCAAGACCCCAAAAACCACCACCGTAGATGGCGAGCGGACCTCGAAATCAAGGTGTTGATTGACACCCAGGTGGCCATGGTCGCGGGCTGCACCTTCCGCCTGACAGGAAATCAGGTCTACCTTTGTGACGCTGATATCCCAGCTGCCGCCATTGAAGGCATCGAGCCGTGGGACAATCTGCCGGGTGGAGACACGAGCGAAGGGAAAGTGGCGGGCCAAGATGGCCCCCCCAGGCTTGGAGTCTGGGAAGTGGATGCCAAGAGCGACGACCTGAAGCAGGAGGTCGTTGAGGTTGCCCAGACTCTGGCGGCGGCCGCGCAGGCAGCAGGAGGAACCGACGTCTTGGCCGTTGACCCGCAGACTCTGACCCACGAAGTGGTCAAGGAAGAGGTCGCCGAGGCGCGTTTCGCGCCCGTGGAAACCGACCTCGAATCCGAACCAAATTGGGATGCTGAAGAAAGCGCTGAAGGGTCGAGCCTGCCGGTCACTGAGAAGGAAGAAGAAGATAAGGTGACCGCACTAGGAGCTGGGTCCGGGCCTGCGCCAGAAGGACAAGGGTCGCAAGGGGCCAGCAAGGAGAGTGCCATAGCCCCCGCGTCGGTCAAACACGAGGAACCGAAGGAGGAAAAGCTCGAGACCAAGGGCACCACTCAAGAGCACAGACCCAAACGGCTGCTGCTAGGCACCGCCAAGGTGCAGCTCCTGTCTCTTGTCGCTGAAGCAGACGCCCACAACTGGGAGAGGCTCACGGATCGGCTCAGAACCGTGCAAGGATCCGGAGATGAGAAGGCCGAGTTGGTTGAAAGGCTCGAGGAGCTCGCTGAAGCTCGCTCCAACAGCCGCAAAGGGTTGCTTGAGTCCGCAGCCAAGGAAAGACAGAGGCTGAGCACTTTGTCCCAAGAGCAGCAAGAGTACCTCGGCCGGCTGTCGCCCGCTATGAGAGAACTCGAAAAACGTAACCCTGTTGGTCCCACTACTGGCACGGCCCTGATCACCACCAATCGCTTGTCGGCTGACATCGCCGCAGGTGTCCCCATCTGGGTGGCGAGAAGGGCGCAGAGAGCACGAGAAAGGGCCGCGCGCAACCAAGCGCAAATGCCCAAGGCCACCAGAGAGGCGGCAGGATCGGGCCAGCGGGACCCAGAGGAGGCTGCCGATCTCCTGGACGCAGACCTTCGAAAGGCCGCAGCTCGGGACCTCCGGGAGTTCCGACAAGAACTGTCAGGCCAAGGAAAGCATCGGTCAACAGGGAGACAGCCGGAATCGAAAGCCGGCAAAAAGCGCCGAAGAGAAGCCAAAAAGAAAAAGGCGCAGACCCCCCCGGCTCCCAAGGGGGCTTTGTGGGCAACTGTGGCTGCCGCTTCCGCCTCCACTGCCGAAGGGTACAGCAATGGTGGGGTGGGAAGCAGCCCCCCCTCCTATCTCCTAGTCCTGCTGCTGGGCCTTCTGGTGTGGGTGGCCGTGGCGCGCTTCGCGCCCGGCTCTCCTCGACGGGCACCGAAGAGAATTTGCTGGTGCCTCCTACTGGGGGCCTTGCCGCAGGGAGCAGGACAGACCCACGAAGCAGAAGCTCAGAGAGCGGGGAATGCCTGGGCCTGGGAATTTTGGCTCCCCCTTGCTTTGGCAGCCTACGGGCTTTTAAGCCTTGTGACCAAGCTGCAGATGGCTCTGTTCGGGACGTCGAAACGTCGGAAAGCGGCCCAAACGCCCGCGAGAAACGAAGGCCGCAAGAAAGGGAAACCGTTTCCTCTTGAGCCTGCTTTGGCGTGCACCCCACAAGGGGAGGCCTACCACCTTCCTACCTGCGGACATGTGAAAGGACGATCCCACCGGATCCTGAGGCCATGTTGCGTTTGCAACCCGTTGGTTGTTGCTGGGCGCAACGACGACGCTGAGAGGGACCGCAACCACGCTATCGCGCATCTGGATACGCTACTGGCCGCGGCGATCCTGATAGCCACCGTTGTTTGCTGGTGGTGCTGCGCCTCCTGTTGTCATGCCCGATTCGCTCCTTCCAAAGATGTCGGGGAGTGGCAGGCCGGGGCGAGAATCCCGCCCGGCGCCTCACCCTGCAACCGGAAGAATCCGGCTGCCGATCCGGACCGGAAAGTCGGAGTTCAGATCCGGCCTAGAAAACGGGTCCGCTTTGCTGCTTCCGCGACTGAGATCCAGGAAGACGCAGCGGCCAAACCAAGAAGCCCGAGTGCTGGAAGCCTAAAGGGGGGCCCGGCTCAGGTCAAGGTCCCTTTCCTTGGAGGACCTTCCAAAGCAAAGGAAATGAACAAATCCAAAAGGGACTTCCGCCTGGCCACTCTGCAAGGAAAGGATGAGTGGGAAGCAGAAAGCCTGTCGGTCATGCTCAACCGGTACGCCCAGGCTACCCAGAAAGCCTACCAAGCCCAATGGGTCTGGTGGCAACTCTTCTGCAATCGCAGGGGCCTGTCACCTTGGCGCAACGTGCGCAGATATGATGCAGCTGAGGAGCAGCTGCTGATCGAATTTGCCCTGCACACCGCGGTCAACGGTGACCGAGCACCTGGTACGGTCAAGGTTCGGCTTGCCGCCGTGAGATCCTTACATCTCACTGCGGGCCTTCCAGACCCCACTGCACACACCCCGCGTTTGGGCCTCGTCCTGGCGGGCCTCAAGAGAAGATACGGCACCAAGGAGAGACGCCGACCCGTCACTCCAAGAATGCTCTCTTGGTTAAGAGCGTATCTACTGCAAGGATCCCTGGCATCACACGATGCTGCTCTCCTCTGGGGGGCTGTGGCCCTAGGTTGGTTCTTCCTCCTCCGGGCATCAGAGTACCTTGATGTGGGCTACACTGATCAGAGCAAGGGTCTCAAAGGCAAAGATGTGATCCTTAGTTGCAATGGCAAACCTTGCAAGCTGCATGACTTGCAAGCTGCTACCGAGATCACCCTGCACATCCGGGGATCCAAGACTGACATCTACAACCGTGGAGAAACAAGGCACCATTTTGCAACAGGGCTGGATCTTTGCCCCGTTCAGGCTGCCCGCAACATTTTTGTTTGCTTTCCAAATCGATACCAGGGAGGCATCGAAGAGAGCGAGCCACTCTTTCGTGATGATGAAGGAAGACCTATTAGCCGAGAAGCCATCAGTGCCCTCCTGGTGAAAGCCGCCAGAGCTGTGGGCGAAGAACCTGGAGATCTGAAAACACACAGCCTCCGATTTGGAGGCGCGTCGGCGCTTTGGGCAGCCTACAAAGACGCTGCCGTTGTGAAACGCTTCGGGCGTTGGGCTTCTGACTCATTTCAAACGTACCTCTGGGATTCCAAGGAATCTTCCAAAGGTGTGGCTATCAGCATGGCTACGGCCGACCTTACGCCAGCCTGACGGGCCGTGGCGCGTTTCGCGCCCGGCCTGTTAGGCATTTTGTCTGTGGGGGGGCGGGAGCCCTTGTCGGGCAAACTGGGGCTGGCGCTTTTGAGACTTGGCGCGCACAGCATAAAAAGGGTGCGCTTTAGGGTCTGAGTGCCGCCACGTGAAACTTGGACGTACAGCTTGCGTTCGTAGGGTTTCTTAGTTGCCTACGTTGACCCTGTTAGCTCAAGGTGTTGTATAGGGGCTAGGGCCAACAGGGCTCTCCCACCCATCCCTCCCCGAGCCCTTGTCGGGCAAACTGGGGCTGGCGCTTTTGAGACTTGGCGCGCGCAGCATAAAAAGGGCGCGCTTTAGGGTCTGAGTGCCGCCACGTGAAACCCATAACTGATATTAACGAGCCATAATAGCCACTAATTATCATGATGACTGTTATGAATCATGATAATTTACAGTATATAAATTGTCAGTCGTCATTTATCAATAACAATCACAAGGTGACTAATAATTACCATCATGGTTATCATGTTTGCTATTAATTGTAGAGGATTGTTTTCATGATCACTATCATGATGATTGCTATTAAGGTGGTAAACCCAATAATAAACCTCTAATTATGGAGGGTGTATTCCACCTATTTCTGGTGATATTGGGGTTGGGTTTATTATCGCACTAACCATAGTAATTTTGTGGACAAGTACACTATTGGTACGTACTAACTCTTACAATTTTATTTTCCAATATTTTTTTGAATTCACATAAAGAGCATGCAATGAATTTGTTTCTTCTCCCCCACAGTTATGAGGTCATAATTTTAAGTGGATTGAACAGATAGGATGTTTGGCAGACTCGGGTAATCAAACATGGCAATTGAATTTTCCACATGTATAAATGAATTTCCCATGAAGCCCTCCGTTTGCCATGTTTGACCACCGAAGGGTAAATCCATTCATACTCTACTGTTTTCCGATTAACACCGTATATCAGCACTAAAATTGCAGAAAATCATATAACATCTCTATTTGTTGATGTTTATGAAAATATCTGTTTATTGCATAACATTTCCATAAACCATAGAATTCACCATCTCCGAATTTTGGTGCAGCCCTTTCTGGCCAAGCGCCAGGCTTCGAGCAGCTCTGGGGCTCGGAGATCAACGAAAATCCGCGGCGCTTTATCTTGAAGAACTGTGCCTCAGCCACACATCACCTGGGTTATTGGTTAGTGATTTATTGGTTAGTAATGGTAGATAGTGGTTAATCATGGTTAATTGTGATTTATTGGTGATTAATCATGATTAATGGGATATACCCTCCGGTAAACGTGTACATAGCTATTGAACATGGCCCAGTCGAAGTAGTTGATTTACCCATGAATAGCATGGTGATTTTCCACAGTTAATCAACCATTTAAATGGTTACCTCCATAATACCCTGGGGTACCCATTAATAACACATGACCAGGGTACTATGGAGGTTTCTGTGGGGGATCCCCAGTCGTCACCGTTGCAATACGAGTCGTCCATGTCGTCCATGACATCCACTGGATCCATTTGGATCCAGGCTATTGGTACCTGAAGATATGGCAATATTAATGGGGAAAATTGTGATGAACCATTGGATTTTAATAGATCCAGATTTTTCCGAATTTAAATGTTCCATAAAATTTGATGGTACTCCATTGGGTTTTCCGAATTCCCTATTTTCAGATAGACCCATTCTTGAGTAAATGTTGAGAGAGAGATCGCCTCCAGAAATGATAAAGATAATGGGTGAACCCATCGATTTCATGGGCTAGAAATGCATCAAAGCAGGTTTGGAATTTGTTGCATGAATTTGGGCTCACGACATGAGGGTGGGATAAGATCGTAAAAGGGGTTGGCTGGTGGTTTGTAACTCCTTCATGTTCTTTTGCACCCAAGGACTTCGGGTTGGCGGTTTCAACAGCTTTTTGAGTTTCCCTGAGTATCTGACCAACACTTTCCACCACCAACGAAACCCGATGGGATTTGAAGCTGTGGACACCAGAACGCACAGTTGTTCACGGAAGGGACGCGTATACAGACGAACTTCAAATGGCGACTCTGAAAGAAGCCCTTGAGTCATCACCAAAGAAAGGCATATTGGCATATATTGGCGGGATCCTTGAAGATTGTGACGTACAGCCCCAAAATCATGGGGCATCATGGGGCTATGCCGGCTATGCTATTCTTCGGATGGAATGATTGGATCCCATCTCCAGGATTGGCAGCTCGTTAGCCGCTTAGCCCAGCTGAGGTTCTTGCCAGCACCTCTTCGAGGATGTGTGCTACATCATGGAAGGTGGACCCTCCCCCGGCATCCCATGGATGATGCCAGAAACCGTGGGATGCCACCATTTCTTTCCATGCCAAAAGGCAAGATGGGATCATTCCAGGCATAAAGTGGCTTTCAAACCCGTGTTGCTGAACCAGCTGTTGAGGCAGAATGATCATCCCACATGAATGTGCATCCCAGTTATGGTAGATGGTTGATTGGTTGATATGCCGGGTTGGTGGTTGACCCTCTGAGTTAGCGGTTGGCAACCCGGGGAAGTCCAAAAACTGAGCCTGAGTCAATGTGGGACCCACACTACGCCATCCCCAAGTCTCAACTATTTGGGGGGCATTTATCAAATTCTCCACAGTAGGGGTATGCCGGTATGCCCAATAATGAACCACAAACTTGGGTTGGTTTGGAATCATGTTATAAAGTTATAAACCATGTTATAAACCATGTTATATTCCATGTTACTATTGCTGATGATGAAGATCATGGATTATAACATATTCAATGTTATCCATGTTATATCATGGATTATCATCCAGTTGTCCATTTTATCATCAGTTATATCCACTGGATCAGTTCAACCTTTTCTTGGTGATATCAGTGTATCCCTTGCCGTTGGCCATTGGTCATGGCCCAGGTGGCGGTCGCTGCGCGCGGCACGGGGGGCGTTGTGGTGTCCCCCAGGGCGAGGTGGACATTTTCGTGGGAGGATTTCCCTGCACTCCGCGCCCCGGCAAGGGAAGCACCAGGGAAGCACCAAAAGTTGGCTTATATGATATATAAGTCAAGTGAAATATATGTGAGCATGTATGATATATATATATATATATATATCTGTGTGTGTGATATATATATATATATGAAATGCCTCTGCAATGGTAACCTGAGTCAATTCCGAGTCTGGCAGTCTGGCACCAGTAGTTGTTGGGGAGCTTGGGCCCCACGTGTACTTGGTGGGGGCTCGTAACTGAAATGGCCAAGCAACACTTGGAAGTGGGGTTGTGCGACCCATGGTCAGGTAGGTCACCTTTGTATTCAAGGTATTATTTGACATATTGACATTATATTGATCACCCTGACAGTGTCCGTCAGTGGTTGGTTGGACATCCCAAACGATAGATAAATTCAAGTTGACTTACCGCCGAGGTGCCATTACGAGCACGCAGGGCGCAAGACATGACATGAAATGAAGTGAAATGACACGAAATGAAATGAAATGACTTACCAAGCTATTCTCGGCAAGCGGCCACTCTTGATTTGGATACACGCGGTGAGCTTTCCAGAAGGTCCAACCAATCAACTCCCTTTGAAAATAACTATCATGGTATATCATGGTATATCATACATATATATATAATTACATGTATACATATCTTTTAGATATGCATATGCATGTAAAAACTGATCATTTCCTTTTGAAAAGTTATGGATCTCCAAGACCCCAACAAGTTTCACGCCCAGCAGCCAGGTACTCCTTCTGCAATCCCAAGCGCTTTAAGCGGAACTGCTTCACCGAGCCCGCCGCAGTGCCCTTCTTCGAGATGAGCGTCTTGGCTACAGCCATGAGCTCGGCATATTTCCCCATGATAGGCTGGTGCTATAACCAATTTGCAGCAAAAATCCTGGTGCTCATCAAAGGAAGTTTGGATCAGACACATCCTTTTGCCCATATTTTCTCAATATTTCGCTCACTTGCGCCGCATCAGATATTGACCCAAGCCTTTGCCTTTTTTGGTGTAGGAAAATTCATTGCTGAACGACGGCCGCGGCTGGTGATCCTGGAGAACGTCACTTGAAGACATTGTAGAGAGACAAGAGCTGGATGGCGGCTGGCGGTTGGAGAGATTTTATCAAATTTTGCCACGCAAAGTGCACTTTTCCGACACATGAGAGCTGGTTTACTTGGCTAGAAAGTCCTTTAAAAGACGAACACGACAATTTTTGGGTTTGATGACTCTGGATCATTGCTACTAAGCAGCCGAAAAGGATGAAGCAACAAAAACACTTGGGATCACAACCTTAAGCGGCAAGAAATGCCATAGATCCCATGAAAAGTGGCATGTCTACCGCGCAGAAGGACGTGGCCTGGGAAACGTTTTGTCATCCCCACCCGACCTGCTAAGGTCCGGGGGCTGCTGGCGCCCAACCCTGAGACGGACCACCCGCCCATCGATTTCATACTGCGTGGGAAGAATCCGGAAGCATGGCTGAAGGTAAAGCGGGAGGGCTGCTACGATGTCATTCCCGGAGCTTTTGGGAGAGATTGGAGATTTGAAGCCATTATATATATATATATATTTGAAATTTGATGCTATGTAAAAAGATCTAAAAAGCATACCCGAATGGGCATAGTTTTCCAAATCAAAGATGTGCAAAATAATACGTGGGTTTGTTTAAAACTAGGGAGCTGTCGTTGAGCCTTCAGCCTTGATCCCTGAGGAAAATCCGGAGGATTGCTACCAAGGGACGGCGCCCAATGCGGATTGGGGCCTTAGTTTCTTGGATCAGTTGAATTGTGGTGCTTTTGCGTTGATGTGTATGTCATATTTTGCAATCGGAAAATCTAAAGATGCAGATCAACCTGGGTTGCTGATGTAGGTTGATTCTTGCGGTATGTACGCTGGGAACTTTTTGTGAGAACATCTTGTTACCCTCCTGAAAAAATGGAGCAAACAATGCTGGTCTTGTGGCTGGAAACAGCAAGTTTGAGGGTTCCATATTGCGTTTCGGGGCAAGGCCAAGGTAGAAATTCACTGTGTCCACTTGCATCATTGATGGAATATCTGAACTGGCATACACCCCGAACATGGCGATGTTAATGGGGACAATGCTGATCAACCATGCAATGTTTGCCGTTCAGCCCAAATCCGCATCTTTGGTCGTGTTTAGTAAAGCAATGTAAAAACATTGGCTTGACTACTGGTGGTTGATTTCCAACATTTTCTACTTATGATTGATTTTTGTTTCTTCTGGTGGTTCACCATTTCATGATTATTCAATAAGGATCCCAAAAAATGTTTGTTTTTACCATCACCTCAACTAAGATAGACCCCGACATTGGCAAATGTTGCGAGTTTACAGGAACGTACACTTCCAACCCCCTGAAACTGGCAGGGTCTATGTCAATTTGGGTCATTTTCCCATTCATAGATGATTTTTCTATTTAAATGCCCATTCAGTGAGGAAATTTCCCTGCCAGCCATGTTAATTTTTAAGGATGGTAAAGCCCAAAAACATTGGTTTTTGCCCATTGGCAATCTAACATAGCTATAGAAAACCACTATTTTTAATAGGTAATCATATACTCAATGGGCAATTTTCTATAGCCATGGTAAATCATAATATGCCGCAGGGTGAATTCAGCAATCCCATCATTATCCCTGTGAAATCATATAAAACCATATTAAAATACCATAAAATTTCCATTTTTAGAGACGGTAGACCCACAGAATTTGCGCTTTCCAAGGTCTCATCAAGGGCTATGGGCTTCGGTGGGACGTGCTCTACAGCTGTGCCGCTGGGGCGGATGTGATTTACCTATCGTACCCAAGTGATTTTCCATTGCAAACTGTTAAATTACCAGGTGGTAAGTCGCAAGCCATCAAAGAATTTCAGTTTCCACTATGAATCTCATGTTCCCAAAGCATTCCTCGTAGTTCCAAGATAGTTTCTGCATGAACTTAAGTGCTTAGTCGTGCACAAGCATCACTGTCTACAGGAGCTCAGTCAGCTCTAAACCTCCGGATTTTCCACCTCGTACTTAGCATGGGATGGTCATCCCAGGAGCTGACCTGAGATTTTTTTCACCCGAAATCTGGCGGATTTCTGTTCGATATCCTGATACTGATTGAAGTACCATATTTGTTGGTAGGATACATGGATACATGCACTTTGATTAACTAATCATTTCCTGATACCCATCAGAGATGATTTTTTCATGAACATGATCTGTACGTTGTTCATCCCATCCCCCTAATCTTAAACACCCCCAAGAAACCATATTGGGACTTGTTTAGGGGGCGTTTAATATTAGGGAGATTGGATTGATCCCTATGATATCATCTATCATTTACTCTGATATCCCGATGATACCGTCTACTGTGGCGCAAACCCAACAATAAACCTACCATTTGGGGATGGTTTATCATTGGGTTTGCCACATTAATGTTAGGACGGCAATAGTGCATGCATCAATCCAAAGGGATTAACATTAATTATTCACCATGACAAATAACCATTGATTATTAACCAATTATATCCAATTATTAACCATTAGTAATGATTAATCACCATTATTACCACATTTATTATATAATCATTACAAATCATGATAAACCATTGTAAACCATTGCTTACCATATCCGGGATATCTGGTGGGATTGCCCCAGGATTGGGGGCTCCCACAGAGCCGGCCTCGCGTGGCTTGGTGAGCTTGGCGGCTTTGGCGCCCATGGAAAATAATGGTTGGGTTTTATACAATGGGATTTATATAAATGGATTTAATGGGATTTCATAGGATTCAATGTTTTAATGATTTAATGAGTTAATGTATGTAAACAATTCTGATCAAAAATATGGATCGAAGTAACATTGACCCCCCAAAATGGACGGTTTGAGGGAAACGACAACTCTAATGGGTGGGTCCATTTTTGTCGTTGGTGCCGCAAGTTTGACCTCGCCAAGTCAGTTTTCTTCAGAAATCTACCGGACTGGGACGTTTGTTGCTGGTGTCTTCCTGTCATGGGTGGTACTACTCTGATGATCCTTGCATATCCTTGCCATCAGGAGGTACAGTGGGTCGTAACTGCAGCCAGTAACCACAATATCTCTCCTTCGCGGCAAGTCCTAAATTGATGAAAGGACACATTTGGCTGGTTGCATCATCACTTTCAACAGTTCCCGTGACCATTTACACTCAAAAAATGTCTGGCTAAGCCTTGATTTGGTTGGTACGTTGATATCGTCGGCCTCATTTTTTGGCCACAGAACTTATGTATTGCCGATTTCACATCCGTTATTACATTCTGTTCCAACAGTACCCGCGGTTTTTCATGATCAATTGTCAGCTTTTACCCGCCAAATTTGCGGAGTTTCAGTGGGTTAAAATGATGGATTCCTGTTCCATTTTGGAACAATGATTCTGTACCAGCTATGCTCATCCAGAATGTCAACTGCCAATTCACTCAGTTTCCTTTCACTTCGATCCGTTCTTTGTTCACCACCCAGTGGCGCTGGGCGGGCCCCAGGTTTACATCGTCATGGTGCGCGACGACGCGGGTGGGCAAGCCGCCGCCGAGCGCATCTTCGAGGTGCGGATGGTAAGTTACGATTGGCATGGGGTTTTTGATAACTGCCATTTTTGTGTGTATCCAATGATATCAATGGTATCCAATGATCCAACTAGATTTGCATTTTTGTTGGGTATCATGATTTGGTGTGGTAAAGCCAATCGTTTTCCAGACCTTTGGATCTTTTTGGGGGTATGGTATTATCTTGCCCACTGAGGAATGCGAAGGGTATGAAGGGTATGAAATTGATTGACTGGCGATGGTTTATTGTTGGGTTACCGGCATCCCCAATATGGCACTTATTCCGGCTATAGCTCGACCACACTAGATGCAATACTATGGAATACTGACCTTCAGCTTTTGGACCAATAGTTTCAAGGTTTATAACGCCTTTCAAGTGGTAGAAGTGGTAGAATTAGGGTTGCTGAACTATTTGGGTTTGCCACGGTGATGAAACAGATGATGACATGTAGTTACATTGACACACTACAAAACAACACGAAAAACACGTGATGTTGATGATGTTGGTCATGGCAATGATGACAATGTTGGTCATTTATCACAGGGAACTCTATCAATGATCAATCGTAGACCGGGACGTCCAGTCCGTTTTCACTGCTCAGATGATCCCTGCACTCAGTATCTTATAAATGTAAACTATCGGAGCTACATCCCTGTCATAACTGGGACATCTTGGGATATAATCATGATCCCCCTCCCCCGTGCTACTTGATACTTTGGATCTATTACTGAATTGGGATCCTCCAAAAATGGGGTAAATCCATACAACCATCCAAAATGCCCATTAGCCCCCACTATTGCTGGTTGCATCATTATTTTTCTCACTCCCCATGCTACAAGGTCGTCCCCATTTATAACTTGGTTTATAAACCCCATTAACTATAGATACATCTATATGCCATAAAACCAATCCTAGTTATATATTGGAGTTGTGAGCTAACTTAGCTATCTAGGCGCCCCCCTTGTAAAACCCTTCAAGCGCGTAGCCAGGTGCTCACTGCCTGTGCTGGCCGAATGCCTCGAGGCTCTTGTTGCTGAGCTGCGCTTGGTAAAGTGGCACCCAAAATGGATTTCTATGGCTTAATAGGGACAATAATAGGCTAATAGTAGGATAACAACGGGAAAATAAAGATAATAATGGGAAAATAGGGATTCTAAAGAATGGGATTTTATATGATTATTCGATCAAATCTGGGTTATTATGGGATTGCAATACTTATTTCATCTGGATTTGAGATACAAGAAGGATAATTTACTATTAACAAGATAATTCCATCTGAAGTACGAAATACGGTTTCCTGCTGATTACATCCCATAAAATCCCATTATGTTGATTATAATGTTCAAGCCATGGAATTAGATCAATCAAGCACGGATAATCTTACAACAATTTGTTTGTCTCCTCTCCGCTCTGGATTGCTACTACCACTGTAAAATATGGGACACCCTATTTAGAGGCCGTTGAAGAATGGAGGATGGGGTGAACCCAGTCATTTGGAGTCGGGTGGGCCAACAATATCCCAGTGATATGAGGGTTGTCCCGGTTGTCCCCAATTTCAACACCTGGTAGCCATTTCAATCAGAAGAGACTCATTTCACCAAAGAACTCCACCTTTGCAAGAAGCGGAAGCATTTTAACAGGAAAATCACCGTGTTTCATGGTTGATTTCCAGCCTTCACCTCAGTCCCACACAGGGTTTGCACTAGAAAAAACAATTTTGAGGCCGGTGGTTTGTCCTTTGTCAATGGGTCCATCCCTGGAAATGATTAGCCAAAGCAAATGGTCAGAACTTGCCAAGGCAATGATTTTCTCTTGGAGGTGCCACAGCTGCAAGCGATGCAACCGATTTCTATTGGATGATTTGGAGGTTTTTGCTCGGCAGATGCAATGACAAGTCCTGCTTCCACTTATGGCTAGGCATGTCAGGCTTATTTCACCGCCTAGCGATTGGAGAATTTATAGCCCCATTCACCACCGGTTCTTGCAGCCAATCGATGTAGTTGGGGTTCCAGCTCTGTAACTTGGAAGGAAGACGGATAGATCCATCAATGAATGCAGAAAGTCAAGGCAGTTTCTAAATGTTTCTAATTGGATGTTCATCCCGGCAATATGATCAGTCTTCCCCGTGATGTCGATTTTTGACTTATGGTGTGGGCTAACCCCAGGAATCGCTGACTTCCAATCACTTGGATAACGACGCATGGCTTGCCGGAAAAGGTCAAAGATTTCCTATTTCAAATGGTGCTCTGGGCTTGCTACGTTAGACTGCCAGGAAAATGTTTGGCAGGTGGCCCATCATCGTAGGTACCTCCATCCCAGCTGTGTTGATGTCTGCCCCCAGGACGACCATCCACAGCTGGTGGCTGCCCTGCGCAAAGCTGCGATCAAGCCTGACCAAAGGGCCTCAGGCGCAGGGAAAAGCTGTTGGTCCCCCACCCCCCTGCGGTCAGCTGTTAGTTCAAGTTACATTGGGATGTTGCTAGTACGTCTAGTGATGCAGACAGGCGCCAAATGAATGTGTTGAATGCCTGTAGTCACTGCACACGCTGTGAACATTTGGAAGTCAAAAGTCTCAGCTGCTTGGGGTTTGATCGTTTTATCCTCATGAACATCCCGGCCTCACTGCTTGCAGCCAAAATTGCCATACCTATCCATACATACACTCCAGGCGGACGACGTGCGTGCACCAAGTTCACTGAGGCTCTCTTCAGGACTGGGTTGACGGGAAAAACTCGAGGAGATGTATGGATTGTGCGTGGACATATGCAAAACTATAGGTTTTTTCTTGGAAACCAGGTTTTGGAGATGATGATTCTGAATCCGATGTTGGCTCAGACGCGAAGCACCGTAACCTGAAAGAATTACTAGACTACAATTATTGCCGTTTCCAAGAGGAGAAGCACTTTCCCGCACTTCCGAGTCCATGACAGTTTCAGGGGTGTGGGAAGCTGTTGGGGATGCACAGCTCAGCTTGGCACGGCAACAAATGGGAAGGAGACTAGCGACGAACTGGTCATTCTTGGTATGAACCATCCAACGTTAGGTGCTTGACCCACTAAGAAAGAAGAACTCTTAGAAAGGGCGATGGCAACAGAGTATCCCGGATACTCATCAATTCTTGATGACAGACCCTTTTGCTACTTTCAAACCCAGTTTCGTCGGTGATATGCCCATTTTTGTTGGAAGCCGGCTTCATCCCCAGGACCAAGCGGCAGGAGTTGGGGTTGGATCCCAAGGACCGGCCCTACTCTGGCAAGCGGCCGCCTGGCTGGCGTCTTGGCAGTCCGCGCTCGGTTTGGGATGCGGAAATATGCTGAGATGTGCTTGGCAAATCTTGGATTCAGTGAGTTTTTAGGGGCAAAAAAGATGGAGTTAGTAAACATGAAACGTTCGAAAGGGGATCGGCAAACGACCCGTTTTTATTGTTTTTGTCGTTCCGTGCGTTGGCTTCTTTCGAGCACAGGTATCCGCAAGCGACAGTCTCTTGGCATCAAAATGCGGCCGTTCCAGGTTTGAGAATGATTATGTCGGCATGATCATCAACTCTATGGTTATATATATATATATATGTGTATTATACTTCCAGAACAGGTTGCTAATAGTCCCTAAATATTCTGAAAGATATCCAAATAGTGATGGCGATGTTCAATCCCTGGATATCCTCAATATCCCATTGGTTCCAACAAACATATTTTTGGACATTTGGAGGCAGGCCGGTCTCAAGCAGCTGGGATGCCAATGTATGTCTTTATGGTGATAAAAATCAGTCACACCATGTCACACCTCACCCACACGCACCCCCAAACAGCCGACAGGATTGATGAACATTTCCCTGCAATGATGCTTGAAAAAAATGCAAAACACAATTCCTTGAGGTTTTGGATTGAAACTTTGGCTTGTAATTCCAACAGGGATTTGGCTCATTTGTTTAGCACTGACTTTGACTTCCCGGCGGCCCATGCTGACATGCGTGCCCGGGTGTAAACATGGGTGATGAAACGTCCCTTTCCTTTCAGCAGCAACTAGCGAAATAATATCGCTCACAGCAATCATCCATCCCTGAGTGAGCTGATGTTTCAATTGTTTGAAAATAGAGTGCCCAACATTCAAAACTCCATGGTTTATCGTTTTCCGTATTCAAACTATTCAAATAGCCATCTCGAGGTATCCCCCATTTTAGACACCCCAAATATAATATCAAGTTGGTTGTGTAGGTATGTGTCCCATTATATCCTCTTATCCTCGAATCTGGGCTATATCATGTATTCCCTATTTATAGATGGTCGTGTGCCAAGCCCTGGAAAATCTCCGGAGGGGACACCACTGACTAGGAGAAGATGGTGCAGCAGTTGGACATCATCCACGCCGTAGGGGAGAAGCAAGGTGCGATTTCTGCATGGCTCTGGGCGTTAAAGATCATCGCTTTTAGTGATAAAAAATAGATAAAAATGGTGGTTGACTCACGTTAATTCCACTCTGTGACTGATGTGTATAGTGGAAACATGTTGGGAAGTCTGTTTGCATGGCATGGGCGAGCATGGGGAGCAGTCCACATTTTTTTGGGGGAATTGGGGGTCAATGCATGCAGCGGGATGTCCACCAGCGAACAAGCAGAGCGTTCCGAGTTATGAACGATGTAAAGTCATTCAACTTCCACTCAGTCAGTAAATATGGGTAAGTGATGGCAATTGCTTTTGCTGGTTCTCTCTGATTTTTGACGGAGATATGACCATGTAATACCTTGTATTTGTTGGTGACCACCCACTTTTTGGACATGTAACCTGTGTCTGGTTGACTCCGCCACGGAGTCGTCAGGTCTCGACTTCAACTTTCTTCTCGCCGACCTCAGTCAGCAGGTGCCGCCGGAAGTTTGGGAGTTTTGGAGAAAAAAACGTGCACGCCCTTGGCAACATGCTATGGAGATCTATGGAGAATTAGCCATTTACAGATGATGATTTTATATTGTTTTTACATCTAGATGACTGCCATGTTTGATGATCGGATGGTATTTTCCCCAGCACAAATAGCATGAACCAGCCAAGCAACGGAGGATATGGCGCAAAAATCCTTTGAATAGCTGGTTGGGTGCTACAAATGGAACAACATCAGGATTCCGGGACTGGCTAAGCAGGTACCAGAGATTGCAATATCCCTGGGTAGCCGGGTAACCCTAGGCTGCCGGAAAGGGTGAGATCAACAGTAGTGGTTGACCATCCCATTTAATTTCATCTTCGGTAGTCGAGAGCTCAACGAAGCCAATTAAGTTCCCAAGTCTAGGGTTACTCAAAACTGGGTGACATGGGACGACCATAGCTTCCATCCACTGGCATGATTATCCAAGACTGAAAGGGTCGATGTCCAAGTGACCGGCGTTGCTGTGAGATGCTGGTTGTGAAGGGAAGACGTGGGATGTCAATGCTTGCGTGTTTGGGGAACAGAAATGACCACCATCCATCGTGTTCCGGGTGCAGTCAAGATGGATGGCTCAGAGCAGGACAGAACCAACCTGGAAATTAGAAGTTGGAGACGTCACAAGGGCAGATTCTTTTCTTTTTCCCCCTCGACCCAATGACCTCTAGGCCAAACCGTTGGAAGCCCCTGCCCCCCCCAAAAAAACCAGTGACCGAGTGACCTCGTGTGTCAAAAATCTTTTGGATTGATCATTTTTGCCGCGCCTTCTCGCACGCCCAACTCGCGCCAATGCGGCCCTCGCATGGCGCGACTGCCTGGCTTCAGCCAGCTGGTTCACTGCAGCGAGGATGGCATTGATGAAGCCCTGAAGGGCCTGGAAGTTCCAGATGCGAAGTGGCTTGGCGAAACAACCGCCTGGTTGGGAAAGGGCTTCCGTTGAGGAAGGGCTTCCGTAAATTGGTGTGGTAAGCACCCTGTATTGCAGAAGGAAATCGTCTCACGAACAGAATGGTGCAAGTTCCACTTGTGACTCAGGCCGGGGAAATCATCCAAGCTGTATACAGGCCATTACAGGCCTAGAAGGGGAAGGAAAACATAGGAAAGCATAAACAAGAAAAGCAGCAGTGTTCAAGATAAAGCACCCGATTCCATGGTTGAGTGATGTTGAGTGCAAAAAGTGGGCCCAATTTCGTCTGCCCTATTTTCTTTTCAGAAGCCACTGATCAGATGACCAAACTCTGTGGGTCCCAGCGCCTAACACACTCTGACCATCTCTGACCCATGGTGGATCCCAAGTCCCCCCACTTCTGTTGCTGGAATCCACATTTGCATCATGGGTATGCTGTACAAACTCGTTGGAGGTGTGCCAACTACGGCCTAAGCATCTCACACTATATAATTTGGCTGAACCCAGTAAGAGGTGCATGGTGATTTTGTATCCCTCTCTCTTTCTCTACATAAACCTATCACTAAATCAATCAGTCAGTCTACTCTACTCATCTCTACTCTACTCTACTCTAGTCTACTCTACTCTACTCTCATTCAATCTCATCAATATGTCATCATTGATCATACATACAGGTGCATATGCATATTTGTATGTCTCTATTCTATATTATTCTATGCTCGATATATCTGTATAATGTATGTTATGGCTTTCCATGACATTCCAGGACAGCGAATCAAGTCCTTAAGGGCCTGGCGCGTCTGCCTGGCAAACATCCGGTGGCACAGAAGCTGCTGGCGACCTGGGAGCGGCCACTTGGACCAGTGGCAGATAGGATCCCTGGTTAACCCATCTACCCTGCGTGGAAAACAATACAGTTTGCTATGGTAATTTCTACCCTGATAATAATCGATGATTTACCTATGAAAAATGCTGATTTCATCAACGATCCGTTTTTTGATCTTTGGAATCTTTCTCAGGCAGCAGTGCGACATCAGCGCCTTCCATTACAGCACCGTCCTCAACGCCTGTGGCCGCGCCCACGACTGGCCGGTGGCCGTGCAGCTGGTGGCGGCCATGGCGCGGCAGGAGGTGCAGACGGACACCGTGGTCTACAACAGCGCCATCAACGCCTGCGCGCGGGCGAAGCGCTGGGTGGAGGCCTTGCAGTTCTTGGAGATGCTTAGAGGTGGGAGATGGGATGGATGGGCTGGATGGGCTGGATGGGCTGGATCTTATTTGAAGAGCACATAAATAATGTCTTTATTTAATGATGATGTGGTTGATGTTGGCAACACCAGGAGATGACTAACTGGTCCCTATCAATTTGTTGGGCCCAAAAGGTTTCTGAAGGCAACATTGAGCTGGTAGAGGTTTTTGGTGCCAGGGATGGTGAAGCTCCCTGGTCAAATGTGAGCATTTTGATGCGCCATGACCCGTGATCATCCGTAACCCCTTTATATTGTCGGGCCGTAATGGGGCACAATCCCCTTTACAAACCAATCAAGGGTATGATCACACCTTTATCCATGCTGATCACCATTTTTATATAATCATTTTTTGGGATTCAATTCCCAGTAAATGGACGCATTTGCATGGATTATCACTGTTCTTCATCATTTTGTGCTTGTTTTCCCGAAAAAACATCAATATTGGGATGGTTATACCTTGTTCTACCCATGTGTACTGGGTAGCTCACCATGAAATCCCCATTTTTGAATATTTTTGATAGGTAGATCCGTAGATCCCATATCATTTCACCGGAGCCGCAGGTTGCGAGCTGCTGCCTGACACCTTGACCTTCAACTGCCTCATCACTGCCTGCGACCAGTGGCAGCTGGGCCTTGAGCTGGTCGCAGGCACCATGCGCGGCCTCCGGGTCCGGCCGGACCTGGTGACGTACAACGCGGCGATGCGGGGCTGTCAGGGTGCCAAGCAGTGGCTTGGTGGTTTCAACATGTTTCAACAAGATGTTTCAAAGATGTTTTGATGATTTGTTGTTTTTTTCTACGTATATTTTTTGGTTTTGCCATTCATTTTTTCATCCCTTGATTTTCAAACTTGAATAGTGATCCTAAAATTGAAGCCCAATTGACTGACATTTCAACACTTTTTCATCCCCTCACAAAGTGGGGGATGACCCCAACTGACTGCCATATTTGCATGACCCAGGTGGCTCTGGGCCTTGCAGTTGATGAACGACATGTCTCAGGCCCGACTGGTGAAGGATGAGATCACGTATACCACAGCATTGTCAGGCGGGGTTGTTTGACGATTCAACCCAAGGGTCTGCCACTTCCAAGCTTGGAAGAATAGTCGTTTGAACTTATTGCTGGGCTGAAAAAGGGAACCATCCTTTCACAAGGTAGGCTTCACAAGCAGACCCTACATTGAAAAGCAATGCAACATAACAATACATAACATAGCTATGGAACATCGCCCATTTATACCGTACCTCTAAAAATTGGTGATTTCCTATTGCAAACTGTTGAATTACTAGAGGGATCCTGATTGTGTTGATTGTACCCCCAATATACCACCATTTTGTTGGTTGAATCATGTTGAATCCTGAAAATTGAATTTACCGGTCAACTTCCAGGGAGGGATGTCATAGCTGTCGCACCAGGCCTGGATCAACAGTGGGAGCTGGCCATGGCTTTGCTTCAGGAGTTGCAGGGCACGGCGGTGCAAGCGGATTGCCAGGTTGGGGGTTTTGAAAATGCGCTTCAGGTCAACTAACATAACTATGGAAAATCACCATTCTTAATGGGAAAACTCGTTAAATTACCAGAGGGTAGTTGTTATTGGGCCTGTGGGTATATCGGTATCCCAATTTGGCAAACGCCAGCAGGTCTACACTGCCTTGGTGTCCATCTGCGGTCGCGCCTCACAGTGGCTGCAAGCTTTGGATCTCTTCGATCAAGCCCGCAAAACGCACGTGGCCTGCGACACCTCCATGTACAACGCGTTGATCAGCGCCTGCGGTGTGGGCCTGGCATGGGAGAAATCATTGGAACTGCTGGGAAGCCTCCAAGGCTCAGTTTTTTTTTTTCGGTTGATTTGAGTTTGATTTGAAGTTGGTTTGAGTTTGGCTGTTGTTTTCTCCCCAGTTGGTTCATCCACCAGGACATGTTTTGATTTTGCTTTGATAAAGACCAACATCTCTAAAAGGCCGTGCGGATTCCATCACGGTGAGTGCGGCGCTGTCCGCCTGCTGCGATGCGCGCCAGTGGCAGGTGGCCCTGGGGATGCTGGGGTCCTTTGGGCAGCGGCAAGTTGGGACGGCCGCTTTCAATGCGCTCCTAGGTGGCTGCCCTTGGGACGTGGCGCTGGCGCTGATGGAAGAGATGAACCTTCGGCGGGTGGAGAAGGACAGCCTGACCTTCTCCACTGGCATCATGGTGTGTGAGCGTGCAGAAGAGTGGCTTGCAAGCAGTTCAGAGGTTTGAAAAGCTTGAGAGAGTGCTTTGATTAATTGCTCGTACTGGGTTAGCAGGTTTCGCCAGGTTTCAAACAGCTGCCAGTACTTCTTTTGTCTTCGTTTGGCAGATGTGGCTTCCCACATTGATCTTCTCAAACTTACTCCAGCAAACATCAACTGGCAATTATTCACTTGCGGATGGAGCCCGGTTCACAACCAGATGTATTGGAAGATTGCACAATCCATCCCTTTTCCAGTGAGCAGCCCCTTTGCGCCTGTTCAGGTGGGATGCCTCCTTCCACCTGCTGGACCTGCGCGTCCGCAGCTGCCAGGACCAGCGTCTGCGTCACGCGCCCTTTGCACCGCGCTCCTTTCTGCGCTCCCTCGCAGGGGAGGCGCTGCCGCGGCCTCTGGAGCTGCGGCGCCTGCTGCGCTGCTGCAAGCGCGAGGCGCCAAGCAGCTTCCGGGTGAACCCGCTGAAGGCAGCCCCCACAGTGCTGCAACACTTGCGGGAGGACCTGGGGTGGCAGCTGAGCCCTGTGCCCTGGGTGAAGGACGGATTCCGGGTAACGAATTGGAAGCCTCAGATGGGCTTCAACCGGCCGCAGCTGACGGGGGACATCTATTTTCAGGAGGCCACTTCCATGCTGCCCGCGGAGGTCTTGCGGCTGGTTGTGGAGAACCAACGTGCAGCTGGCTGTAGGCAACTGAAGGTGTTGGACATGTGTGCGGCCCCAGGCAGCAAGAGCACTCAACTGGGCAGTTGGCTGATGCTCGGTGGTGGTTTCGTTCTTTTTGATATATCTTTGGGATTCATGTTCCAAAGTAGCTCTACTATTACAGTACTATCAACTAATATAATTTGGGACATGTTCCATACCTATAGCATTGCTTGGGGTGGTTGTCCTTACATGGAATTTCACTTGACAACATAAGATCATTTTCTTCATTTCTTGCACATCCTGTGTGCCCCTCTAATTAAGTTTCGTAACCATCAGATTTGCAAGATTCATTAGATCTTTTCTTTGAGCCCCGGGCCTCCCAGGATGACCTCGCCCTGTGGCCTCCTGGTGTGCAACGACCCGGACCCTGCCCGGACCCTGAAGTTGGAGGCCTCCTTGCTGCGGATGGCCGTGGTGACCCTGGTGACCTCGGTGGACGGCCGCGCCCTGGGGGACCTGGCGCCCGGCGCCTTCGATGCGGTGCTGGCGGATGTGCCGTGCAGCTGTGAGGGCAACGCGCGCAAGGACGCCAGCGCGCTGCTGAGGGCCTGTGGTAGCAGCAAAGAAGGGCCGGCGGAGCACAAGGAGGAGCTGGTTTTTGAATGTTTTCGTGGTTTCAACTGTTTTCTTTGGGTTTTTCATATCCAGAAATCAGTCACGAGGGATGATTGCTGCAAAGAGTGGAGCAGAGGAGCTAGTGGAACGGCAGCAGGGCATTCTCCAGAGTGCCTGGAGGGCCCTGAAACCAGGGGGCCACTTGGTGTTCCTCGTTTGAAGCATTCAGTGGGTTGCCATGGGTTGCCGATTGGGGGCCCTCCATTCCCCAAGGATCCACATCAAACCCAAAGGTTTGAACATTCAAGATCATCAAACATCATTAAACCATACGCATCCATACTGTGGATGGAAGAAATCCATAGAAATCCTGCACCACCTTGGATGGTGGAAACCCTATAAATAATGGGATAAACCATCTATCAACTGGTGCAGGATTTCTTCCATCCACAGTACGTAGCAAAGACATGATCATATATATAACATTATATAACTCATAACTTTGTAACCACATCTTCAAAGATAATCACACATCATTGAACCTAATATGAGTTATAGACAGCAAGGGATGTGACCGATCACCTGAAGCTGCAGCCAAGGTACTCTACCTGCACCTTTGACTACTGGGAGAACCAGGGGCAATGCCAAAGATTCTTGGCGCTAGTTTCATTCGGACACACACACACACATATATATTTACAGCGTTCCATGGCATGGGATGCCAGACTCTGGCACAACCCTCAATGTTTTTGTTGGAGCCGGAAGCTCCAGTACAACTGGATCAATAGACAATAGATCCAGTTGTCTTATAGCAGCATTATCTAGAAACTGTCGAGTGTTTCACTTGTTAGACTTTTTTTCTCCTCCCCGGGGCTCAGCCCAAATCACCCAGGATTTCTCGCGCAATTGGAGGGTGCAGAGCATGCTCCTGTTCCGATTGATGTGATGTCCTGCTTAGACCTCCCAGGTTCCGCAGGCTTCGGTGGGGAAGGGTACCATTCTACTCGGAGGTTACCACTTTTTTAGGGGCACCCTTCTGATGAATCAGCCGTGGTCTATGACGCTGGTTTGACGTTGAACTTTGAAATAATGTGATGCCCAGCTCATTTTTTGGCGGGGCATCTGAGCTTCCGAGTAAGATTATCCATGGTTGATCTGTTTGCCAAATACATGGTCTGTTGAACTGCCATTGCTGCTGAGTTATTAGCTTGGGTTTGGATTTCCCAGTTGAAATGCTGGTGGAAAACAGTGGGGGTAAATATGACTTCCCTGATTTTACCAGTTTTCTTGGGAAGCGCCTTCGTCACACCAAAGGCTAGTGCATTTTGGAATCACGTGGCTACCATTTTGTTTCGCAGCCGTTTTTTTTTTCACTCCACCATTTTTATTCCACACGTCCTGGATCCAGTTTGTTGGCAGTGAAATTTCTGTCTTGTCCTAGTCATCAGTCAAAATTCATGACTTGAAACCGGCACTGGACATCTTCCACCCCTAGCCCTGCTTCAGGCACCGAGACGGGCGCCCAAATCTGGCCGCAGCAGTTTGATGTGGAAGGCTTCTTCGTGGCTTGTTTCCGCAAAGGGGCAGCTGTTTCTGCTGATGGCATTGCTGCAGATGAGGGTGAAGGCGATGGATGGGCCAAATTCTTGGGGACCGCCCCCTAGCCATCTGATGGTGGTTTCATGCCGGATGAGTATGTTTCCAAACATGTTACAATTCTGTTCTAAAGAGGTCTCTAAGGATTTAAGAGGTTTATTTTCCATCCCCTTTCTCGAAGAGCATCCCAGTTTGCTGACCAAAAAGTTCAATCGGATTTTACTTCGCAACTAGGTTTGTGACACCTCATAATATTGGATCATATTGGTGAAATACATGCCGATCACAATCTTATTGTTGGTGAACTATCCCCATGTTGAGTGGTGATGATATCAAAAAACACATCTATATTTGACTTGGCATAGCTCGAACAGAAGCACTCGTTTCTTTGCTTGGGTCATGTGTGTACCCCTGTGGTCTCATGTGTCAATGTCCTTCAGCATTTTTGCAAGGCGTGCTGCCCCTACTGGAGCGCTTCAACTTGAAGCCTTTGGCGCATGAGGAGGAAATGATGATCCAAGCCTTGGCGGATGAGACTTCGCTGATTGCACAATATTTTTTTGATATATTTGCATACGCCTGATCCTAAGAATCGTACATACCCGCTGGTTTGGTCATAATTCATGCTACTGTAGCACAATGTAGCACATACAACTTATTTTCATATCGAATTATATAGTCTTTTTGCCAACCTCCCCAGGACACCTTGGGATTTTGGCCCTCCGGGCCGCTAGCAGAAGATGCCATGGGCCATCTGTGGCTGTTGCCTCGGCTGCACAGGAGCCTGGGAGCCCTGGATGCTGTGCTGCGGCAGCCGGGCCTCCGCGTGGCCCGGCGCGGCGATGGTGAGAGCTGGGTGCTGGCGGAGGATCTGCTGCTGCTGGCGGGGCAACGGGCGAAAGTGAGGGGGATGAGCAACGAGGACGATGGGTTGGGGTTGATTTTGAGGAATGATTGCAAATGAGGAATATGACTATAATAAGCCTATAATAACACCTAGCTGAAGTAAAGGAGATATTTTGACAGGGCATCTGGGGCTGGCCAATGTTCGCCATCAGGACTGGGCCAAGCTACAGGCGACCAAGGAAGAAGGGGGGCAGTGGTCACCCTCCAGGCTGCAGCGTAAGGTGCGGAATGAGGCGATGCTCCAAGCAGGGAGGAACCGGAGATCTGGTGCTGTTGGTGAGTGATGGGAGTTGGACATGACTTCGGTATGACTTCGGTATCTTGAAGGCTTGCCAAGGCTGCAGTTACTGCAGCATCTCCACATTTCTTGGAGCAATCGACTTGGGCGTAAGGAAGTGCCGAGCTCGGCTATTCCGAGGATGTTGAACATGACCTCTTGGGTAATTATCGTGGAAGAGTGACGACTTTTCGGCCCCCAAAGGTTTTGGAGACAAAGTGCTCCAAGGGGCTAGCGGATGTATCTGAGCCAGAAAGGTCTTGAAGTTTGCCACACTTCAGGCATGGTAGCCCGCACGGGATGAACCGAATCGATTTGCGATTGAAAAAAGTTGAAACGGTGGGAGTTTGATGGATTTTGCAGGTGGATTTCAGTGCACTCTACTGGCTGCAGCTGCACTTTTCGCAGGTGTCGCGCGGCGCTTGGCGAGACGATGGTGTGAGCCTGAAATCCTTGGCTAAACGTAGTGAAATCTGCTTGAAAGCTGCAACAAGCAGCAGTTGGATGCATACTGCTTGCAGAAAAAGATCCAGAAGAATTTGGCATTTAATATCATTTAACAATATTTAGCATGGTTTTTAAGCAACTTTAACCTTCCATCGTTTCAGTTTTCCTGTTTTTTTCCATCAGTTTCCTGGTTTTTGAGGCAACATCCCCACGCTCACCACTGGCAGCGTGCTCTACAGCTTCAGTAGGCACCGACCTTTCCTTGGAGAGGAATGCTTGAGAAGCTCCACGGCAAAGCGCTAGTTCAAAGGTTCTAAATGTTGAGCAACCCTAAAAGATATATAATGGGGGCACAAGACCAATTATGCAACTGGTGGGTGGTTTCAGATAGATTAGATTAGCTTAGGTTAGATTAGATATGATTAGATTATATTATATAGATTAGATTAGATTAGATATGGTTAGATTAGATCAGATGAGATTAGATAGACAGACGGACAGGCAGATACAGGTACTGTAGATAGATATATGGATATACACATCAACATCTTCAAACATATTTGGGATGATGCTGATGATGTTGCTGCTGATGATGACGATGATCCCCAATGACTTTGCTATTGTGGGGATGGGTTGAAAACCACCAATCAGTTCATTTTGTTGCTGTTGCTGACCTAAGGACTCAACGGCTTTCCGATCGAGCAGCTCAGTTTGGGTGTCTTGCATGTGTTGGTGTCATCTCTGAAAGCAGATACTCGAATCCATTTGACCTCTAGGTTTTCTGCTGGCCGCACGTGTCCCAAAGCTTGACTTTCATGAGCACTCATTCAGTGGGAATAAGAATATCAACACCTGGATCTACATTTACATCTACGTCTATATTATCTATATGTATGCATTGCATATACCTCTCCCTCTCTCTCTCTCTCTTTGTACATACATATATATATATATATTACATGCATGTATAATCATGTATATCTACACCCATGTATATCTACATCTATATGTGCATATATCCCACAAACACGCATGTGTGCATATATGTATATAATATATGCACGAAATGTACAAAGCTATCGCAGTAATCCGTGGTAGGAACGCTTGTCAAGCAGCAGAAGGAGATGCCAGAACGTTACATCTCAGGTGAGCAGTTTGAAGAAAACCCTGTTGGTTGACACTACGGGGGTTGTACTACAACTTATTCTATATCCATATCAATTTTATTCATTTTTTTTTCCCTCTCTCTCTCTCTCTACAATATAGATTGATTGGGAACAGTCATGATCCATGAAGGGAATACGCATTAATCCACCAATTCTAGGGATATTCCAGGAGGTTTTCACTTTTTGACGCTCAGACGCGCACACTGAAGCGGAGCGCATCTTCCTTGCCGGCAACGCGATGTCGGTGCACCTTGGCTGAAAGTCGCATCCAATGAATCCAGGGTTTCTAACCCACCATCAAACATGTAGATCTTAACCCCAAAAAATGTGAGGATGCCTTATCATAATCAACCAAAATGGGACATTTACCAACATACATGAACATGGCAAGCTCGTCATTTCTTTGAACCAATCTACAAGAGAGTTTGGTCAACACAAGAGCTTAACATTCAATTTTCAACATCCTGAAAGATGATGAAAGATCAGATGAAAAATCACAGAACGTCATTCTCAAAGATTTTCCGATCCATTTCTTTTAAATCAATTCGAGATCATGAGTCATTACTAGAATTTCGCAAAGGCTTTTTTTACATCTTGTACATCTATACAAATTAAACCCATTATCGATTACGAACATCACATTACATTTGTAGTTAATATTAATATGGATAATTACCTTTATCAACTATCAATATGGATTGTTATGATATTTTCAAAACCTTAATATTTTACATCATCACAATAATCCACAATAATATGATCATAGATTATTATATGAATCCAAAACCTTAACATTAATCCATTATCATATTATCATAATAATCCATTTTCATAATATTACGTTGTTTTGGAAAAAGCCGTTGAAGTTTCCAGGCCCGTGGTGGGCGCCGTGCTCTTCGCCGCCTTGGTGTCGCTCTCCTGGGGCGCTGAGCGCACGGTGCGCCTGTCCACGGCGCTGCCGGAGCCCGTGCAGACGCGGCCGGTGCCTGGGTGAACCCCCCTTTGGAAATCGAGGTTTCCAAAAGGGGTACCCTCTGGTAATTTAACATAGCTATTGAATATGGCCATTTAGAGTGAGTTTTCCCATTAAAAATGGTGATTTTCCATAGTTATGTAAACGTTTACCAGAGGGTACCCAAAATGGATGGTTTACAATGGAACATCCGAAAAGAACATGGATGATTTGGGGGTATCCCTAGTTTAGGAAACCTCCAAATCAACCGTGGCAAGGGGAAATCCATCATTGATGGATGTTTTTGAACATGAAAACCCAAGATTGGAGGGATTTTCCATTGCGAGGTTTGATATGGACAATGGTTTGTTGTAAGTGTGTTCTTTCTTCGCAAACTTATTTAGAAAAAGAATCTAGCAAGTCAAATTTCCAGGATTGAACAATCGAACTTTGTTTCTGCTTATTCCGTCCAACCCGGACGTTGCTCCACACTTACAATCATCATCGTCGTCGTCATCATCATCATCACCACCACCACCACCATCATCATCATCATCATCATCGTCATCACCAGTGTCAACTCATGTGGAATGAGGTAATACCATCAACTCATATGTCTTATATTCAAAAGGGATCATAAATCCGCCACCCCCTATGACAAATATGTTGAATTGTGTAACTTATCTTCAAAAGGGATCAAAAAATCAACCGCCCCCTCTGACAAATACGTTGAATGGGGTAATCACATCAACTCATCTTCATACGGGATCAAAAACCCACCACCCCTTGTAACAAATATGTTAAGTAGGATGATCACACCCACCTGTCTTCATAAGAGATCAACATCCGCCACTCCCTCTGACAACTATGTTAAATAAGGAATAACAACAACTTATCTTCATAAGGGGCCAAAAATCCACCACCCCCTCCGACGAATATTTTAAATGGGGTAATCACATCAACTTATCTTCATAAGGGATCAACAAATCCACCACCCCCTCTGACAAATATGCTGAATCTGATCATAGCATCAACATATCTTCATAAGGGATCAACAAAATCCTCCACCCCCTGTGGCGAACATGCTGAATCTGATAGTAGCATCAACTTATCTTCAAAAGGGATGATGATGATAATGATGATCATGGATCACATATACATCTACATACTGAAAGTCCACCGACATGGCATTTCAAAAATACGCAACCCTTCCGCAATTCCAGCGCGGAGCAACGTCAGGGTTGCACCGTACTTATTTAATTTGCCATGTTTTCTTTTAACATTTGATAGTTTCGACATCAAATAGTGGACAGATATGTCCACATTTAACATCACGTTTTTATTTTCAGGTAAATTTTCAACATTTGTTCAATTTATATGGAGGTTTCCTAAAATGGGGGTACCCCTAAATCATCCATTTAAATAGGATTTTCCACAATAAACCATCCATTTTTGAGAGCCCCGATTTATGGAACCCCCATGTTTTGCCAAATTCCTGGCTCTCAGGATGTTCGAAAGCTGACGCAGCCCGGCTCGGTGGTGCTGGCGCAACTGGCACCGTCCTTGATGGATGATGAGTGTGAGGCCAGCGACAAACATGGCGATTTTTAGCGACAAACATTTGGTGATTTTTTTAAGCATCAAAAATGGTGACCTAACCAGAACAAATGGTGGTATAATGATGATATAATGGGATGTCATGGGGATAAATGGTAATTTGTGTGATCACGGCGTTTGATGCGGGTTTACCCGGGTTTACCCAGCAAGAATGGGGATTCAACCGCATCCTGGAAGTGAGGTTACCTTCCCATTTTATGATGATGTAATAGGTATACAATGGGAGATCTAACAACCAATGTGGGTCAAGATGATCACGCGCCCCAAAAATGGAGTTTTTACCTTCCAAGTGAATATAGGCCCTGCCAGCTTTTCGAGGCATTGATTCTCGGAGTCTATGCCCAGTTGGGATAGTTGGGATGATCGCCATCATTATAGATGAAGTTGACCAGCCACATGGCATAGAAGGGACAAACATATGGAATTGAAATGTACTGTATATCAGATATAAATGGATATGTGACGATATATTTGTATACACACCTATGCATTTACACCCCGATTCGCCTAATGATGGGGACTTGTTCGGGGTTTAATAGGGATAAAACAGCAAGACAAAAGAGATTTACCAAGTAAGAATGAGTATAACGGTATAACCATAACCCCCCCATATTGATTTCCCTTGAATGGCGGCTCCAAAAGTGGCCACATCCGCGGAACCAGGTTTCTTTGATGCTAAGTGGCTTTAAACTTCCCCACATCCTGATGTGATATGGGTGGCCATCCAGGATCATCCCAAGTGGATTTGATTTGGGGTTCCAAAGGTTTTTGATCTTTGGGTTTCCATCTTTGAGCTAATGCATGTTAAAAAATCCGCGCCATTCCTGTCACATTCGATCTTCAACCTGCACCGGCATTTCGATCTTCTTGTTGGGTTTGTTGAGGCCAATAGGATTTTCCATGGGATTTTCCATGCTTCCTGTGCTTCATTGCTTCGAAGTCATCATCTGCCAGCCTCGACTTTTGGAAGGTCATCACTCCTGAAGATGCTCCCAAAGTGGAGGAGGATCCGAGAAATTTCGGTGAAAGCCACTGACTGCAAAATGCAAGGCAGAAAATCATGTTTAAAAGAGCATAGAGGGATATATGATCCATCCAAATTAATATTGTTTCCGGTTTTTCACGAACCCCCAAGTTTTGCAAACGATTTGCATCCATACACTTTCGCCAAGTATGAAAAGTGCAAAAGCGAAGTTTGGATAGCGCAGCGTCGAGCCTGCCTGCAGGTGCAAGTGAAGGGTAGTGCCTGACCCGACCCCACCCCATTGGCCTCTCAGCTGCGACGATACCAGGAAAAACCTTATCATTTTTGCCCCAAACAACCATGACATTGTAAGGACGTGCTGACGTGCCCATTAAATGGACTATTCCAGTGCCAGGGTGATACTTGTCAACAAACATGTGTTGACATATTCAAGATATTCTTCGCACTTCACAACAGGTCCAATGCACAGAAACAGGGTAACGTGCGCAAAAACAAAACACAACAAGAATTTGAGAACAAATGGTCAACTTTTATGAGTCCCTTGAAAGGCGCAGCAATTGAGGCGAGTCCGGCCCGTTTTCAAACAAGGCCCCTCCCCCAAACCAAGTTCTATCGTTATCACTGGCGTCCACTAATCCATGACATTTTGTAACAGCTAGCGTTCCCTTAGGGTTCCCTTAGGGTTCCCTTAGGGTTTTCTTAGGGTTCCCTTAGGGTTCCCTTAGGGTTCCCTTAGGGTTCCCTTAGGGTTCCCTTAGGGTTCCCTTAGGGTTCCCTTAGGGTTCCCTTAGGGTTCCCTTAGGGTTCCCTTAGGGTTCCCTTAGGGTTCCCTTAGGGTTCCCTTAGGGTTCCCTTAGGGTTCCCTTAGGGTTCCCTTAGGGTTCCCTTAGGGTTCCCTTAGGGTTCCCTTAGGGTTCCCTTAGGGTTCCCTTAGGGTTCCCTTAGGGTTCCCTTAGGGTTCCCTTAGTCCACTAAACGCCATCATGTCTGCTACGGTTTGCTATTGTTTGGGAAGATCTCTGTTCATTACCCACCGCTGGAGGACACTGCACTGGCGCGCCGCGCCGCCGTTCTCTTGGCCTTGACCCGGGAGTTGACGCACGGTACGTCCAAAAAGCAGAAGGCTGAGAAGGACTGCGTTGACGGTTGGAAAGTATGGTCGTTCCCTTCCTTTCTAGATCAAGCAATGAGACTTAGCAAGATTGTAGAGGAGCATAATAATGATTCTTGACCATTTGGTAAGTGGGAGGGGTCATCTAGGATTTATATCACCATAGGTCGTTTGCTCGTCCCACCAGCAAATCAGCCACCAGCTCCTAAATCTAGATCCTAAATTAGGAGAGCAACCCTTTTGCAAGGGACTTTTACTTGAGCCACCGGCACGATGTACAATCATTTTCGCTCATTTATTGTCAAGCAAAAGTATCCATATCTTTGTTGCCCAAGGGTGCGTCGTTTTTGTCTTTAATACTTCAGTAGGTCAGTAGGTATCATCCCCGTAGTTGGTGTTTGAAAGATACCATTTCTCATCATTTCTCAATGGTATACCCAGCTGCCTAAACTGGAGGCATTGTGCCATAGAAGCGCAGATGTTGTAGGTCAGGCTTTGAATAAAGATTATGACATGTTATGATAATAGTTATGATTACATATGATTACTATATAGGTGCCCTAAATTTCTTCCTGAAATGCCCTTGAAGGGACCCAACCCCCAAAACCCCAGGGTCGGACCACGCAGGGCAAGGAGTCCAAAGAAGCGGAGATCAAAAGCAATGGCTTGGTGGCAGCGGTGCAGGTGGGAGCAGAAAGGGTGCCATTTTTTGAACTCCAAAAAGAGTTGTTGATGATACAGGGCTGGGGTTGAACAGTGGCCAACTCAGCTGAGCGGTTATGATTGTGGAGGAAGTGTAAGGAACACTGCTCTAAGTCTGCCTCAGAGCTGGGGGTTCTCAAATATCTTTCGCCCCTGAGGATAATCAATATTGAGAAACTATTGAGTAAAGTACGTGCAATCATTCATGACAGGATCATCCTGATAATCCCATCTCCTTCCCCACTTCGCACATTTGGATATTTGCATCTGGGAACACCTGAGATACTCCCAGCCACATCCCCACCAGCTCCCTGCTGCCGTAGGGCGGTCCGCCCATGGATGCCTCTGAGTCCCCGGACGCGGCGGCAGGCGACGGCACGGGGTGGGAGGCGAGGTACGCGAAAGTCATGGAGCGCCTGAGGGCACCCAAGGAGGAGGCACCGCCGTGCCTTGGCGGAAAGCCACCACTGGGTGGGTGGAGGGGAGGGTCAAAAGGCCCAGCCAACAAAATGGTGACTTTTTACAGGAAAAGATGGAGAAATGGTTTGGAGTTACAGAATGTTACATACATTTACCGCGTATGGCACACGGTAAAAGTAGGAGAATGCAACCAATAGTGGGGATCAAACCTGGAGTCTACCATGTTAGACCACCAGAGCTTAAGGGCAAAACACTAAGAAATCAGCAGCTGACTGTCAGGATGGTTCAGGATGATTCCTGAAATTGCATTAGTAGTTCATTCAATCCATCGTAGGTGAGACATCTTGGGAGAAGGAAAAGCAAGCCGGACACGCGATTCAATTTGGTGGGCAAAGACCGAGGTTTCCTGTTGATATTCCTTTACATCAATCCAGGATCAATCCATATATCCCCCACCATGTTCATATAGTTTCTTTGTATTCTTCCAGATTTCCCTAGTTTTTTCCCCCATATTTCCAGTAATCACTTTATTTTTTCCATAGTTTTCCAATTTTTACCACATTTTCGTGATACCATTTGGTTATTGAACGTAGCTATGGGAAATCACAATTTTTAATCGGTAAATCATCATGTTTATCATCTATTTCTATGGGCCATTTTCCATAGCTATGCTAAATAACCAGAGGGTAAATCCCATGAAATCCCATGAAATCCCATGAAATCCTATTGAATCCCATGAAATCCCATGAAATCCCATGAAATCCTATTGAATCCCATGAAATCCCATGAAATCCCTATTTTTTCCCCACATTTTCCTTCTATTTTCGCTGGCTTCCACCCAGCCCCATCCCCAGGAGCAACGCCCAGCTCTTGCGCTGGCTCCTGGAGGCCTCCGAGCTACTGGAGGGCATGGCGCGCGAGGAGCGGCACAGCGCGGCGCATGAGTTGCAGCACTTCGTGGTGAAGAGCCTGCAGGTGCTATGGGAAAATCGGAAGGTCATAGGAAAACCATAGGAAAATTGTGGTTTAATGGGATTTAATGGGATTTAATGGGATATACCCTCTGGTAAACATACAAAAAGCTATTGAAAATGGCCCAGTGAAATAGTGGATTTACCCATTAAAAATAGTGATTTTCCATTGCAATGTAACAGATTTACCAGAGGGTAATAATCATGATAATAACGATAATCATAGGACATCTATGTATATCTATGTATATCATCAATATTACATAACTATCTTATATACATAATACATAAAGATAAATGATAATAAATAATGATGATTATACGGCTAATGCTAATAATCATAATGATGGACAATAATGACCACAACCATAATCACAATAGTAAGAATGATGATAACAATAATAGTATACGTAATTTTACATATGATTGTAAATTCTAGGTGGTTTACGTCTTAAGCATCGCCATTTGTTCCATGCCTAATGACATGTGGTAAACTGGTAAATTCAAGAATAAAAAAACACCAAAATCACCGTTTGCATGGGCGGTCCAAACCATTCCTAGATGGTAGGTTTATCATTGGGTTTCCCACATGATTTATCATGTATATATGTAGATTTATATTTGTATCTATGTTTATATGTTTGTTTTTATTTATATGTAAGAATATCAATAGATCACGGGAACGGTTTATGATATATGGACGTATGTTTCAGAATGTGGAAATAGATTGGGACATATGTGGGGAAATATGTTTGGACATATATGCGGAAAAATAGGTGGAAAAAACAAGCGGAACATATTTTCGAGAAACATATGGGAAAGATGGATCAAATGGTAAATGAACAATTACAATCCGACAAATCTTTTCACACTACCAGGTTTATCGCGATGGTTCTGACGATGCACAGATGGCTGAGCTAGGACCGGACGACCGTGATCGCCCAGATTGCCAGATGGTATCCCCGCTTAAAATGGAACAAGGGCCGCAAACATGGCCTTCCAGGCCCTGAAATTGGCGTGTTCTGGCCAACAGTTGGTCATACCTTGGGCTAATTTGCCTAAATCCCCTATGGTTACGCTTAACCCAGAGCACAGTCCGCCGTGGGGACGCAGGATTGGAGGATGTGCTCACGAAGTTGTGCAACATGCGTTTTCCAGAGGCGCGCTGTTTCGAGCGTTATGTTATTTTTTTTTTCGTGAAGTTAAGTCCTGGTCTGTTCTGTTGAGACTTCGGCAATTCGGAAGTCAAATGAAACTTCTCCGGGGGACAATCTGTATAGGGATGACCTCTGGCGGACCATCGTCCGAGGCTGTACCAAGGACATACCCTCAATGGACAGATAGATTTATGGGAAAAAGAAGGGTGAACTGATGGACTTAACACAAGGACGCAGGCGATATTCATGATGCGACACGTATTTCGATGCGCCCCTTGCTTGTACATCTAGTCACTATGTGGATGCTCACTTCGCCACCCAATGGTTTTTTACCAGCGATCGTTAGGCAAAAAGCCTTTTTGGGCGGTTGCAAGTGCAGAAACTTCAGCAGCACTTCGCTTCAAAGGTGCCAGCCCAGGGGAATGAATTGGAAGACTCCATGATTACCCCATGGTCCGACTCACTTAAGTGTTTTTTTTGGTTTCCCAAAAGGATGTTCGAACATCGAACAGTGGCACACAATCGCGAGACACGTGTGGGTCATTTCCCTCTAGTTCCTGTGCTTTCGCCCACGCTGGCCGACAAGCTGATGCTTGACGTGAACACTTTGGTTTTAGTACCATCAACCGCTGCCAATGGCAACATGTTGAAGCTGTGCACCATTTAATTTGCTGATGCACATGGATGTTGGTTTCAGGGATAGTGCCAGTACCTTTATTCGGATGACCCAAAGCTATATCAAGTCTTTTGACTATGGCACAGGCCCAAAGAACATGGGAGCCATGTTTCAGCGGCATTTCCAGGACATGACAACGCCAGATATCGATTGGCTTGCAAAGGCGTGGATGCGGCTGATGCGGCGAAAGGTCAAGAATTGTCAACATTTGGTTCCCTTGGTGAAGATGTACTGTAGACTAGCTAGATTGGGGTATATAATGAATTGCCCAAGTTGTGTTTTCATTTCAGAACTCAGTGTTGCATATTATATACATTTTTGCTTCTGAAGAAAGACAATGTTGTGGGATATGGGATGAGCATGTTCTATTTCACTGTCATGAGTAGCAACCAATCTGCTGTTTTTGCTAGCTGCTTTTTCAGGCTTATGTTCATGATGATGAATCGCATTTCGGCGTGGAAAAAATAATAGGAAGAACACAATCTATGCAATAAGTAATAAGCGGAAAGAGGGCAATCCCATGGGAAATGGTCATGAATACAAGTGAACATGAGGCCGAAGATGATTTTCCCACACTGGCATCCATGACAAATCCTGCACCACCAACAACCATTCGGGATACCGGCAATAGCATACTAGTAGCCAATCACCACAACAGCTCCTCCAAAAACAAGCAGAACAAAACCATCCCGCAGCATGGCACGCCGCTGGTGGGTCCTGGTGGCCCTGGTGCCGTTGCTCCGTGGGTCGCTGCTCTTCACCGGCGGTGCCACGGCCTCAGCGCCTTCGCGCGTGCCACGTGCCGTGGCGCGGCAGGCGCTGGATGCTGAAGGCCTGGCGTCCTTCGCGTCCTTCTCGGTGCTGACAGGCGCGGCTTGTTCCGGGGGAATTTTCTGTAGGGCTGCTATAGGCTGAGCAGATATATATGCATATATATATATACACATATAGATAGATAGATATTTTTAAAAAGAGCCGATCGTTTTTTTTGAAAGCCTGTCCCTGAATTGTCGCCTGAATTGTCCTGAAACTGCTTTGTTTGACCCTGGCCAGGTTCGCCCATCCCCTTGGCTTTGGGCGGTTTGTTGCGCAAGGCCGAGATCGATCAGCTGGATGTGCCAGTTCCAGCACCAAAAAGTGACCCGTCGCCCCTCGAGTCTTTCCTGGACTCGCTGGGCTTCAAGGACTCCGCCAGCGTAGCCACAGCCACAACGGATACGCCGGAGCCCAGGGATTTGATGTGGGCCTTTCCGTCCTTTGCCATCTTCCTGGAAAAGGTGGGAAACCTTGCAGGGAAGTGGGGATAACCAGTGAACATGGGCATTATAAACCGAAGATTGGGATTCAAAGCTTCGAACATTGAATGATGGGAGTTTTGACTTGCAAGGGATCCTTTCATTTGTTTGGCAGCATGATTCATCATTGACCGACCACGACCCCCAGGTCGATGAAACAGCTCCCTCGAACTTCCCCCTGTGGGCACGGTGGCTCTGCCTCCTGACCTTTTGGCCAGGGGTGATTTGGTATCTCTACTACAAGCTCCTCGTGGAGGACTAGTTGCGGGTCCAGCGATAGATTCGTGTTTTATCAACCCAAGATGTTTGAGAATTAAGGCCGCCAGCTTCTGTCTTAGCAAGTAGTGAAATCTCCAGTGAACCATGGGATGTAAACTTGGGGCCCATCCCGCAAAAGATATCGGTGAACACCTTCATGAATAGACATGTAACATAACCCGCTGACTGATAGATCCATGTAGTGGAAATCTAGGTCAAACACTCGGGGGCAAGAACCTACTTTCAATATCTTTCAATACGGAATGCGAAGTCACCCAGCAGAGTGTCGACCTGATAACTGCGATGCAAACTGGGTTGTTGCCTAGTTCTTTGAATTTCCTGGTTGGTGCTTTGACGTATTCTTTATATTCCATCTATGAGTCAATGAAGATCATGATTCCAGGTAGGTAGGCTGGAATTTTCCAACCGCGGACCTTTATGCAGCAAAAACGTAGCCGAACCGGGGCTTGAAACTTCGAAAGCACCAGACTTTCGAGCGCCACTTTGGAGGACGACTTGCGCGAATTCCGCGGCTTGGGTATCGGTGGTTCGTTGGTCATCGTGCCATTTGCTATTGGGCTGTTTGCCGGCGTGTTTGGCGACTCGGTTGATATATGCTTTTCCCACCTGGTTGACTTGATGAAAATAAAGGGTTGCCTTTTGGCTACAGGTCCCACTGGAATTGAACAACCCACCGGTAATTAAATGTGGTTTTTGCATGAAAATGACCCACTAACTAGTCATTCGCTGTCATTCGCGATCCTTTTTCCCACCAAGAACGATAGGTCACTGGACCCAATTCGTCTGTCAAATAGACATCATTCACTCCGTTGTCACTGATTTTGGCGGGTTACGGTGGTAAATCATCGAATTTCAGGGATGCACTCATATAAAGATTGTGAAGATATTGTTGAGGTAGTTTCATACTACTCATTTTGTGACAGATCATGGGGTATCTTCCTTGCACATGGCAGCTGGTTGAACGAAGATCTTTCACCTCGTTCGTCAGGTTGCACACCCATGGGTGACCAATCGCGGGCGATGTTTTTCCGCCATTTAGTTTTGGGAGGAGCAGCAACATCAGCAACCACCTGTGTCCTGCGCCTTAAATTTTGACCGTAGATCCATTTCGAGAGCCAGGTGAATTTGCCTATGGCGCCCTGGAGGGTGGCTTCTTCGACAATGGCTTTGCAGTGGCCTTCTATAGCGCCTTCGCATGGATTTATCTGAATCAGTGGTTTCTCTACCAAAAGGTGAACCAGCTAATGGAGGACCAGGGTGGCTCCCCGGTGTGGGTAGCCTCTGAAAATTTAGGGGAACAACAATGGATAAGGAACATGCACCAGCTTAGACCTATCTATCTACATGTCTCTGCATATTGATGTGTCCAGATTATCTGGGGAGAAAAGAAACACATTCATAAGATTCTACGTATATTCTCCATTATTCTCCCCCAGTGTATCTCCAAAGGAACTTGCTATAATCCAAAAGGACACCTTAGGATCACCCGATTGCTTCGCAGGAGGCAGGGCGTCCAGCTCCCTTGGATCCTTTTGGTCTTTTCATCCCGGGCTGGAACTTTGTGACAGGCATCCGGCAGATCCATTTTCTGGCAGCGCCGCAGTGTAAGGGAAGGGGGATTGCCCTGTGATAGTCAAAGCTTCAAGGTGAGACCCTGTTGGCCCCCCCCCGGATTGTAAGTTGATCTATAAACCCCATGAATACTATAGTTATATCCCCCATAAACCGTAGTTCACCAAGTTGGAAGTCAACTTAGCTATCTAAGGGGCCTCACCTCGTAGCAATGGACAATCTTCATTTGTGGATGATATTCGATTTGAATGCCCATTTGTATAGGGGCTTTCCCGATTGTCATGTTTGATGAACTAAGGTATTCATGGGGATGTTCATAGGGATTGTTTGAGGGGGTCAGTTTATGTTTGGGGGATATCCGCAGGTTGGGATATGCAGCTATTTTTGGACTTAGGGATTTTATGCGATGTGATGGAGGATATGAACGGGGATATCAGCAACCATGTTTAAGGGTTTCTCTAAGTCATGGTGGGGGCCTAATTTGTCATTCAAGTTGATTGTTTTGGTTGTTTTGTACACGTGTCATCATGTGTCTGTGTGCACGCGCGCTAAAGCTTGTGTCAGTGTAGAAACGGCCATCTCATCCATCCATCTGCTTATTGGGCCATGATGGTTTGAAAGGACACTGCGCAGCATTCCTGCCACTGTGTCTCTAGAATTTCCCAGAGGTTGCTTTGATTGGTTGGCCTTTCCAAAAGATGAGCTCAACTCCTCTGAAGGCTCCATAGTGCACTTCTATGATGTCATTGTCGGTTGCCAGGACGAGATGGATTTCCATGCACTGGGAACATCATGCGAAAATGGATGCAATTGAGAAGCATGGCTGCTTCCCCCACCTTGAAGAATCAAGTCCCCGGAAACGGCCATATGCAGATAGTCATCCTGAAGGATTTTGGATGGCCACCATGCAATCCTGAAACATTGAAGGTCAAACCAATACCATGCCAAGCGAATGACCCCAAATCCAAAGGTCGGACGAAAGGTGCTGCAGTATTGCCTGGAGAGCTTGAGAGGTCGCCAGTTCAAATGCTTTGTTCTGTCCAGTCAAGCAGCTCGCAAACCAGGAAAAGCAAGTGCCTTTGACGAGAAGGACACTGAAGAAATTGATGCCGGAAATGTGGTCCCCGCTCCAAATCAGAAAATGCCCGACTTCGTTAGCAAACAAAAGCCATCAGAAAGCCAGACTCACCCATCTCAAAATCCTCGAGAAATTCAGGACTTTTTGACCAGTCTGCTCTGTTAGAAAGAGCCCCTTGGGAAGGAGCATCTTGAATGCACATGGATCATTACATGACATGTACCTCCAACATGTTTTGCTGAAAAAGGCAGCTGTGAGCCTCAGGGATTTGCAGTGCCTGTGTACTATCCGTATAGTACACGCCAGGCCACTGCTGAAGAAGCTTGCTGCCCAAGGAAGGCTCCACACGGTCCACGCGTCTTCGTCTACCCAGGAACCAATGCGGAGTTTGCAACAGCCGGTTGTACACTAAGTTCCATGGGGCCCCGGTAGAATGCCCCATAGTTAGTAGTGAGACCTTCGAAATTGCTGGCGCTTGAGGAAGGAACCGTGCCAGCTTCGCATGCATCGATTCCATTTAGGTCAACACTGTATATGTCCTCCCGTGAGTTAGAAGACATGAAAGCCTACATGGTTTCGGCTTCATACCTGCAGATGTGCTACTCTCGGCTTGTGCGTGGCAACCTTGCGCCAGGTCAAGAAACCAGCGTTCGTGCCATGCGTGAGCGCTCTCTCCAGGACATCATCCAGCCACGGACATTTGACAAGAGCCTTGGAGGGCACGCCCTGGCACAAAGAACTTCAGATGTGGTGGTCCCTTTCCCAGTGGACGGCCCAACAAGCTTCATCCTTTTCACATCTACGCCTGTGACCTTCGAACATCTTCGAACCCTCCAAAGTGGTCAAAGTCTTGAGTTTTGATGGCCGCTTTGGCTTGAATCGCCAGCTCAACTCGAAGTGGGGAGAAGGCCCTCGCACTGTTCGATGCAAAGGGAGGCCAAGAAAAAAGCACATTTAAGATGAACGCGCTTGCGCTTGTGCGGACAAGGGGAAGCAAAGAATTACGATGAAGAACCCAACTGCTGGATGGCAGTTCGTCATCGATCCGCAAAGCCGCTTGGTCCTTGCCGCCAAAGAACACATTGTTAATGGATGTCTCTGCCTGACAAAGTGGAGGTGGTGCAGGCAGCCATGAAGTTGACGAAGGTCAATGCCAATGCGATCATCCATGATAATGCCTGCCACTTTGAAGCCCATGTTCATCGCCACACGTCTGCGAAGAAGAAGAAGAAGAAACAGTTCAAGAAGATCAAGCATTTCATTGTCGATGAGTTCCACCGTGCCAACAACAAGTGCAAGAAATTGAAAGTAACCCGCAGTGAGGTCAAGAGGTTTGAACATGTAAGAACCAATATGAGCGAAGTGTTTAATTCATGGATTCGCCGCAAAAAAAAAACATTTTGAGCAGCCTCCGGCCCAGTAGCCACAAATTTTGGGTACAGGAAAGCATCAGCTTCTGGAATCTGCAAAGCCATCAGGCGAACTAATGCTGCGAGCCGCAAACGGCCAGCATCGGCCCAATGGAAAGAATACCGACCTTCAAACCAAAACATCTGGAAAGAAGATGGAAGAAATGTGAGCACCTAGACAGAATGTTGAAGGAATGCTGCAAGCCTGTGCTTTAAAAATATGTTAAAAATATATTTATATGTAGCGCACAAACATACTATCCCATTGGGATGATAGCGCAATGGGATACTATATGGATCTATATGGGGGTTTCCTAAAATGGGGGTATCCCCAAATCATCAATTTTATATTAAATAATTCAGCTATTGGGCACCCCAATATTATCATCACAAAAATATTGTTGGTACCTTAGAAAAACACTATTAATATCCCAGCCCCCAAGGAGTACTGGGCCATCCAGCGCAACGAAGCGCTGCCCGCGGACGCCTTCGCGGAGCTCTTTCCCTTCGCCAAGAAGCCCACGCTGACGCTGCCAGAACTGGCCACCACGCCCTCCCTGTGGTTCAACTGGGCGGTGACGTGGCGAGGGGGTGGAAAGTGGTGGTTGGATGGGGTAGACAAGCATGGAGTCCAAATGAGTGAAATGACGAGAAAAATCCACCTATATCCACCTGCTATGACTAGTCAACTCGTCATTCTCTAAGATTTTTCAGCAAGTAAAATGGGATATTTTTTGGCAAAAAAACGTGGGAGATACGGATCAACCTTCTAAAGTTAAACATAACACCCCAAATTGCCAGGTCCAAGTGCAGAAGATTATTTTCTAAACTATTTTTTTTGGTTACTATGTTCAATAATTTGGGGTCTGTATATAACCAATGATGGATTTTCTTGTGTTTATTCGCTGCCAGTTTTGTTTGCACAGCAACCATCGAATTAGCTAATAAGGGTCATAAGGACGTGGGGATGTTGATGATTGCTCGCGAACGTGGCAATTTCATAACCCACAAAGCGGGGAAATGACGCGGATTGTTGGTTTCAATAATCAAACGATGTTTGTTCAAGAAACATTGAGGTATCATCATCACTGTGAGGTGCATGACCAACGCACGAACGTTCACAGTGGGGGTTGGCGGGTTCCCCAAAACTAACATTGGGTGTTCATTGTCCGTAGGTGGTGGGACGTCCCAATGTGAACTGCCAATCGCTGACCTTAAGATTAGACAAATCCATTGAGATTTAATTTCGAGATGGAATTCCTCCATGCAAAGGTGATTTCCCAATAATCTGGAAGTGCAAGAGCGACATTCATATTCATGCTCGTGTCAGACCATGTCCCCATCCATTTATCAACAATTAGACGTGGGGCAATTGTCATGGGACAACCGTGGAACCTTTTTCGTTTTTTTGGGCCAGCAACCACTAGGTGATTTTCGGCAAGTCGTGACACCATTTCCCAGATTCCGGTGAGAATTTTCGCAGCTCACGTGCTGTCCAAGTTTTCAAACGCTCGAAATGCAATCCTGCTGGGTGGGGTTCAGCAGTTCAGCTAGAGTGATTTTCCATAGTATTCCAGGAAAATTACATTTTTGATATGATTGATTCCAATTTGCAGGTTGAAACCGCCACCCAGTATCACTTGATTACTTTTCTGCTTGAGAGTTTACCGCCACGGCCACCCCCCCGGCCCCCCCTTCTGCCCTGCGCAAATGCTATGCCGCCAAGCTGGGAAAAAATGTGTGCTGGTTTCCTTTGCGGTTGGAAATGTGTGAGCCCCCAAAATAAGTGACTACATGGTAAAATTACGGGGCATGGATCATCATTGGTGAATACCGCCATTTTTGGCTACAAATCTACAGTCGATCCGAAGTTCCTTTGTGGGTTTTGAGTTTTGATCCAGTTTTTGATAGTTAAGTCACGTTAAAACCATTCAACACAATGAACTAGACCCCCATAATAGTCATGATTCACTCATCCATCCCCGTTGAAATTTCCCCATGAAATGGCTGGCCTTAAGGCCCATATAAGCCCGACTGCTAGTGTAATTTTGTAGGAATTCACTTTCAAGAGCCCAGCCATTTTGTAGCATGTACTAATTTGAAGGGCCTCAAGGTCCATTTCGGAGGCCATTTTGTAGGGAGCCTGCCCGCACCTGGCCATTTTGTAAGAGCAAGAAAATAGATGATTTACGCATAAAATCACTATCATATAGCAATTAAAAAATGCAGTTTGAAACTTGGCTGGGTTGGGGCCATCCATTTTGTAAGGAATCCCTCTGTTGATTTTAATGGCCATTTTGTAGGGAATTCATGCTTTGCAGGGATTTTGCAGTTGAGTTGCAAAGCAGCAGAGTTGCAACCACTAAGGTCTCAAAATGCAACGCCATGCCACTTGTCCGTGTCAGCCTGGCGTTCCAACACGACTCAACTCTTGGGCAAAAGAAGAAGGGTATGAACGCTTTACTTTTTGTCAACATTGTAAAAAGACAGGCCGCACATATCATTGAGCCCCTTTCCTTACGAAAAGGATGGGTTGCTTGAAAAAAACGCACGGAAATGGCAGAGCAACAGGTTCCTACAAAATGATGCCTTTTTTGGGGTTCAGGGTCCAAACATGCAAGCAAAAATCATACTCAGAAAAATATAGAAATCAAACATCCTGACAAAATATACATCCCTACAAACTGTGGGGGTGCTGCAAAGAGCTGGTTCGTGCACAAAACCCTACCATTGTGTAGGGAGAACTTTTTACTAGCACCCATTCATTGTGTAGCACCATTTTGTGCGGCTTATAGCTACAAATAGCGGGGTCGCACCCCTTGAGGTGAATTTCAAGGGGGATACTCATCCCCTATTTTCCGCTGAATCCCCAGTGCCCAACTGATCCGTGGAGGCGCAGGCCTTGTGCGGCCTGGAGCTGAGTGTCTTGCGCGCGGAGGTGCTGAAGCATCTGATCCGCCAGGGGCGACACACGTTGGGGAGGCGCCCAGTTCGCGAGGGGGTCAGGGTGGGATGGGGTGTTTTTTTCGGGGTTGGGTTTATGACAGATGATGGTCTTTATACGTTTTTATCTTTATTCGATAAAACATCTTTGTTTTTTTCAGGCGGGCATGACATGATGAATGATGAATCAGATGAATCAACCCGGAATGGGAGGAGAACGATCTACAAATAGGGCGATGAACCGATTAATGAACGGAATTGTGGGGCACCTGGGGTTGGCCATCAAGGACGGAAAAAGGAAAATGACAAGACTCAAAAAGATGACGCCTATTTGGATCCATTCGGACATTCCTCACCTGCGTTTAGATTTCTCTCCTATTTGTGTGACCCTGCACAGGTTTTTCACACCCTTGCTGGAGTTGTGGTGTCGAGAATCAGCTGAAGATCAGGAGAGTGGAACAGTTTACTAGCGGCGCTGGGACAGTTTACCCTGGGAAGTAATTGTGAAGATGTACGTGGAAATAATACGACATGTGCTTGCACAATCTTGCGCGTGAAATGCCACTATTCGATACGGTACCGCACATACATACCTAGCTAGCTAGCTAGCTAGCTAGCTACCTACCGTAGCTACCGTAGCTACCGCAGCTACCGTAGCTATACCGTACCTACGTACGTCACGTGTCTGCCTCTCTTTTCTGGACATATACTTGTTCGTGATTATCCACTCACTGATCCTAGCTGCTTCGATGCTGCCGCAGGAGCTACAGCAGGTGCAGAAAGGGGTCGAAATTCTTCGCAAGGTGCGGATGTTTGTTGGGCCCCCCTGCATGCTTGGATGGTGCAAAGGCTTTGCAACTGGCAACGGCAGTTAGAGGTGGGATCATCTCTGCTATCTGCGATCTAAACGACTTCACCATAAGTGCGATTTGTAGGAGAAATGATCTGCAAATGCTCAAATTTTTGCGGTTGATATGTTTTGACATGATTGATCACCATATGTTGCCCAGATATGTGGTGGACCTACTACAGTACAGGATTCTAGCCATGGCAGGCGGCTACTGACATAGCCATTCATTTGAGTTACTTCTTACTGATAGTTTCAGGGTTAGATTTTGCCAAGATTAAGGACGTAGGATGGCTCTCAAATCCGTTTCTGACCAGCCCTATCCTGCGCCCACTGTTCCAGGTTTCAGCCAACAAAGGGGATGGAACCTCAAAGAGCCAGAAATAAGTGGTGGTTTCTCTAAAAGTCCATATATCGTGGAGGAATCTGAGGTCTATATTAAATTGTGGCATACTGAAGCCACCAATCATTTTTCAAAGGGATGGTTCCTGGAAAGACCTGCGGAAGAGGTCTGGGCCACGATGGACCCCGAAGACGTCTGGAGCGGCTTCGCTGCGGTCGGCAGCATGAGCCCCTTGACGGCCAGTGCTTTTGCCTGGAGGAATCCATTGACCATCCTCCAATTATCACTAGATTAGGATTTTTTAAACCTACTAAGAGCATTTGATTTTATTTTAATGGATTTGCCACATTCCAATAAAGGGCATTTGCTACGCCATTAGTAGTTGTATGTAATACAGAGTGATAACTTATAAATTAAAACGTAAAACTATACCCTCCTTGTGTTTGTTAAGGCTCCATCATTGGAGGGAGAAGTCCAAAGATCCGTTTTTTTTTCTCCTGGAGGGATGCCCAATCAGGATCTACCCTAATGGGTCCCAGCTTGTGCTTGGGGTTGTGATCTTACTCTGTATTCGCCTATCCTGACTTCAAACGGATCATCCAAGAAGTGAAAGGTCTGCTGCCAGGCTCAGAGCACAGCCCATCAACCCAATTCCTTGCCTCGTGCTTGTCCTTAACTTGAAGCCATGGCTCGCCGTATCCTCCCCGCCATGGCCTTGAGCCTGCTGGCGGCCGTATTCCTGAGCAACGCCTTTGTGGCAGCTCCCAACTCCAATGGGCTGCGTGGGGCGGTGGCCGCGGCTGGGGTGGTGGCCGTGCCGCAGATGGCTCAAGCCATTGAGGCCATGGACGCCCAGCAGTTGGAGGTGGGGAGCAGCGTCAGCGTAGCGGCAACCGTGGAGGCCTTGATGCTGGGCATCGTCCTTGGCACGGTGCCCATTACGGTGCTGGGGCTCTTCGTGTCGGCCTGGCTGCAGTTTAAGAAGGGCCCCACCCTGGGCATCTGAGCAGCTGCCAGGAACAATGGCTGAGGGCTGTGTGATTTTCCAGAGAGTGCAGGCGGAAAAAGCGCAAGAGCAGCAGTGCTGGGGGGAACAGGCCTTTGACTCTGGGGGAATGAGTGTAAAAGTATTTGAATGCAAAAGTCAATCATTCCACAATATTTTCTCTTCCATCCAATTTAGGAAGGGGGTCCCAGCATGGTGAATATCTTTTTTTTGGGGACAGATTGGAAAACAGGAACCAGGAATCACTGACTAAATCAAAGTTGGCAGCTGTGATGCTACCAAGGACGGTGTTGCCTGGAAATCGCAAAGAACTGTGCCATGGCCAGCAATGTCTCTACCGACGAGTGCCAACGTGGAACCGCAGGAAAATACACATGTATTTGGTGATATTCGATGATATTTCTATGCAACTTATTAGCTTATTTTACTCATGTCATGATTTGGCTGGGAAGATTGTCCACCATTCTGACTTGGCAGTTTCGGCTTGGGGTTATGGCCTGGGAGAATTTCTGGCAGGGCATGAGATTCCAGGTCACATCCCATCTCCACTGGCCATCCATTGGCCACTTACCCTCTGGTGATTTCAAACAGAACATTGCCGATTCCACTATGTGCCACGCCAATTATACCATGGCCATGGCTAACATGGCAATGTTTTCTTCTTAAATATAATGAATACATAATTACACCGGCATAGACCCCAGATAGAAAAGGTTGGAACTGATGGTTCCCAATGTGGGAACCAAAGGTTACCATGGCAAGGAACTGCCGCTTCCCAGACCTTGAAACTTACGGTTCCCAACCTGGGAACCAGAGGTTACCATTGCAAGGAATTGCCGGTTCCCAGAAGTTAGAATTTATGTTTTCGAAGCTAAGCAACTATCATTGTAAGGAACTGCGGGTTCCCAAAGCTTGAAACTCATGGTTCCAAGCCTGAAAAAGTAACGTTACCAGTGGAAGGATCTGTTAAAAATCATGGTTCTTAATGTTGTTTTGTTTTGTTTACTGAGCCGGTAACAGAACCTTTTGTTTTGCTTAATGGACCGGTAGCGGAATGTTTGCGTTCGGCTGCTGGGCCGGCATAAAAATGTTTTTGCACGAAAAAGGGGCATGTTAAAATAATATGAAAACAATTTCTTTACAACTTTTTGGTTTTGCTTAATGGACCGGTAAAGAACGCTTTGTTTTGCTTAATGGACCGGTACCGGGATGTTAGCGTTTGGTTCATGGCAAGGAACTGCCGGTTCCCAATGGTTGGAACTCACGGTTGCCAACGTGGGAACCACAGGTTACCATTGCAAGGAACTGCCGGTTCCCAGAGGTTGGAACACATGGTTCCCAACCTGGGAACCGGAACCAGAGGTTACCATTGCAAGCAACTGCCGGTTACCGGAGGTTGGAACTCATGCTTCCCAACCTGCGAACCATAGGTTACCATTGCAAAGAACTTCCAATTCCTAAAAGTTGGAACTGATGGTTCCCAACATGGGAACCAAAGGTTACCATGGCAAGGAACTGCCGGTTCCCAGACCTTGAAACTTGCGGTTCCCAACCTGGGAACCAGAGGTTACCATTGCAAGGAATTGCCGGTTCCCAGAAGTTAGAATTTATGTTTTCGAAGCTAAGCGGCTTTCATTGTAAGGAACTGCGGGGTCCCAAAGCTTGAAACTCATGGTTCCAAGCCTGAAAAAGTAACGTTACCAGTGGAAGGATCTGTTGATTGCAAAAAGTTAGAACTCATGGTTCTTAATGTTGTTTTGTTTTGTTTACTGAGCCGTCAACAGAACCTTTTGTTTTGCTTAATGGACCGGTAGCGGAATGTTTGCGTTTGGCTGTTGGGCCGGCATAAAAATGTTTTTGCACGAAAACGGTGCATGTCAAAATGATATGAAAACAGTTTCTTTACAACTTTATGGTTTTGCTTAATGGACCGGTACAGAACGCTTTGTTTTGCTTAATGGACCGGTACCGGAATGTTTGCGTTTGGTTCATGGCAAGGAACTGCCGGTTCCCAAAGGTTGGAACTCACGGTTGCCAACGTGGGAACCACAGGTTACCATTGCAAGGAACTGCCGGTTCCCACAGGTCAGAAGTCATGGTTCCCAACCTGGGAACCAGAGGTTACCATAGCAAGCAACTGCCAGTTCCCAGAGGTTGGAACTCATGCTTCCCAACCTGGGAACCATAGGTTACCATTGCAAAGAACTTCCAGTTCCTAAAGGTTGGAACTGATGGTTCCCAACGTGGGAACCAAAGGTTACCATGGCAAGGAACTGCCGGTTTCCAGACCTTGAAACTTACGGTTCCCAACCTGGGAACCAGAGGTTACCATTACAAGGAATTGCCGGTTCCCAGAAGTTAGAATTTATGTTTTCGAAGCTAAGCGGCTATCATTGTAAGGAACTGCGGGTTCCCAAAGCTTGAAACTCATGGTTCCAAGCCTGAAAAAGTAACGTTACCAGTGGAAGGATCTGTTAATTGCAAAAAGTTAGAACTCATGGTTCTTAATGTTGTTTTGTTTTGTTTACTGAGCCGGTAACAGAACCTTTTGTTTTGCTTAATGGACCGGTAGCGGAATGTTTGCGTTCGGCTGCTGGGCCGGCATAAAAATGTTTTTGCACGGAAAAGGGCATTTGCTTAATGGACCGGTACAGAACGCTTTGTTTTGCTTAATGGACCGGTACCGGAATGTTTGCGTTTGGTTCATGGCAAGGAACTGCCGGTTCCCAAAGGTTGGAACTCACTGTTGCCAACGTGGGAACCACAGGTTACCATTGCAAGGAACTGCCCGTTGCCAGAGGTTGGAACTCCTGGTTCCCAACCTGGGAACCATGGGTTACCATTGCAAGCAACTGCCGGTTACCAGAGGTTGGAACTCATGCTTCCCAACCTGGGAACCATAGGTTACCATTGCAAAGAACTTCCAGTTCCCAAAGCTTGGAACTGATGGTTCCCAACGTGGGAACCAAAGGTTACCATGGCAAGGAACTGCCGGTTCCCAGACCTTGCAACTTACGGTTCCCAACCTGGGAACCAGAGCTTACCATTGCAAGGAATTGCTGGTTCCCAGAAGTTAGAATTTATGTTTGCGAAGCTAAGCGGCTTTCATTGTAAGGAATTGCCGGTTGCGAAAGCTTGAGGGTCATGGTTCCAAACCTGAAAAAGAATATATACGTTACCAGTGGAAGGATCTGTTGATTCCAAAAAGTTAGAACTCATGGTTCTTAATGTTGTTTAGTTTTGTTTACTGAGCCGGTAACAGAACCTTTTGTTTTGCTTAATGGACCGGTAGCGGAATGTTTGCGTTCGGCTGCTGGGCCGGCATAAAAATGTTTTTGCACGAAAAAGGTGCATGTTAAATGATATGAAAACAGTTTCTTTACAACTTTATGGTTTTGCTTACTGGACCGGTCAAGAACGCTTTGTTTTGCTTAATGGACCGGTACCGGAATGTTTGCGTTTGGTTCATGGCAAGGAACTGCCGGTTCCCAAAGGTTGGAACTCACTGTTGCCAACGTGGGAACCACAGGTTACCATTGCAAGGAACTGCCGGTTTCCAGAGGTTGGAACGCATCGTTCCCAACCTGGGAACCATGGGTTACCATTGCAAGCAACTGCCGGTTACCAGAGGTTGGAACTCATGCTTCCCAACCTGGGAACCATAGGTTACCATTGCAAAGAACTTCCAGTTCCCAAAGGTTGGAACTGATGGTTCCCAACGTGCGAACCAAAGGTTACCATGGCAAGGAACTGCCGGTTCCCAGACCTTGAAACTTACGGTTCCCAACCTGGGAACCAGAGCTTACCATTGCAAGGAATTGCCGGTTCCCAGAAGTTAGAATTTATGTTTTCGAAGCTAAGCGGCTTTCATTGTAAGGAACTGCGGGTTCCCAAAGCTTGAAACTCATGGTTCCAAGCCTGAAAAAGTAACGTTAACAGTGGAAGGATCTGTTGATTGCAAAAAGTTAGAACTCATGGTTCTTAATGTTGTTTAGTTTTGTTTACTGAGCCGGTAACAGAACCTTTTGTTTTGCTTAATGGACCGGTAGCGGAATGTTTGCGTTCGGCTGCTGGGCCGGCATACCCGGTTTTTGCACGAAAAAGGTGCATGTTAAAATGAAATGAAAACATTTTCTTTACAACTTTATGGTTTTGCTTAATGGGCCGGTCAAGAACGCTTTTTTTTGCTTAATGGACCGGTACGGGAATGTTTGCGTTTGGTTCATGGCAAGGAACTGCCGGGTCCCAAAGGTTGGAACTCACTGTTGCCAACGTGGGAACCACAGGTTACCATTGCAAGGAACTGCCGGTTCCCAGAGGTTGGAACTCCTGGTTCCCAACCTGGGAACCAGAGGTTACCATTGCAAGCAACCGGTTCCCAGAGGTTGGAACTCATGCTTCCCAACCTGGGAACCATAGGTTACCATCGCAAAGAACTTCCAATTCCTAAAGGTTGGAACTGATGGTTCCCAACGTGGGAACCAAAGGTTGCCATGGCAAGGAACTGCCGGTTCCCAGACCTTGAAACTTACGGTTCCCAACCTGGGAACCAGAGGTTACCATTGCAAGGAATTGCCGGTTCCCAGAAGTTAGAATTTATGTTTTCGAAGCTAAGCGGCTTTCATTGTAAGGAACTGCGGGCTCCCAAAGCTTGAAACTCATGGTTCCAAACCTGAAAAAGTAACGTTACCAGTGGAAGGATCTGTTGATTGCAAAAAGTTAGAACTCAGGGTTCTTGATGTTGTTTTGTTTTGTTTACTGAGCCGGTAACAGAACCTTTTGTTTTGCTTAATGGACCGGTAGCGGAATGTTTGCGTTCGGCTGCTGGGCCGGCATACCCGGTTTTTGCACGAAAAAGGTGCATGTTAAAATGAAATGAAAACATTTTCTTTACAACTTTATGGTTTTGCTTAATGGGCCGGTCAAGAACGCTTTTTTTTGGCTTAATGGACCGGTACGGGAATGTTTGCGTTTGGTTCATGGCAAGGAACTGCCGGGTCCCAAAGGTTGGAACTCACGGTTGCCAACGTGGGAACCACAGGTTACCATTGCAAGGAACTGCCGGTTCCCAGAGGTTGGAACTCATGTTTCCCAACCTGGGAAACATAGGTTACCATTTCAAAGAACTTCCAGTTCCTAAAGGTTGGAACTGATGGTTCCCAACGTGCGAACCAAAGGTTACCATGGCAAGGAACTGCCGCTTCCCAGACCTTGAAACTTACGGTTCCCAACCTGGGAACCAGAGGTTACCATTGCAAGGAATTGCCGGTTCCCAGAAGTTAGAATTTATGTTTTCGAAGCTAAGCGGCTTTCATTTTAAGGAACTGCGGGTTCCCAAAGCTTGAAACTCATGGTTCCAAGCCTGAAAAAGTAACGTTACCAGTGGAAGGATCTGTTGATTGCAAAAAGTTAGAACTCATGGTTCTTACTGTCATTTTGTTTTGTTTACTGAGCCGGTAACAGAACCTTTTGTTTTGCTTAATGGACCGGTAGCGGAATGTTTGCGTTTGGCTGTTGGGCCGGCATATTTTTTTTGCACGAAAAAGGTGCATGTTAAAATGATATGAAAACAGTTTCTTTGCAACTTTATGGTTTTGCTTAATGGACCGGTAAAGAACGCTTTGTTTTGCTTAATGGACCGGTACCGGAATGTTTGCGTTTGGTTCATGGCAAGGAACTGCCGGTTCCCAAAGGTTGGAATTCACTGTTGCCAACGTGGGAACCACAGGTTACCAATGCAAGGAACTGCCGGTTTCCAGAGGTTGGAACGCATGGTTCCCAACCTGGGAACTAGAGGTTACCATTGCAAGCAACTGCCGGTTCCTAAAGGTTGGAACTGATGGTTCCCAACGTGGGAACCAAAGGTTGCCATTGCAAAGAACTTCCGGTTCCTAAAGGTTGGAACTGACGGTTCCCAACGTGGGAACCAAAGCACAGCACGCTGCACAGCACCCTGCACAGCACCCTGCACAGCACCCTGCACAACACCTTTCACAGCACCCTGCACAGCACCCGGCACAGCACCTTTGCCAGACTTCCCCACCGCAGTCTGGATAGCAGCGTGCACAGCACCCTGCACAGCACCTTTGCCAGACTTCGCCACCGCAGTCTGGACAGCACCCTGCACAGCACCCTGCACAGCACCCTGCACAGCACCCTGCACAGCACCTTTGTCAGACTTCGCCACCGCAGTCTGGACAACACCCTGCACAGCACCTTTGCCAGACTTCGCCACCGCAGTCTGGACAGCACCCTGCACAGCACCCTGCACAGCACCTTTGCCAGACTTCGCCACCGCACTCTGGACAACACCCTGCAGAGCACCCTGCACAGCACCCTGCACAGCACCCTGCACAGCACCTTTGCCAGACTTCGCACCCTGCATAGGCAGCAACATTTCAGACTTCGCCAGGCGCCGTCTGCGCAGCACCCTGCACAGCAACCTGCACAGCACCTTTGCCAGACTTCGCCACCGCAGTCTGGGCAGCACCCTGCAGAGCACCCTGCACAGCACCCTGCACAGCACCTTTGCCAGACTTCGCCACCGCAGTCTGGACGCAGTCTGGACAGCACCCTGCACAGCACCTTTGCCAGACTTCGCCACCGCACTCTGGACAACACCCTGCAGAGCACCCTGCACAGCACCCTGCACAGCACCCTGCACAGCACCTTTGCCAGACTTCGCCACCGCACCCTGCACAGCACCCTGCACAGCACCCGGCACAGCACGTTTGCCAGACTTCGCCACCCCTTCGCACCGCAGTCTGGACAGCACCCTGCACAGCACCCTGCACAGGACCCTGCACAGCACCTTTGCCAGACTTCGCCACCGCACCCTGCACAGCACCCTGCACAGCACCCTGCACAGCACCTTTGCCAGACTTCGCCACCGCAGTCTGGACAGCACCCTGCACAGCACCCTGCACAGCCCTTTGCCAGACGTCGCCACCGCAATCTTGACAGCAACCCTGCAACAGACCTTTGGCAGACTTCGCCACCGAGTCGGACAGCACCCTGCACACATCACCCTGCACAGCACCCTGCACAGCACCTTGGCCAGCCTTCGCCACCGCAGTCTGGACAGCACCCTGCACGGCACCTTTGCCAGACTTCGCCACCGCAGTCTAGACAGCACCCTGCACAGCACCCTGCACAGCGCCTTTGCCAGACTTCGCCACTGCAGTCTGAACAGCACTCTGCACAGCACCCTGCACAGCACCCTGCACAGCACCTTTGCCAGACATCGCCACCGCAGTCTGGACAACACCCTGCAGAGCACCCTGCAGAGCACCCTGCACAGCACCCTGCACAGCACCCTGCACAGCACCTTTGCCAGACTTCGCCACTGCAGTCTGAACAGCACCCTGCACAGCACCTTGGCCAGACTTCGCCACCGCAGTCTGGACAGCACCCTGCACAGCACCTTGCACAGCACCCTGCACAGCACCCTGCACAGCACCCTGCACAGCACCTTTGCCAGACTTCGCCACTGCAGTCTGGACAGCACCCTGCACAGCACCCTGCACAGCACCTTTGCCAGACTTCGCCACCGCAATCTGGACAGCACCCTTCACAGCACCCTGCACAGCACCTTTGCCAGACTTCGCCACCGCAGTCTGGACAGCACCCTGCACAGCACCCTGCACAGCACCTTTGCCAGACTTCGCCACCGCAATCTGGACAGCACCCTGCACAGCACCCTGCACAGCACCTTTCCCAGACTTCGCCACCGCAGTCTGGACAGCACCCTGCACAGCACCCTGCACAGCACCCTGCTCAAAAGTTCGCCACCGAAGACCCCACCTTTGAGAAGTAAGAACCCCTATAGCTTGCCAGCTATCTGGGGAAAAAGACATATATAAAAATAACACTAAATGAATAAATATAGATATAAATATAAATACAAATGCACACACACACACATATTCCACACATTAGTATCCCCATGTTTGAAGGTTGAATCGCCACTGTTCATGGTTAACTTACTAATGTATGTTACCATTCTTGATGATATTTAAATCACATCAACTCCCCATTTTTAAGCTTAAAACTTAAACACTTATCATTTTCCCTATAGTTTTGATGGTGAAATCCCAGTTTTGATGCCCAAAATCATTGTTCAAGGCGAAGGCCGGCGGCGGCCCCAGTCCTCGCAGATCTTTAACGACCTGGCGCAGCGGATGCACACGGAGATCCTGCTGAGTCGCCCCTTGGGATCAAGGAATGGTGGCTGCAGGTTGGGTGAATGGCAGTGAATGGTTGATGAACATCATAACATCATGAAATTTTAGTGATTTACTCATATGGGTATGGGTCAATACCTATACATACCATTTTTAGGGGGATGAACATCCATTTACCAGCTATTTTGATGTTCACCAGGGGTACAAGGTTTTGACACACTGCCATATTTACCTTAACTTTGAGTGGTAAAACCCGCTTTAATCATCAAATGTAGGGGTTAACCCACTAAAAGGTCGGGATACGATGGAGATAAACCATTTGCAAAGTGGCCGGAACGATAGTTGCACAGTGGCTGTATAATGGGGATATTCAATAGGCTACATATCAGGTGGTGCCCCAGTTTGTTTGCTAAGTTGATTATAAGATTTTACAACTAGGTGAACTGTGGATTATGGCAGATGTAGCTCTAGTTCAGGTGGATTATAGACCCGCTTACAAACGGGGGCCTGACTTTCGCGGGCATTAACCAGTAATTCGTCATGTGGATTTGATGGTGATTTATTCATATTTATTCAGTAAAAGCTGGTATAGCCATGTATAGCAGTTATGGGATGGGTAACCACTGTGTATTACCAACAGTATCCCCACTACAGTATATTTCCTCTATCCTCGTTTTTAATGGTTAAATCACAGATTGTCATGGATCAGTTATCATCATGTTACAATTTTTGATGATTCAATTTTTGACGCCATAAAAAGTCACAATTTTTTATTGGTTAAATCCCCGCCATATTCCAGTGGTTCATGATCGATTCCCGATTTGACGCTTGAAACTTAAAATCACTTAAGATTAAATTTGAAAATTCTCTCTCTCTCTATATTTATATGTAGTTACGTGTGTATGTATATATATATATACACATGCGCAGAAATCCCCATTATATCCCAGTTTAATGGTGAAATTCTTGTCTTCACCGGTGACGACCTGGTGGAGCGTTTTCCAAGGTGCCGCGGTGATCCTGAAGACGTTCAACGTGGAGAGCTTCCGGGTTTTCATCAAAGACGCCTGCGGTGTCGAGGATCTCCATTTTTGAGGGTCCATTTGGAGCCATGGGTATCGAACCATATGGAACCCCTGAAAAAAGGGAATCTAACATGATTTAACCACAACAAATTGGGTGTTGGACCATCAACAGCTGAGATTTTATCATCGAAACAAGGAAATGAGATGGGGATATGACCTAGGAATAACGCAATAATCTTTGATCTTCCTGCTGGGGGGATGCACTGAAATATCATGTTAAATGCTGTTTGAAGGACGGTTAATCCCCAAAGTGGATGATGTATCATCAGGAACAACAAGTGGACAGATGGAAGCAGGAGCGTCTCAAGTCTTTGGGATTGCTCATGTGCTGCAATCTCTATCATATTTCCAGTTGACGGGTTAAATGATATGGTATCTTCCATTATGCCTGGGAACATGGTCATGATGGACTCATGTTTTTGGGATAGCTTCACCAAACTGACACACACACACAAACACAAACAGAGCATGTATAATATATTATTCTTATTATTATTATTATTAGTAGCTACTGGTATCAGTATTGATTTTGTATAGTTAGATTTCTATTGACTACGCTGTGCATAGGAATACCGTCAACGGTGAAGGTATAGAAGGCACACACCCCATATGGCGGGACGGCAGTTGCTTCTCAGGAGATGGGCTGGTCCTCGAAGCCATCAATCCAATCGATCTGGAACGTGATGTGTTTCTGGGTGCTTTAAGCCGTGCGCTGAAAGAGGTTCCATACTTGGAAAGTGGCACTAGTCCTAGTTGAGACTGTTCTAGATCACGGAAATCAACAAGAACAAAGGCTTTACCAGCACCAAAAACTCCGAAGAAGGTACTGTAGACCTTGTCCATGAACATTAGCATGATCCAAGTTGATATCTTCAAGCTGGCTCACCAGCCATCAGCAATGGCAATCTCGTCATATCTCGTGAGCAGTTGAAACGACTGGTTGATGGCCCGCTTGGGTCGGTTGCCCGCGTCCGCCCCATAGGGGCCGATGGTATGGGACCCGTTGTAGGATCATCCAAGCGACAAATCCCTGACGTGAGGCTATACCGCTTTTAGCTGGCTCATAATATCTTACAAATATTCAGACAAATATGCACACATATGCTTTACTAAACGGCTATTCCCGGGATTCTTTGTTACATCCTGCAGGTTTAGGCGTAGCCAACCCATTTCTCTATTGGTCGTCTTGGCTCACCGCTTGAAGTCCAGGCTTGCTCTTGGAGACCTTGAAGGATGTAGATTTGCGCCTGCAGCTGCACTGGTGCCACACGTGGCTGAAATGTGGTACCTGGTACCTGTTCTGGGCCCATTTTTTACAGCTGGTCACTGGTAGCATCTGAAGCTCAAAATATGGGGATATGGTCTGATATAGTTTACAAATGATGGTTGGTTGATAGAGTGGATGCTCCCTTTTTTTTTGCGGTGAATCAGCCCTGGCAGATACAAACATGTGGGTTTCAATTGGTTACACGAGGCCTGGGTTTTTGTTTTACTTTTTTAGTGATGCGGGGATGCAATGTCAGACCATTTGATCCTAGACTTGGTTCAAGCGGAAATTTGCAGCACGACCACATTTGTATATTTGAGGTCAACACCACAGCAACAAGTTTTCCCGTCAAATGTCCTTGCAATCAACCCATTTCAGACAGCGCCTGCAAAAAATCATTTGCCCCTGTATCGAGAATCTTGATTGGACGATTACTTTCTGGCAATCCAATCATGTGGCGATGGAAAATCCCAAACTTATAGATTTCCATCCAAAGTGCGGGATCTAACTAGGGACTTCCTGATTTTTCACGGGTTGTTTGGAACAACTGGATTTTCCAATGGAGGATTTCTAGTTGTTTGCTACCACGAAGAATGAGACGTTCATGCACCGGTTAAGCTTGTGCAACGAGGGCGAGCTCAGACGTTGTGCCCCCGCCCGAGAAGGAGACATCCCAGGGATAAAAATTGTGATTTTTGAGTCAGAAATCGGAGCGAACCGTAGATGCTGGTGTAATGTTAGCTGTTATTTGGTAGAACAATAATCGACCACCCACAATTTTGATGGTTACTACCCATTTATGGTAAATTTGGGCATAGATTGCTTCAACATTGATCAATGTTTGAATTGGCATCCAATATTTCCAACAACCACTAGTTTCCAATATTTTTTTTGGAAGCATCCACCAATACATTAGTTGAAAAACCATTGCAAAGAATACCTTCATATTCATATCTTGGTTATATCTCCAGCAGTGGCTGAACATGGGGATAAGCCGTCAAGATCGTGAAGAAATCGATGTATAACATGGTACAAACGATATTTTTTCTGATTGGCGGTTTGAAGGTTTTGACTGGTTAGATTCATTTTTTCGTTTTATTTAGTTTTTTTCTAGTTAGATTGTCCCTAAATCCCGGTGAAGATCCCGACCAATCTTTCCAGGGCTTGCAGCCGCCCTCGCGGCGGGATGTTCCGCTGGTTTGGCCTAAGGGTATCACAAGGTGTATACATCATTTCAACCTTTAAAACAAATATAATGACGGCTTATCACCAAACTTCTCCAAATTTCCAAGGGTATATCTATAACTTTACCTATATACGCACACACACACACGGATATATATATATATATATGTATATATGTATATATATATATATGTATATGTATATGCACATGTATGTATACATACAGATGTTAAATTTCACGAGGTCTTGGGGTTTTGGGATTTTTACGGTATATTGGGTTTCAAAGTCACAATGCATCATTTCGAGCAACCTGCGAGCAGAAGGGTCGTGAGGAAAAGTGTTGAATGTTGTGATTTTTGTTGAATCAGTGGTCCACAGGTCCAACTGGCGTTCCAGAGGAACTGAAACAGTCGGAAACAGTCGGAAACCGTCGGAAACAGTCGGAAACAGTCGGAAACAGTCGGGAGCGGCCCGGCGTGATCGTGCCAAAATTGTCAATCCGCCATTTTTTTGCAAAAAAAAACGTTCCGCGCAATCCCCTTTTTTTTTGAAAGTGCAACGGGAAACAGTTGGAAACAGTTGGGGCTCGTACCTTTGACTCGGCAAAAAACGAGCTATTTAAAACCATTTAAGGTTCATTTTCTTTATAAACTGGTTTTAAATAGCTCTTTTTTTGCCGAGTCAAAGGTACGAGCCCCAACTGTTTCCAACTGTTTCCCGTTGCACTTTCAAAAAAAAAGGGGATTGCGCGGAACGTTTTTTTTTGCAAAAAAATGGCGGATTGACAATTTTGGCACGATCACGCCGGGCCGCTCCCGACTGTTTCCGACTGTTTCCGACTGTTTCCGACTGTTTCCGACTGTTTCCGACTGTTTCAGTTTCTCTGGAACGCCAGTTGGACCTGTGGACCACTGATTCAACAAAAATCACAACATTCAACACTTTTCCTCACGACCCTTCTGCTCGCAGGTTGCTCGAAATGATGCATTGTGACTTTGAAACCCAATATACCGTAAAAATCCCAAAACCCCAAGACCTCGTGAAATTCAATACATACAGAGGGGCGTACGTGCAGTGCCAATTTTCAAGGGAAGAATGATGAGAAAACACCGGATTTTCGGATGGTTTCCCCCTAAACGTTCAGACACAACCAAATCACGTTGATGACATATGCTTGTTAATCCCATCACCCCCAAAATCACCAGATCATGCATGTCCCCAACTGGATGTTCTCAAGGAGCTCAGCAGCATCATGGGCTACCACCTGATGATCGCGCGTTCGCTCGGTGGCAGCGTCTCCTCGCTGGTCTTGGCGCTGGATAGCTTCCTCTGGCGTGCCATGGAGTGGTGGGTGACCCTCAACAATTGGGGATAAATGGAGGGAGCGGTGAGCTGAGCGATTTGGGTATCCATATTCCCGTCTTTAAATGGGGAGCAAGTTGGAGCTATGCATTGAATTTCCCAAGCACATTATAGAATTTTACCAGTGGAAATGTTTTTTGTGCAACCGAAATGGTTCAAGAAGGGGGATTTTGCTTGCTTCTCAGGGTTGAACCCGCCAAAAAGTTCTAACAACCCAGAACAAGTTGGATGTAACCAGCAAGATTCGGGATGTCAAAACCACAAAAACGGGGATGTCACAAGCCAAAATGGGAATCTCAGGCAGTTGCGGGTGATTTTGACCTGCGAAGATGGGATTTGAACAGTGGTTTGAGAACCAATTTTTTTCACCAGCAAAACACGTGAAGGAGACCACATAATTGTACATAGTTAACAGTCCTAATGTGTGCTGCTGTTGTATTATAACGTTTCGGCATGCAAAGTATAGTCATGAAAAGGTGGCAAATTTGACTGGCCCAAAAATTCTCCCCAAAAAAGGCAAGAAATGGAGGAGGTACAACTCACATCAACTTACTTGCACAGCCCAGAATCACGAGAACAACTGGTCAACAGCCTTTGTCATGGCATACTCCCAGGAATAGGGGACCTGGTACTGCTATGTACTGCTTATCCGGTGGACTACTGCCAGGGGATGATTGTTTTTGTGGGTGCCCGCTCTAGTTGTGACTCCGAAGGTTGCCGTTTGCTTGGCCTGAGGTTTACTGCCCAACATGGCCATGCGCGTGCACTTGTATGAGTTTCATCATTGCCAGCAGCAGGGCAGAGCAGGCTAGGGGGTCGTACCTGTCTGTCTTTTGGGGTTTGGTGGCGCCCGAACTTTGGGCCCTACCTCGGCCTGACCAATCCAAGTGAGGGCCGGGGTCTGGGCAGGGCCAAGCACCCTCTCAAGTGGCGTGGAAGCGGAGAATCTGGCAAATACTAGAGAAATCTCTCAAGAAAAGGCATTTTCCTAAGATTCCACCCAAATTTCAAGGGGGGTAAGCCGCCAATTCAATGGCAAATGTCCATTTTGGCCTCATGGCTTGGGAAGGCACCCCAAATGTGGTTGCCGACAGCCATGTTGCCGCTTAATATCCAGATACATTCCACTGAACATCCGACAATCCCAGGCTTAATCATTCATTTCCCCAATGACTCATCCATGCTTGGTTCGCCCTCACCGCTCTCCTCTACACCAGTTGAAGATGCTAAGAGTCGGAGCACGGCGTCTCTGCAACACTTCCTGAACTGGTGCAGCAGCAGGCCGGCCTTGGCGAAGGAGTAGTGTGCTTTGCGAGGTGGACACAGCTGGTTGCGGACTTTGCGGATTTCAGCCCTATTTATTGTCTTTTGTAACCATACGACTGGGATGACTGGTCGTGATGACAAGTTTTTTTTTTGGGGGGGTTTGTGTGCGGGATGATAAAGATCACCTACCAGACAATCGTTTTGGTGAGAAAAAGGATGAAACGACGGGTATGCTTAAAAGCAGACGAGAAATGTTTGAACGAAGGTTCGTCTTGAACAGTGAAGTTAGCATTTTTTTGCACGCAGGTTTCAGCCCAAAAACGTTGCACAAAAATATGTTTTTTTGTTCAAAAACTAACTTTTCGGGCCCAAAAGAGATGGCCATGGACCAACCAAGAACTCATTGACTTAGTAAGGTACAAAATGAGGTTTAAAATGGACTGCAAATGAGGTGTGATACAAGATTGGGTATATATAGATATTTATGCCCGCACTTTTAATGGCCAAGTAAGATGGGATATTTGCACATTAAATCGGGTAGATCGATGTTTTTTCTTTACACAGACCTCATGGCTGACCAAATGATGGTCCGCGGGATTTTGACTGCTTAAGTTCCGTTGATTGGTCTTGAGCGCCAGTTTTTTGTCAATGACATCATTTTTTGTGTGGCTCAAATCCATTCAAATCCCTCATTTTTCCACTGGACTTAAGACATGCGGATTCTTCCGAACGATTCCTGCGATTCCTGCGATTTAAGCACCTCAAACATCCAAAAAAAAGTGCTGTCCATGATTGGGGAATTTGGTGAACCAACATTTCTTCACAGTGGTTGCCTTCTACAACATGCACAACATTGAACCCCAACGGTAATGTCTCATATCCCACATGCCTCCAGGGGTTAATGATATCATGTACTCCCTAGCTTTGTTGTTGGTCATGCAATAAACATACGTATATCTATCCTAGGTATCTTGCTGGTGAACAGGATAGTTGCACATTATCACCGTTATCACACTACAATCACTGGAACAATGGGAATCATATAATATGTATATCGTTATGATGTTATCATTGGTACCTCCAGCAAATCATCATTATCAGTGAAGAACACAAGTTACATCATTACAACACAATATTTGTGACACGAGGAGCATTATTTTGTTATAGTTTAGTATGCCCAAGGTAATTACAACATGTTACGAATAATTATATGTTTAAGCTATATTTTAACTATATCGTATCATTCATCAATGATTACAATTAATCATTGCTTTCCCCAACATTGCTTTCCCCTTGCTGTAGCCTCGCTCTCCCCAACT